AAAACAGCCGTCCAGGCCGCCCCGAGAAGCCCACCCCCACTACCCCCGTTCTGCCCGTGTCGGCCCTCAAACAAAATGAAGCTCTCAAGTGCCACCTCGAGAGCAACATACTCTTGCCCGCCAGGGGGGCTCCTGCCGCCAGGAGCGACTGGGATTGCGGTGTGAGGCTCCGCCGATTCGATCACAGAATTGCGCCCTTCAGCGTTGTTGTCCTCGTTTCCCTCCCTAACTGCATCTTCCGCCTTCTCTAGTCCATCTGCAACTGGGCGGGCGTCTCTTCTCCCTCCCCCATCGTTTGGCCCACTTTGTTCCCCGCTTTGGACCTCGCTCGGCATGCCATTTCGGATGTTCTCAACGTAGCCGCCTCTCTCTTCCTCCTTCCCAGACTGGTTCTGCCTATGACATGCAATTTCGGAACCCTTCGCTCGAACATCAGTCCCTTCTCCCCGGAACCCCACCACAACGCTCACTCTCACATTTCTGACCTCAACTCGGAGCGCCCCCAGGACCGCGGCAGTTAAGCGCTCAAGGAAGCCAACGGCGATCTTCTGCAGACGAGAGGGCCCTGCGCCATCTTTTGCGAATTCCTCGATCGCGGCTGCCTCAGGGTCGAGGAGGGCGAGCTGTTGGCTGCGGTCGAGTGTCACAGGGGCGGCGGCCGCTTGCTTCGACCACCAATCAGAGTCAGGGGGCCTGAAACCGATTCAATAGCAAGGCGTATCAGAAGTATGTTCGCATGCAGCACTTGTTTGCTGAGTGCAACTGTTTCTTTGACCCTGAACTTGATCAGTTTCAGCATGAACACCAGGTTAGCACCGTCCACGGTCCGCAGTTATTGATTCTATAAACTGTATGATACACTCCTTCCTTGCAATCAACGGTTTGAAAATCGCTGTGAATCATCATGGAAGAGTGCGTGATTCCATCATTACTCACTTCAAGCCTGGGGGGAAGGCAGGGGCATCGCGGGTTCTAACATGAAGCTTAAATTGATCACCAAGGAGGCCTGGCTCAAAACAGGACAGTCTGCCAGCTTAACAAAGGTGCATGTGTAGTACTGAAAAATGCAAGCACGTGACATCGACATTGAACTCAAAACTAGCGAAGACAACTATCTTTGTAATGTTGACTGATGGGACTCAACTGTTTTAAGCACAGCTTTTCACGCGGGCTTGAATTCCACTTGGGCCACCAGCATTGGTTTCTTGCAGCAGAGACTTAGGCACCTTGATGCCGTCAATAAAGTGCCCTTATGTTGGAGATTGAAAGATGGTGACTGAAAGTTACAAAGGACTGGACTTCTGACCAAAGACCTTGTCACCTTACCTTGGCTCTACTTCCAGTTCAATATCCTCCACCAGCACGTTGATTGCGTCCACACGGAGAGGTTTGAACTGTACCCTCAATAAACCAACAATCCCTTTCTTGACCAGAAGGGGAGACGCCGTCGCATAGTCCTTGTTGATAGTGTTTGTATTCAACCGGACATTCTGCAACCGGACCTCCCCGGACAGCAGATGAAGGTGCAACTCGTCCGGAGACAGGACCAGGAACTGCGCCAGCTGCTTGGTGATGACGTCGGCGACAAAGTGCTCCATGGTGCGAGATTGCAATTTGGGAAGTGCTTAACTAATGCTAGCTATGAGGAACGGTGGAATCTGCATGTAGGCGCATGATGTGCCTTTACAAAGGTGTCAGCAATGCGAGTGCTGAAATGCGCAGCAATGTCGTCCGTAGTGCTGCACCAGATTCATGCAGGAAAAGCTCAGCAAATGAGAGCATGCCTGCATACCACGTAGCATTTGGGACTCCAGTTCTGTTGTCTCAGCAGTGAGCTGAGCTTTTGCATGTGAGCTTGAACAGCTCTGCTCAGGATAATTTCATGCACAGGGCTGGGATTTGGTCGGATTTATTTTCCAGCGTTTTTGTCTGAGCGTTTCATTGACTTTGAAGGGGGGCTCGAAGCCGACTTCGCCGTAGGCTACTCCCTCTGTCTATGCGGCCACAATCCGTTCGACGATGCACAGTATCGACTACTTCTTCTAGTTTCCAATCATTTCAAAGTCATGTCATATTCGGGCCGAATCGTAATGCAGTGCTTGAATTTCAGATAGTTTGCTGCTTCGCGAATTTTGCCCTCTTGAGTCTCATGCAGTTCAGACCCGCTCTGAGCCTGAGGCTTTTCCAATTCCAGCACTGCTCTGGACAAAGGTTTGGAGCCCTGAGCCTGAGGCGGTTGGGCTACCTTTTGAATGTTGATCAGGAGAAAAGCTTATAAGGAGCAAGCTTTTCAACATCGCAATTCAGGGATATCGGGACTGCTGTGGTCCAACCAGGCTGATTGGAAGGGACATTGAGAGTCCAGCCATTTGTCGATTGTCTTGCTGCTGCTGCTTGTTTCACACCTCTCTACAGGATGGCCAGCAGTAGCAACGAGAGCGTGGGCCTAAACTCCGAGGAGGCAATTGTGCGCCGCTACATGGAGCTCCAAAACGAGCTGCAAAACCTGTTTGCCAAGCTGCAGGAACTAGAGAGCGAGAAAGTTGAGCACAACATGGTGGTATCCACCCTGGATCCCCTAGAGCCATCGCGGAAGTGCTACCGCCTCGTGGGGAGCGTGCTTGTAGAAAGAACGGTGAAAGAGGTGCTGCCGGCAGTGACGGCAAACAGAGACAATCTGGCGCAGATTGTGAAGACGCTGAGCGAGCAGTTTGAGAAGAAGAAGAAGGAGCTGGGGGAGTTTCAAACAAAGTACAAGATCAGGTATAAGAACGAAAAGGAGGTGCGGAGGGCGCAGCAAGAGAGCGGCGAAGGGCAGGGACCGGGGGTGCTTGTGCAATAGCAGGGAAGGGCAAAGCTTGAATCTGGGGTGTGAAAGCTGACTGACATGGGTTGCAACGAATGCTTACCTTACGGTTTGTGCTCAACTAGGATTGTGTCACTCATTCAACTTGTGAAGAATCAGAGTGGACGACAAGCAGCTTCCTGTGATTCAATGTCAATTGGAGGAACGTAGCCGACAAGCTGGGAACAAGTAGGCTTTGGAGCGCCTACTAATAGAACAAACGGAATCCTCTCTTGGGATTTCTGCATATTTCTGCAGCCAAGTTCAAACTGGCTTGGGCCGTGGTTGGCAGCGACATTTCTTCATACATGGCTGATTGCGTTTGTCCGACAGTGTTGTAGTCGGTCTTCCATGTAGGTAGACGCTTTGCAAAAGGCACCGCAAAGAGTTGCACATGAATTTTGGCCATTGGCTGTGTGCGCAATGATGCTCCGACAATTCCAGCTTCAATCCTCCTATAACCAGCAAGCTTTGTGGCAAAGCGATCATCGACTTGAGGAACACGTAACGTCGATTCGTCGCGACACGACAATTGGATGGTGCCGTTGTACAGTCTATCTACATGTGCATGGACTATGTGGATTCTACAATGAACATGACTGAAGCTAGTGAGCAAGATTTCCAGCTCTAATGCTAGGGCCTCTAAGGGTAACTTCTCAAACATGTACTTATGCTGAATATTAGGCGTGATTAGTAAGCGCTATCACATGTTAGAGCTATAGGTGCATGTGTGCACATGCAAAAACAAACCTCACCTTTTCCATGCGTGCCTAATATAATCAGCACAGTTCCTGCACTTGGGTCTTTGGATTGTCTATATTATGTCTGCAATTGAACTTACAGCAGGAGCCATTTATGATGCTGTTGGCGGCATCATAGGTTCAACAATCTATGTAATCGGAGCAACGTGCAGTGCTGAATCGCCTCGCGATCTGCAGGATTGTTTATGATGCGGCTCATGCCCAGTGGTAATGAGTTGCTTCGCATGGTGGCATGGACCAGAACCTAAGACAAACTGGTCTCTTCGCAACAGAACCTATGTATCAAATGTCGCATATGTACAGACTTATTGATGGACCTTTGTCCGTAACTCTTATTCCAGATAACCGGCCTACCGTTGCTCCTGTATCGGACTGCCATGCAGCCCGACCCTCCGACAATATTTCTTTCAGCTTGTATAGCCGGTATAGAACCACTGATCTCAAGTGAGAAAGCACAACCTTTTATTCTGCCATGTCCAGAAGTTCAGCCATCTCGTCGACTTCTTCATCCTTCTCTGGCTCCTCAACCGCAGACGGCGGCTTGGCCTCGGCCTCCGTCAAAAACTTCTGCGCTTCCTCTGGTAAGACGTCGCTGTAGGACATGCAAGTCCAAACGTGTCAGAAAACACTCCAGATCTCGGCTTTACTTCTGGCACTTGGAGCATTCACGTTGCCCTAACTTGAAGCTTGAAAGTCCATGCACCGTCCGTTCGACAGACGTGACGTCATCGGCAAAGGTACTGGAAATCTCATCAAACGTGTCCAAGGGCACCCTCAGCTTTTCCTCCTTGACTATCTGAACTTGGACTGACGGCTCACATACGTTACGGTAAACTCAATTCGATTCAGTTAATTGTGCTCAGCGTTGATGACCTGTGTTCCCGTGTGAAAGCCTGTGAATCAACCTTTCTGCAACCCGCACAGAAAGTCAGAGAATGGTCCCCACCTGTCAGGCTCCTCGTCCCGGTTAATCAGCGTCAGCTGGTTCTTGACCAGTCGCTCCCAGAAGTCGTGCTGCCGCTTCCCCTTTGATCGGGCTGCTATTTCTCTTAGGTAGCTGTTGAACTCCAGTGGTTCCTGCATTTGAAAGTAGCGGAACTCCGTAGCAGCTTCCGAGCCTTGCTCGTGATGCAAGCCTCAACTCAAGAGAGCGTAAGGATAAGGCAGCGTGCGGGGATCGAAGGGGATATTCCGTTACATTTGCGACACCGCGCACTCGTGCTCTTATTAACACGCCTCCTCAGGTTCTGGGCACTCTCAAGAGTACTCTCTTCGGAAGACAAGTCGACAAAGTGCTCACGCTTTGCAGGATGCACCCTCGTCGCAACGCTCGTAAGCACTCCAGCGCTTGGTCGTACGTGTTGCCCTGGTATGCTTGCGTCACCAGGTTGTCGATGACGTCCTTCATGCCCTTGATGGCCTGCAAAGAGAAGAGCCCGGCGGCAATCCATATCAAAGGTCTTCCACACACACATTCCTGAAGTAAATTTTCTCGTTCAAGAATTGGAGTTATAGACTCGAACAAAGACTTTGCATTACAAGTTGCTAGCATAGTTCGTTAAGTGGCCCCGGATTCAACTGCACCCTCTGCGGAATCTGCACGATGGCGTTTGACATAACCCGCCACATAAGCAGATAACCCCAAGTCCTCTGCCGGAGACTTCCCTAAAATTGATTGCTGACTGGCACCGCAGCAAGAAACTGAAGAAAGAGAAGTAAGGCACGTTGTGCAAGCTTAGAAGCATTACAGCACCAACATCTTGCCGTTTCCGCAAGTACCTTGGGTATCAGGTTCGGGTCGTCCGTGCGCGCGATCATGGAATTGAAGTCCTGCACCGGGTTCACCGTCCCAACCTCGTCCACTTTCCGCGCCGCGAGATCGTCCAGCGAGATGGGGTCCGCGGCCGTGCCGCTCGTGCTCGCGCCGTTGTCCAGCTGGCCGGGGGCCTCGTCCTGGCCCGCGTGGCGGTCGCGCCAGAAGCGCTTGGACGGCTTGTCCTCCTGTCAGGAAGAAAGACGCAGAATGTTTGTAGGATGATAACCAAGACCCCTTACTGAAAGTTGACATGTTGGAGAGGGACTCGTCCTCGCCAGGACGGCTTGTCCTCCTGCCAAGAAGGAGTGCAATTTTGCATGAGTTCGTTCTGCGACCCCCTTCGTTCTCGAAATGAGGACAGGTTGACATCTAACGCTGAGAGGTTAGCAGCTCAGGAGAAACTGTTTGAAGCAGCTTTGTCAGAAAGCAGCGCTCGCAGCAGACGAGGTAAAGCAGAGGACGTGACTATGATTAGACAGAGGACCCCGTATCGACGTAATCTGTTAACGGTCCTTCTGAGGGCGGCAGCAGAGCGGCGCACTTGAAGCACAGCCTTTGATACCACTGCCCTAGTCAAAGACAGAATGTATCACCAATGTCATTCATTTCCAATCACTCATCGATCCGGGAACCGATGCAGAAAGGGTCAAAAGAGCTAGACAATAGAATCTCAGATGAGCGGACTCGGTTTCTCCTAAGGTGATGCAATTGGAATGGTGGCTACTAAAGCGCAGTAAAGCATATTGCTCACTATTCTAATCACGGTAAGCATAAGCGACTGTTTTGATTGCTGGACACAATGAATATCCATGCAGACGTGGCCAAGGTGTCCCCAGGAAATTGCAGGGCGAAACTTTCTCACAATGGCAGCAACGGTAAGGCTGAACTTGGTCTGGAAGTCTTCGATGAGAGGAGTGGCGGCTTCGAGGAGTCGGGGCGGCGGCTCGATGACAGCGCGGGCAGTGGGGGTGATGGGCGGAAGCGCCGCTTCTGGCTCGACGGCCCGCTTATGAAGGAAGTTGTAAAACCGCTGCAGCGATTGAACAAGTGAATAAGAATGAGTCAAATTGTTGCAAGCGGATCGGTAAAAGCTTCATCGGATGCACACGCACACTGCCGTTTTGTGATGATCAGGATCGGGGGTAAAGGGAACTACCGGAGCGTTTCGCGTCCACTTCCGAGGCTGGAATCTGGCTGGCCTCCAAGGGTCTGTACAGACAGTATCCTTCTCGGATGAAACATCTGATGACTTTCATAGCAGAGAACGGCAGCGGAAAAGCTCCCCAAAACATCCAGCAGGAACGCAGGATCTTCTTCATTTTCATTCTGTTCATAAGCAGAATGATAAACATCGTTGCTGACTCTACGAGCGGACTCCAAATGACGTGACGCATCCAATGGTGCTATAGGCCGTAAGAACCAAGACCTCCAATTCGCTACAAGTGTTTACCTCGAGCGTGGGGTTGGGCGTGGCCTCTGGCGCCAGCAGTTCCTCTCCCGCCGCGGGCGCGAGATCCAGCTTCTGCACGAGCTGCTCTGCTAGGTCCATTTGCTCAAGGCTGGGCTGCTTGCTCTCGGGCTGGTCAGCCAGCGCCAGAAACGGGTACTCCCGGACGTCCTCCGCGAACGGGAGCTGGTTCACGATCAGCGAGTCCGGCTGCGAGGAAGGTGACGTCAGTGTGAGCGGATCCATGTGACATCGATGTCGCGGCTCGCAATTTCGACAAGGTTCGGCCAAGGAGACAGTTCGTTTGTAGCAAGGGGACGGAGCAAACGATCGAGTGGTCTTCGCAGGGCGTCAGAGACGGGAGTACGGTCGCCTCACAAATGATCATTTTCATAAAATTCGCAAGATTGACGAGCAACCATCTTCAGAGATGCCAGATCTGCTCAGGCGATTCGACCCTGAACTGGTCTGATTGCGTCCCTGTGCAGACTGACATTCCCTTCTGTCGAGCAGCACAATGGGGCCGTCAATCTTTCTGAAGCACATAAAGCGTCCAAAGATTCTTGTTTCCTACTAGACCCACAAAGTCGCTAGTCCTACTTCCTCCTAGAAGCCACATAACGGCGAACCGACTCACGAGGTGGTCCTCCTCCGCGGGGCAGGGCGTCCCCACGGACAGCGCCACGCTGCCTTGGTTGGCGCGGTACACGCATCGCAAGATGGCGACCCGGTGGGTCTGGTGCATGGCACGCACGAGCGCCGAGAAGGACACGGCCGCCGTCTCGTTGGTCGGCTCGGCGATGAACACGTTGCTGTCCTTCATGAATAGGTGCCTGTGGGTGCGAGGAGGTTTTGGATCAGAGCGGTTTTGCCCAAGGTGACTGGCCTTTTCCTTTCACGTGAAGGAAAGAATGCAGAACGGAAACGAAACGGGACGAATATTTGCGATATGCCGTCGGCGGGCTTGGCGCAGCAATGATAGCGCCGAGACTTTTCTTCGCCTTGTTGGCCGCTGGTTGGTAAGGTCAGGCGGGGACACAATTGCTAGAAACATTGTTCGGACAGTTGAGCAGGCCAGGGGCAAGTTGCTGGACGTGAGGCCCACTGCTTCGAACCTGTCGAACCAATCGTATAAAGAGACGGGAGAGCGGACAAGACAAGAAGAAGAGAGCAAAGAGATTGAAGCGGTCGCTCAGAAGAATCGAGCCGAAGACGCCCCCCCCGCTGAGGAACTGAAATTGCGCGAGCAATAGAGAGGCCAAACAACGTTGAAGTCGGAGCAACAACGAGAGACGGACAAAGAAAACGATTACGAGGAGAGCCCGTTACCTGGGGACGTGCTTGGAGTGCGTAAACCCGATGACCTTGACCCCCTTGTCCGCTCGAAACTTCAGCCCCTCCTCTACGTGCTGATCCACCGGAATGAATTGCGGGCCATAGCGGTACGCCTTCGTATGCTCTGCCGGGGGCACCTCTCTGTCAGGATCCGCCGTGCTCTTATACGCCGTGATGCGCTCCATCTCGTGCTGGGCGGTGGGGTCGCTCGCGGGGGCGCGGTCCGAGTAGCCCTTGAGCGACGGGAGCTTCGCCTCGACCGTCTTCTTGTAGCACCAGATCTGTAGTCAGGCGGATGATATTAGTACTCTAGTCTTATTTGCCTGCTTGGTACGAGCGTCGGTTACCTTCCATTCTGACGTCCATTCCGGCAGAGTCGCAATACACCAGTGCCCTTAACATCGAGTGAGTCGCCAGCAAGAACAATCGTTTGACTTATGCACCAACTGTTGTAGTCTATTGTCAGGCCCTTCTTTCAGGTCAACGAAAGTGTTCGCCTCTATGAGTGACTTGTGCCAGAGTCAACCTCCAGAAACAGACGCACCAGCCGCCTCCGGAACAACCACCTGATCGAGTTGAATCGAACTTCGAGTCTCTAATATTGAGCTTAACGTAGTCGGAGAGACTCCACAAGAAGCAAAAAGCACTCTAGACCTTCGACGTGTGACCTCGAGATGCCATGACCGCAAAATGGCTCACGTTGATTTTCAAATTCGGCGTGACCTCCAAGGGCCCTCTGTAGGTCGTTGTTGGGGCTTTGGCTGGTGTTGCTGTCGCCAGTGTGCCGCTTAGAGCTAGTGCGCTTGACACCGTCTGTATCTGGCCGTGGGTTTCGCCAACAAACCTTCGAAGAAGAATCTCGTTTTGGATGCTCGTTGATGTCTGCACCTCTTGCTTGAAGTGGATGCGCGTGACTTCTAACCTGATCTCCTTCTCGACCATTGTGCCTGCAAACGATTTTCACCTCTCTGTCGTTTGGCTAATCAGGCCAGCCGACTCCGGCTGCATCTAGATATAGCGGTAAGTAAAGCGCGAAACATTGTGAAAAAGATGCGGTCAGAATGATGTTGGAAAGCATGTTTGTGGCCCTGGGAATTGGCTGTGTTAGGGACAAATGATGCCAACGTGGGATACGCAGATTGTCAAGCAACGGATGTCATCAGAAATGTGAAGAACCCTCCACCGAAACCGGCTAACTCAGGCCCGAGATGAACTCATACAGCCTGGCAAAGAGCGACTACTTTCAAAAGATGATTTGTGTTGAAGACCTTTGGAAAAGAAGTCATTATCTACGCTTAAGGGATTATCAGGGGGGCAGTCAGGGAGGCATAACGTAAAATCTCTGGCTTCGTCACTTGCCTGCAATTGTGGCTGCTTGTTCCTCAATCGTCCCTTCAGCCGGCTCTTTCACTGGGGACTCGAGATTCGTGAGTAGCCACAGGCGCTTTTTGCCAGCAAGCTTTTTGTCGCCCGCTCGCTCAATAAGGAGGCCCAACCCAACCACCACCGCATCGAGGACTGGTTTGGGGTCAAGTTCAAGAACCGGGAACATGAAACACAAACTTCTACAAAGGCTTTCTTCGCTTGAACTTATCTGCACCGAGATACAATACAAGATGCTTCTGACGACAGCTTGGACCAGAATCGAAATCCAATGGTACACTTGATGACAAGTGCTGACTCTTGAGTATTCTTTAGCAAACAGTCAACTAAGCTGTTGATACTGGGGATACAGTCAGCTGTTCCATCTCCTTTGGGGAGAGTGTCCAGCTGCTTCACAAAGTTCAAGTTGACTGGCTGGATGGGGTTCGCCACAATCACCCCCTCGTATCCTCCCATCTGCTCATTCAGGTCGTTGTCCGTATAGTCGCAGCCAAACAGGACAAGCCCCACTTCATCCTTCTGACCACTCGCAGAAAGGAACTGCGGGCCACAGAGAGCGAACGTCAAGGTTCCGGTAGAAGATTACTTCCTTACCTGGAAAAAGCTTTCCTTCAAAGTTCCTTGAGTTATCCGACATCACAGGTGGGCATAAGTGTGGGGCTCAACTGCTAATGCAGTGGCGTCCATTGATGAAACAACAAAGCAAAGCATCTTTACTTTAGCTTGTACACTTCGAATTGAAGGCTGCCAACTTGTTGCAGCAGTGTTTGACGTGCGCACTTATACGATGGTGCGTCGCAAAAACACGTAAGAGAGGCCATACATCTGGACAGATTGCAGCTACGCTTGCCACTCTGCTTTTTCATTGCATGTGGCAATATGGTGGTACATGTTTGAATGGTTCCCTAGATTATCCATGATGAGCTCAGGTTATACTACAAGTGAAGCTACACACCCGTACCCACTTTAAACCGCCTCGTTAAAGCCCACCCGCTCCAGAATTCTGACTTGAGCTTATTCCAACCAATCTTAAAACCAATTATAGTTAGTGGTGGTGGCTGCACCTTTTGTTGGAGATAACCTTGTAAGCAGCGGATCGTTTCTTGGAGGTGCGGGTGCATCGATGTGCTCACATCGAGAAGGATCACTGTCGTGTCCTGCAGCAACACACAAACCTTATTGAGGCCACCAGAGTCGACACTCTACCACTCTACCACAAAATGATGCATGTTCCAAGATCGCTACTCCTCTTCCTGTCCTGTAACATCCAAGCTGCGTTGCAAACAGAGACACAGTCAGAAGCAATTGTATCAAGATAACAAAAGATGATGTTCAAATGTCGCACTGACCTTGCTGCGAGAACCCATTCTTTGAGCTGATGACTCCTCCCAGCTGGAGCAACCTGTCAGGTGACTTTCAACGTGTCCCTGCACCGTCTATGCATTCATCAAGCGCTACCTCCCATGCGAATGCTGTGGATTCAAGCAGATTGAAAAGCCAAAAGTGCAACATTCCTTCCTTCTACCCTGAGCTTGAGCGGCTGGATCAGGCTGGATATTTTGTTCATTTCTGATTCACAGCAGAGCTGCTTCCCATTTTAGAGATTCTCCAAGGGTTATCTCGTAACCGGTCGCGGTCAGCTTCCATAGGTGTCAAGAAATACAAATCAAAAGGCGCCGGAAGGAACGTGACACCAAGGTCTGAGACTGAGGTTCGAACTGGGGGGTTTAAGGGAGCACACGACTCGTGAGCCCCCACGGCGCACTCCCAACTTTCAGAGAAGGGCACGTTCCGACCATTCATTGTCAAGAGGGGATTCAGGACAGGAGAGAGAGACGGCATTGCCATCAGCATTTGAAGACCAAAGGCAGAAGACGCTGTTGAGGCTTTCTCTGTCGTGTGGCTGTGCTAAAGTACGAGGCAGCGATGGCGTCCAGTGCGTGCGTCACAGGAAGTGCTGCAGGTCTAATGCAGCAGAGAGTTGGCAGCCTGGCAAATTTCCGGAAGGAGTTCAATGGCCAGAGGATTGTGAGCCCAAGCAGCGCTCCTCTCATCAAGCGTCAGCAACCTTTCTTGGCGAGGAGCGCTGGTACGGCTTGCTGCATTGCCCTTTTTTGTGTTGCTGGCTTTTGAGTTCACCAATTCACCAAGTTGAATCTGGTGTTGCGAAGTCTGTTCGGGCCGTCAGTTTGAGTGCGGTTATTGCCAGCACTTGCATGTAGAGTTGCAGTCACTTAGAAACATTGCGAAGTCTACTCGACAAGTGGCACCACAATGCCGGCTCGGATTGGAGAAGTTTTCGTTACATTTGATTCTGGCATACAAAGTAAGAAATTGCCGGTGGTGTCTGTAAGAATGTCTTGTACATCTGGAGTTGTGCTTTGATGGTGCTGAGTCCAAGTTCAGGTCTGATGCTTATTCGCATATCTCCAAACTCAACTTGTCGTACTTGTCACTCGTGCACTTATGTTTTTCTTTTGACCACCACCAAGCCATCGATGCTTCCTGCACTTTTGCTACACCTCATCGATCACTTTGAAACAAGGAGGCTTGCATCTATGATTTGGGATCCGGATGATGCTTTCTGCATTCCTCTTGTTCGTACGTATTTTGTGATGCACTTCAAGATTGCTGCAGTGCACAATGGGAAGAGGCGTATATGCCAATACAGAAGGCAGACAGCTGGCTCCAGCTTATGGGGTTTGTTGTGGTTGACGGGACCTCTGAGTTGTCACTGAATGTTGCAGACAATCTCAACGTACTCGATTTGTGGCCCCTTTGGCAACAGACGTAACCACCGTGTTGCACAGTCTAGCGGGATAATCCACATCATTCCACATCGTGATGTTGGCATAGTTTTTTCCAGAAGACGGTTTGCAGAGCGGTCCTGCTGGATCCTAGAACGACTTTCCTCTTGCAGCCAAGTCCACAGAAGCACAGTCGGTTGAGCAGTGGTCAAAGTCTGTCCGCCAGATGGTCTGCGGCGCCTGCGCTGCCCTCACTCTTGCGGGGGCTGCCGTTCCGGCTTTAGCTGCGAGCTCATCAGGAGCCAGGCTTCCTCCCCTTTCGACGGACCCCAACCGGTGCGAGAGAGCGTATGTAGGCAACACCATTGGACAGGTAGGGCACCTTTTGACCTGACCTCAAACCCCAATGATGCAAATTCTTTGACTCTTGTTCGGCAAGTTGCATCTTTATGTTTGAAGCTGAACACATCGAAATTCTACTCACCCTTAGACAGCTGTATATAATCACTGGACACTGCAATCCGGGATACTTGGTATCCTGAGGGGATATCATGAGCTTATCCCAAATTTCCTGGAAGTCTCCTGTCGCACAATGGAAGACAAGCTAAACCCACTATCCAGAGCCACCTTTTGTTCCCCGCACAACAGCTACTCTGTTAGCTCAGGGCATCAGTCGAATTGATAAAACGCCTTGCTAACCTGCTTCTTTTGAGTACCCTGCTGTCACAGTTTCTGCTACGATCTTGTCTGTTGTACGAGGCTGGTGACAACCTGCTCTCCTGCATATGTAAGCGACACCACTTTCTACTGCAGGCAAACGGTGTGTCTGACAAAGTGCTTGACTTGCGTAACTGCGTCTACACGGGTGAGAAGGAGCAGCTCAAGGGGAAGGTCCTGGCGTCAGCGCTCCTGCCGGGGGCCAACTTCGATAATGCGGATTTGTCTGAGTCAATCATGACCAAGGCGTATGCAGTAGGTGCTAGCTTCAAGGGTAAGTATTCGTGAAGATTTCGTCTGATTCTAAAACAGGCTTTTGCTTTCTTCTGGTTTCAACCATGTTTCAAGTATCATACCACCATGATCGTCTCATGTGGCTTGCAGCAAACGAACTGCTGGCCTCTGGAGAACGCTTTTACACAACCAGAATTGGGTGCATCCGCAACTTATGGAGCACATTCTAATGGAGAATACCGCATTCGAGAGAAGTCGTCAGCTTTTCAAACCTTAGTGGCAGCTAGTAGGCTGATAGAGTACTTCTGATTTGAAGGATCTTCATGAGACTCCCTCACCTTGAAATACTTTTGGTTCAAAACGCATTTTGACCAAATGTTTCTTGTTCAGGAACCGATTTTACTAGCGCAGTGGTAGACCGTGTTGCTTTCGAGAAGGCGGACCTCAGGGGCGCCATCTTCAGAAACACTGTCCTCTCCGGGGCCACATACGTGGGCGCCAACTTGGAGGGCGCCACATTTGAGGATGCTCTTCTAGGCTACATCGACGTGCAAAACCTGTGCAAGAACCCCACCCTCGGAGAGGATGCGCGCGTTGAGGTTGGGTGTAAATAATCGCCTAGCTGTTGAGGTTGCTGCCGAGGACCTTACTCCCCTGCTGCCCGTGGACTTTTGGCGACCTTGCATGACGGGCTACTCATAAAGTAACGAGTTGCTGCTTAGCTCCGCTGTACTCATTAATTGCGGCGTGGTTGGGTGCAATAGGAGCACTAATCTGGTCAGTGTGATTCTCAGGCACAAATCTTGAGCAACAGCTCATGCAACTTCTTGACATCCTAGATGTTGAAAACGAATTTTTGGCCGATGATCCTGGAGAGAACCTGGCAGCTGATGCCCCTTCATCCAATTCGATCAGGTTTCGACATGTTTTTGGATTGAGCCCGACGAGTGCACACATGACGAGGATCTATACAAATACACAAGCACGCGCTCATCGACGGTCATGTACGTGCGTTGTAGTCTAAATGTGGTGACTAGGCTTCGAGAGCAGCATCGGCCAGACAATGCACTTATGTACTTGTACATGGTACATATCATGCGCATGTGCTTGTGAGTCTGCTTATTTGTATACGTGATTGATCTAGCTGCCGTACAAACTTATCGACCCTCAATTGCTGCCTATCGATGGGACGTACGTTCAGGCTTGGTGCAATAGGGCCACGCGTAGTACAAACTTACTGCTATATAGTGCCACATAACACATCGATTCTGCACGCGTCCATGGCGCGGCTGCATGCATGGACACTTGAAGCATTACTCATGTAGTGATCCATCAAAGCACCTGCTAAGTACCGCGTATGTCACTAGCTCTTAGCTCTTGACTATGCGCCACAAATAAAGGCTGCTGCACGCAAGTTATCTAGGCGCGGCAAGCCAGCGCCTCGACCCGCCAATTTCGATCAGATAGGATCTTTTCAGGATTCTTTATCGTCGAAGCTACTTGGGCGCCTAGTATGTATAGCGTGCGGCTGCTGCAGAGTGCGTGATTCACTGCATAAAGGAGGGGCCCGATGTATGCGCGTCAAACATGGTTACATGCCACCAGTCAAGCTCAAAAAGTGCACACATAAATGCAGAGCGCAATGCAAGCGTTAGGTAGAAGATGATAAGCTATGTACGTATTTAGTCCAATTTCGAGCCACCGTCCACAACGAGCATGCCTGTCTTTAGTTAAGGATCTATGCATATTACCTATTTACTCACAATTGGACAACCCTGTCGTACACTACATTGACTGCATAACGGTGGCTATGATACACTCTCGAAACTTATGCTATATAAGATTGCTACATGTGTCTCCCCGTCGGCGCGTGCTTCAACGTGTTTACATTGTCTCGAAAAGCAAGGTTAGCTCTGGCCTAGCTCCAGAGCAGGTACAGAACAAAGTTAAGAGACCAGCACCTAGTCAAAGTCCACCGCCTCTAGCAGCTCCCGTTGAGCCTCTGAATTGAATATGAAATGAGCGTGTCGGGCTGTCGCGTTCCATATGACCCTGACGCCGTTCCGCTCAAGTTGCCTGCATCAGTGAACAGGTCGAGGGACCGTGACTCGGTTGGTGAAGCTGTGAGAGCCGACTAGATTCAAAAGCGAAGACAAAGGACTGGTGAATAGCACACTGAGTTTTGAAAACTGGAGACTCTCATATGACAAACTCACAACGACAAACAGCTTTCTTCGCATGGTTCTGTCCCACAAGAACTGAGCCCTTGGCAACAACACTTGCTTCTTGACCGCACATCCTGATCCAACCACTGACCCCAAACACATATGCATGGAAAACCCAATATGTCGCTACGTGAGCAAGTCAGAATATGATTATGAGCCCGGAACTGCAAGTAGCGACAGGGAGAAGGGCTCACATTTTGACTTCTTTCGAGGGGACAATCTGGTCCCGGCCGGAAAGGAAGACGACCCGGTTTTTTGGTAGCTGGTCCGGCCACACCATGACCTTGTGCCTGGATACGTAAACAAATTGTGTGGGTTAGCGACAGGTCGCGATAGTGGAAATGTTGGGATGAAACAAGCGGCATGGCGAAGACACCACAAAAGAACAACGAAGGAAGATACAACAACGTGCGTGCCATAGAGAGTAAGTGAGAGTGGCGCCGCTTGCAATCTATGACTAAAAAGTTGAAACGAAAGACAGTTCTTCAGCAGACTGCGTCAAGTTTCTCGGAATCCAAAAAACTCCGCTAGTGCGCCGGTACAAGAGTCGACCTTGATATAGAGCATGTGAATGCAACCGAGATTGCCGTGCTGAACTTTATTGCTGTGCTTAAAGGCGGTCGAGGTTGCTGTGCTGAATACCATGCACATTGACCGTGTTGCGTCTTACCCCTAACCAGACATATGGGTAATCAATCGCCACTACCATAACCTGAAGCTAACCCGGAGTTCATCCGTAATTATCCGGAACGACAAACACGACCCGTTGGACGAACTTGAAACTCATTCACATCTCCGTCCACTTTCGAACTCCGTGTCCTATCCGACTCCTAAACATTCTTGGGAGCCATCTAGACAACATGATCCCAGCCAGAACCGCAATCAGACGGCTGTTCCGACGCCCCAAGAACCAGTCCAACAGGTTCGAACAGCTCAGGGACCAGTACGGACGCACTTGGACGGCTCGGGGACCAAATCGGACGGCGCAACTTCAAGCAAGGACCAATTCGGACGGGATCGACGGCTCACCAGGCGAAGCCCCGGCAGAGCGCCTGGGCCACGTACAGCTCCCGGGAGCAGAAGTACCACCGGAAGGCGTCCGCAAGGTACGTCGGCAAATCGTCGCCCTCGGGGGGCCTGTACCGAGATCATGACGTCAGCATCTCGGCGAAAACTCAGATGCAATCCATTGTCCACGTACAGATGCGCAAGTGTTCGTGCAAACGCCCCCACTTGATTCTACTCAGATAACGTACCGCCGTCAAATTTGCGCGACAATACGAGCGCGCCAGCTGGAAAGCACGGCACGAGTCAACTTCCAGCGTCCCATTTACCCCCTCGGACTCCCCGTTAACCCACCTGTAATTGAAGTTGCAAAGCAAATCCCTGCCTAACCCGCCTGTCAACCCATCTCAGATACAGGTACAAACACACCCGGCCGAACCGCCCGACGTCCTCAATCAAGCCCCTGCCTAACCGGCACAGTAACCCACCTGTAGATGAAGTTGTAAACCACGTCCGGGAGGCACAGCAGAAAGCAGACCGGGTCCACGAGAGCGGTGCTCCCCACGAGCTGCGGCTGCGTCAGCAGCACTTTCGCGACCACCATCGTCCCGTAAGAATGCGCCACGTAACACGCCGGGGGCAGGCTGTGCCGCTCGTGGATGCCCACCAAAGCCGCCACCTGGCATGCGAGGATTGGTTGCATCAGCATGGAACCGGCGAGAGTGCGAAAGTTTGGAGCCTGCTAAGCAAATCCGAGCTCAAAAAAGGTCGTCAACGGAAGTGAATAGAACACGGATCAGTGAACCTTCTACATCAAGAGGTTTCCGTCTCAGCTCTCAGTTGCTTTCTTGATTCGTCACCTCAAGAGACTTGAAAACCATCATCTAGACCCAAGCCATCAGCGCCGGCTCCGTTCGAAATGCAACGGGTGCGATGCCGCATGCTGTCAAGATCGACACAACAAAGATCAACCACCGCCCCGTTCGGTCATTTTTCCGCACGAAAAGAAAAGCAAAACACGCGAGCCCAAAACTCACGGTTTCATCTAGAGTGGGCGGTCGCCGGTTGAGCCGCATCGCTATGTGGCCCAACTCCACGACAACGGACGCCCGCCGACGGTCCGCCATAAGTGCGGACACAAACGGCAGGTACGGCGTCACACCAATCCCCAGACCGTGGATGAACAGCTTCGGTTGCAGGCCGTGATCCCCGGAGGGGGGGCGGTACCAGTAACGGAGACCTTGCGCGGTGTGACTGGAGATAGAGAGAAAAGAACTTTTGAATTGTCTGATGCCATTGACTAAACATCCTCGTGTCTAAGATGCGAAGCATCTCGAGCGTTTCGTACTTTGTACTCGTTACTCTCATATGGGTCGAGGACAAATTGAGCTTTGGAGGGAAGATTCAAAACGTCTTTACCGCCTGAAAGGCCCGTATGCTCCGTAGCCGGAGCTTGGCGAAAAGGTTTCTAGGCAGAGACTGGAGACCTGGTGAGGAAATGAAGAAACGTGGTAACTTTTCGAAAGTTGAATTCTGCACAATGAAGGCTGGACGAACGGGTCGAAAAGAGTCTGTTTGAAATAGTAACAGAGGGACTCTCAAGGAGCGTAGATGTGAATCCGTGGAGACAAAAAAGCAGGGGACGGGTATAAGGCTGTGAAGGGCATCCAGATAATGCAAGCAAGCATCCAAGAGAAGGGACCTTATTCGAAACAGGAGCGAAACACTTGGATGTCGTTGCTAAAGAGGAGACAAAAGGTCGCATCCAGAAAGGAAGGGAATATTGTAGGCCACACCGTATGACGGAAGTGGCCGTTGCCCCGCCCTCGACGCTCCAATCTGCCTTGCAATCCTTTCAGGGCACGCACATCGCGGCGACCAAAAAAAGGTAGCATACCAATTTCGCGGTCGCCCCAGCACTCACCTTCGGTAGCCCATCAGTCGAAACGCGTTCCCCACGAGTACTGACACCGCTTGCGACCAGGCATAGAGGAAGAGGGGCCGGTGAGAGACTCGGAGGGGCTCCCGGTTGTGGGCCATGAACCGGATGTTCGGGTTCAAACCCGGAGGAAACTCGACCTCCCACGCCTTCTCGATCCTTCGGACATTCTCTGGAGTTGCATAAGAATAGAATGATTTCAGCACCTGCTCGACCGTTGAAAAAGGGAACGTTGCGTGATTCGAACTTCCGACAAAGTAGATGGCTTTCGTTCTCTCAACCTCTGTGAAGAGTTGAGACCACACTGGCACTTACTGGCACTTTAAAATCATGTTATTAAGCTCAATCGTGCTTTGCAGTCTCCCTGGAATACAGCTCCCGAGAAGCCCCATCCGCAATCATACAGAACAAAAAGAGGATTCAGAGGCTCTAAGTTTCAAAACTAAGTCGAGTGTCCAACTGCCCAGACGAAACGTGTCGCTTTTCCCTTATACTGTTTGTTGAAAGCCGAACACTCACTGTTGAAAGAACGGTTGATATCTCATCTTGGCTAATACTCGAACAATCGGCCCGAACGACACTGAATCGTCGACTCAATCGACAAACACGACGACAGCTGATGTGAACGCTCAATCACAATGCCACTCTAAAAACACCTGGACCCCCACAAACACGAAGTGCAGTACTTTCGATGCACCCGAAGGGCCCGGTGTCCGAAAATCTGATATTGACATTGACATGCCAACAATCTGGACGCGACGAAGTTGAACTTCCCAACGAGTGAGGTTGAGAAGCATAAGGCCGCCAGGTTTGACAATCCAGCTCGACGTGCCCGAATCCTCTAAGGGTCATCCTCTCTAAGGGCCATTCTTGAACGTCCCCAAGCCTCAGATGCTCAAAATGCGCGAAAGACCTTTAGTCTTTACCAGCAACCAACGAACATGGAAACGCTGGGACTCAACAAAATCATCGGTCCCTCTTGTCAATGACAGTGCCAGGGAACAACACGCCGGGAAGCCTAAAGCCGAAAACTCCATGTATTCCAAAATTCATTTACACGCCCCAATTTCACGGGAGAAGAATTTGGATCCTCGAACAACATCTTGAACATTGAAGACTCGATCCTGTAAGTTTCAACCTTCATTCCTGAAAATTTGTGACAAAGAAAGAGGCACCTCAAATATGTAAGCCCCACCTCTGACGGCCTCCTGCATTGCCGGGCTGAGCTCTTGCATGTGCCGGTCGTAAAACCCGTACGACACAAAGTCGGCAACGTTCTCGCGGCCGATGCTCTCAAACGGCGCACCTAGGAACCACCGGCTCAGGAACGACTTGGTGTCGATAATTTGCCTGCACGGAAAACAAACGAGGTTCGCTCTCCCCTTTTGATACGGCGCTACCATATGGGCGGTGCCAAGAAGGGAAAGCGCCCAGAACCTCCGACATTGACTTCGATGATGGTGAGGTAGAATTGACGTACCGAGACACAGTATGTGGACTGATGCCCTGCAAAGAAGACGTCCCTGGCTCGAGCACATGCCGTATGCCTTCTGCCCACCATTCTTCATGCTTCTACGCTTACATTCGTCTTTTATCAGTGTATGACTCGAGCTTCGATCCAGATTTTGGAAGCTCAGAAAGCATTATTGGCATGAACAAATCAGACATCTAGGGTGCCAAACACCGCGAGACCGCGACAAGCAAGCTTCTGTCAACCCTGGATTGACACCGCAAGGCAACTTTGCAAGGTCCCAATAGACACACGAAAGCTGAAAAGTGTAACGGGGTACTCCTTGACCTGATCGTCACTCACTTGAGCTCCAAAACACGGTCCAGCATCGTGACGACATCAGCGGGGCTGGGCGCGGGCCCCAAAACAATGGCGGCATCCACACGTCGCCGTTCAACCTCATGGTAGATCAAGAAGAGAGCCTGCGTTTACAGCAAAAGTAGACATGACTCGGCGCCTGACGCTCAATCTGTTGGAAACAGTCTGGGCCTTGTGACAGAGGCCCAGAATCATATAGGCTGAAGCCCCGCTTCAGTATAGCTGGTATTTCTGCGCGAGCTTTGTGGGCAGAACTGTCCTGAGAACTGGAGGCTTCGAATGTAGAACATAGTGGTTCACTTTTATGCGAGCATCGTTCATTGCGACCTAATTCCCCTCGATTGATCACGAACGTCTTGATAAAATTACCCGTTTCGTTTTTACTGCCGCTTGCGCACATGACTTTACATTGCCAATCTTGGGCTTCAGAATGAAGGACAAGGGAGTACCAGTCAAACGCCCAAGCAGCCAGGCATGGCTTTTCAAAGAAAATGGCTATTCTTCTCCATGTAATGTGAGCAGTAGAACATGTAACCAGGCATGCGCTGTATCGAGCATCGAAAGATAAGAACAGCCTGGATTTTTTGTGGAAGCAAAGCTCTCAGCTATCCTTCCAAGTTATCGACCAAACAAAGCCCACGTGGCTTTTGATACAGCTGTCAAACTCCAAAAGCAGTGCGCGTTCAGGACAAAGCAATGAGCAATCGGCTAGCATGAAACTCACCTCTAGTGTGCACCAGGCGCCCCCAATGAGGGGCAGAAATTGCGGAGCAAAGAATGCTGTGGCGATAAATGGGAGGGACGGAGCTACGTAGATAGCAACAGTTGTCAAGATCCTGCAGGGTGGACATAAGAAAGGTTCGGCCCACGGGGTAGACTGCCTTGGAGAGAGTGGCAAAAGATGCATGAAGGAAAGGTTCATAAGCTATGTCTTTTCTGTAAGCTGCGTGCAGCGCCCAAAATGTGGTGAAGCGTTTGATTGGGAGCATAGACAAATGCGCCTCTGCAAAGAATCCCCAAAGCTCTAACACAAGAAACTATAAGAGGAGAGCTCTCTAGACGGCAGCACTCGCCGGAGTACTTTCACAGTATACTTACGGAAGCATTTCAGCCCAATACCTTCACTTCTGAAGACCAAGTTCGGCGACGCCAGCATCAATAGCCAAATACATGTTTCCTGTAACACATTCCTTCAGCTTGCCAGCTGTCCTTCTGAATTTCCTCATTACTTGTATTCCTCCCCGCCACACGGGCAGTGCGCCAAACACAGATTGACCTATCAACCCTCACAGTTGCATCTGTTTTCAGCTGACGATTCAATCGGCACCATTCTTCAAATGGTCCCAGCTCAGGCCTTGTGCTCGAAGTCACACCACTTCTGCAGCATGCAGGATAGGAGCTGCGCAGCCATTCCAACCACAATCACCAGCTCGCTCCATAACTTCAACATCAAAATACCCTCAAACTCCATATCTTTCTCAACCTTGCAACTTGTCGCTCCATATCTTTCTTAACCTCGCAACTTTGTCAACTCCATATCCTCTGTTAGCTCAAGTGCCCTCACCAGATCCATTGCTCCGTCCGCTGCCTCCCTCCCGCCCCCGTTGCGTCGCTCTGCCCCTTCGCAAACGTGTCCTCACGAGGCGCCGCCCGTGCGCCACTTGCAAACCGCCCCTTTTGCCGCAGAAAGTCTGCAATCTGCCAGTACCCCAGACCCACCGACTCCCGCCCAAACCGCTTGCTTTTCACAGAACAAGGACTCCCCCTCCGCCTAAGGCTTCCAGGCTCAACGAAGGAGCTTGTCTGGTGATTGACCAAGAGTCTGTCTGCCCGCCCAGAGATGGACCAGGGGGTAAGGGAGAACATCCTTCCGAGAGAGGAATGGCTTCGCGGCGCATGCACGGAGAGACCTGTCATGCCGGCCTCTTCCAAGCACTTCATGCAAACCCGCGACGCGCCCACCGGACTGATGGGCATGTAAAGGCACGGCACGGAGATGCTGCCTTTAAGAGAACGCTGCTCAGGAACGACCTACAAAGCATGGGCTAGAAAAAAGACCTCCAGCATGGTAAGCTCAATTCTGTGCACATACCTATGGTGGTTCCTACGTAGGGAGCGTCGATAGGTAGGCTTTCGTTGAGCTGGGCGCGACGTACAGCTTGGCAGGGGACAATCACGATATTGGTGGGCTGGTGGAGCACTGACATCATGAGTGCCTCACCAGAGACGGCAGCAGTCCAGCTGTAAACACACACAGCTCTGGATTTTGTGCTGATTTGGCAAAACCTTCCTCGAAATCAGGCAGATCGTTGTGAAGTTTGTGAACCTGAACTGCGATCGAGACTGGTCGGTGCCAGTTGGCACCACCTACAGTTCGGAGCCGTCGATGGTCGCGCAGGATGATTTCGTTGGACTTTGAACCGTAGATGACCTGACAAGTGACGTACCCCTTCAGGTCTCCAAGCTGGATACCATGCACGTCGTCGCTTACCTAATAGTAATAGATCACCAGCATGGCCCGGTGAAAGTGTCCGATCACCGTGAAACACATGTATTCCACATGGTTAATTCTCCTTTAAGTATGCTAGGTTTCATATAGTCAGGGTATAGGGATATCCTGACTGATATAACCCGAGGGTTAAGGCAGAACTGCCATATAGTCGCCTCGTACTGTCCATGTAACTCGAAATCTCCAACCAAGAAGAATCGTCACCAGTTCGTCATAAGCAATCTGTGAAGCATCCTCATCTTCGTCCAAGCCGGTAAGCACCCTCAACTTTGAAGCACTTGTACTCTTTCCATAAAGCGATCGACGCTCTAGTGTGGCTTTGACGGATTAGCTGTTATCAATCAGGCGCATAATGAAGTCGGCTGAACTCGAGATTGACAATGTTCTTTGAGTATCTTAACTCACTCATCATGACACGGAAGGACTCGTTTTAGGTAGAGCAGCAAGTTTTCAGGGCCACCCCGATTGTTCTAGAGGCTCTGCAAAACTTCACCCCTAGCCTCCGCTGCTCGGCAGGCCCTTCTCCCCTTCAACGCTAGGCAAAATTGCTCTCTCTTGAGATGGTATAATTCTAGGGGGCGGTGCCATATGCAGACTTGCATCCTTGTTAGGCGTCTGGACTGCGTCCCTAACTAAGAGCGGCACCTGCGCTGCCCCACTCATTGGCGGCTGCGGTGGCATCAAAGGGGTCCGCTCGGGAACGTCCCTTAGTGGCGGGTGCGGTGGCATTAACGGTGTTCGCTCCGGACCATCCCTAACTGGCAACTTGACAGGGACTGCCAGATTTCCTAGGTGCGTTTCAAACGTCCTCGCCGGAGCTGTCTGTGCAATTGCCTGTGCCATATTTAACGGTTTGCTTGGGCTTGGGGCGCTTGCAGGAGCTGACGCAGGGGGGCGGGCGAGCATCGTAAAGTCGGACTGCGATTGCAGGCCGTTGGAGTCGGCAGGTGCCTTGTAACCTGAAATAAAAGTGACGGCTAGTCAGACGACTGGAAAAAGCGGGAAAACAGCAGTATGGTCGACTGGCATCGGAGCTTGTAGGTGCGGTCACTAAATCTTTTGACTGATGCCAGTATTCCAAGTTGACCCGATCACTTCCACTGCATTTAGAACGAGTCCAGAAACAAGCGGTCATGAAGCGAAGTCACTCTGCTGGCAATCAGCCTCGGCCTGGGTCCGAGTAAAAGATTTGATTTTTGGATCAAGGTTCCGGCTGAAAAGAGATTATTGGCTTCGGCCGACAACAAAGGACTGCCGTTCACTGTCTGCACTCTTGCTAAAGCCCTACCCCTGAAAGCTTTAAGCAAGCCAACCCACCTTGTCTGGACATGTCCGGCTTGGCCAACTGCGGCTCCATTGGCTGTGGATGCTGGGCTGCACCCGTTTCTCTACCCTGCCTCCCCGTCGGGCTATTGCCCTCCCCCGCCGCCCGTTCCGGCCCCGGATGCGCCGGCATCGGCGGCGACTGCCGCGACCCCGGCACACCCGCCGAGCCCTGCTTCGGGGCGAACGGCAGCGGTAACTGCCCGAGCCCCACGGTCGCCGGCAACCTCGCCCCGTTTCCCCCCCGGCTGATCGGCCGCGCCATCTGCATGTGCGAGACCGCGGGCCCCATCTCGTGGCTTCGCGCCGACCCCGGCGTTCCGTTCCGGGATCCGTTCCCTACCCCGTTGCTCGGGTTCGCGCTCCCGGAAGGGTTCCGCCCGAGCGTCAACCCCGCGCCGAGCTCCCCGGACAACCCCCCCTGCGCGTGCATGTTTCCCGAGGCTGTGGCTACCCCCCGCCCCTGCGGCTGGCCACTTTTCCCCCCTTGCTGGCGCGCCATCGCCCCGACTGGCTGCGCCTTCCCCTGCTGCTGCGCGAAGAGTAGCGCCCCCGGCGCAAACTTCTTCGCCTGCGCGAACGCCGCGTACTGCTCGGTGGCCTGCTGCACGGCCGCGGCCGCGGCGGCCTGCTTCTTCTGCTGGTCGTGCGCCTGCTGATCCGCCAGGTACTGCAGCTCGAACTCGACCTGCTCCTTCTGCCGCTGCCGCGCCGCGCGCCGCTCACGGTCCGCCTTCTTTTTCGTCTCCTCGTCCGCCTTCTTTACTCCGCCCAGTTTCCCCTCGCCCCCCCCAGGGTTCCCATGGTTCCGGTACTGCCAGCTCTTGTCATCCCCCCCGGGCATCGCCAACCCGCCCATGTGCTGCTGCGCCACCATTCCGGGGGGTAGAGCGTGGCCCGGGCTGGGGAGCCGCTGCTGGTTAAACAGCCCCCCCGAAGCGGAAGACGGCTTTGCGAAGTTCGCCGAGCCGCTGCCCTTGCCGTTCTTCGCCTGCTGGCGTGCGAACGCCTCGCCGCCCTTTTGGGGGGCTGCCTGGCCCTGCGGCATCGGCCCGAGGCTCCCCGCGCGCTGCAAATACGTGCCCCCTCCCCCAGGCCCAACCGGCCGCTGCTGGCTCGGCGCGGAGAGGTCAACCAGTCTCGACATTTGTGCGGACCCGCTCGGGGCCGACTGGCCGCCGAGCGACAAGCCCGGCCCCTGCGACATCGGCTTCGGCTGCTGCTGCGACATTGCCCCAAACGACTGGGACGCGATGGGCCGCCCGCTCGAGCTGCCCAAACCCCCAGTCCCGAAACTGGGCCCCGGGCCCGAGGAGGACGCGAACGGGTACCCCTTTTGCATGCCCAGCTGCTGCCCTCGCCCCCCTGTGGGATCGGACAACGGGAGCTGTTGCATGCTCCCGGGGCCCCCCGACTGCGCCAGCTTCCCGCGAGGCAACACCGTCTTTGGAGGGGGCCCTTGCGCAGGCCCTTGCGCCCCCCCAGAGCGCTGCCCTGGGGGCCCGAACGAGGAGGGGCCCTGGGCCCCGGACCCAGCCCGCGAAGGCGGGATGATCGAACCCCCCATCCCCGGAGAGGGCCCTTCAAGGTCGAGTGAAGGGGACGCTTTCCCCACCGCTGATTGCTGCTTTGGCAACGGCTTGGTAGTTCCTTCGCGGCTCCGCTGCCCGCCACCCTCGCTGGCAGACGGCGGCCGGTGCACCTGCTGCTGCATCCGGCCTTCTTGTTCGTTCCACTGCTGAATGTACAGGTCCCGATACGACTGGAGGCTCCCCTCGGGAGGCCCCCCCGGCTGCTGGTCCTTGTAACGCCCGCCCTCGGGCCCTCCCCTACGCTGCCCCTGCTGCTCGATGCTCCTCCGTTGCGCGTCTGCCAGGAACTCGGCGAAGTTTGCTGGCATGGGACCCATGTTCGGGCCCGGGGGAAGCATCCCGGGCGTTCCAATCATCGTTGTGTGCCCGCGCGGGACCATCCCGGCTGCCGCCGGATTCAACCCGAGGGGTCCCGGACCAACCGACGACTGCGAAGGGCCGTTGCGCTCGTTACCGGCAAGAGAAGGGTGGCGCTGCGGAGGCGGCGGCTGCTGCTGGCTGGTGGGACCCTCCGGGCGCGCCGGTTTGTACGACCCGTCCTTCCAGCTGGCTTCGAGTTGGGAGAGCTGCTTTTGGTACAGGAGATCGGGGCTCTGCAAGAACGCGGGGGGGAGGTCGAGCGAGCGGTACGGCGGCGCTCCCCCCAGTTTCTGCTGCTGCTGCTGCTGCTGCTGGCGCGCTTGCTGCTCCCGGCTCTGCTGCTCCAGGAAGCTCTTCATGGCGGGCCCCTCCGTCGGCCGGCCCCCCCGCTCGCCGAACTGCTTCCGCTCGTCCATCTCCCGCATCTCCCCCTGCTGGGGCGGACGCACCGGGCGGTTGTTCAGATTGGGGCGCACCTTCTGCTCCCGTTCCTCGCGCTGTTCCCGATTCGGCGGGGGGTCGTTGTGCGGAGGGGGGCGAGGGCCGGGCATGGGCTGCTGGTTGAGATTGGGCCGTGCGAGAGTTTGGGGTTTGACATCTAGGCCGGCAGAGGCGGGGGGGCCTCCTGTTGGCTGGGGTAAGTGCTCATTGGGAGAGTGATGTGCATGGAGGAGTTGAGGAGGAAGACCGCCCTGTGGCGGAATGCCCAGACTCGTTTGCAAGTACGCCATGTATTGTGCCACCTGCAGGAGAAGCAATTGTCGTTGTGAGCGGATTCCGAGATAACCTCTTTCCAGATTTCGGAGTAGGTAAGGGCAGCAGCACTGTCTTCGCGTCAGATCTGATGGACACGACTTTCTCCTGTCGGATCGTTACAGAGTGTCAACCGAAGACGCCAACAGACAGAGCGGGTATGGGTGCTTTTCATAACCAACAGAGCAGGGCGGGCCCCATCCTTACTCCTGCATTTCCCCGACCCCTGTTACACTAACCCGAAGTCGAACAAGAAAGGTTTTTGATGGCGAAACGGGGCTGTGGCAATGCATCACGAGGTGACAAGTAATCCTTTTCGCACGTTGTAGACTCTTTGAAGGACAAGTCCAACGGCACTCTCAAAAGGTTGTGACACGCCGACAAAACCATAAGACCACCTTTCAGCAAGCGCAGTCTTGACTTACCGCTGCTGGCGAGATCCCCGGAAGGTGCCCACTGGCCCCAGAGAAGGGGGGGAAGGGGGGCAGGTTCAAGGACGCGGGGTTAAACGGGAACGGGTAGCCGTTCTGCTGAAGCATCGCCAAGTGCTGCGCAGCATATGCCGCCTGGGCCGTGACTTGTGCTGTCCCCGGACCAGTGGGGGGGTTGCCAGCCTGCCCGCTGCCTTGGCTAGCTGCCGGTGGGGGGTTCGGGGGCGCTGAAATCGGGGGGGGATCGGAGCTGGGAGGCGGAGCCTGCGGAGCACGGGGGGGCGAGGTGCTCTGGGGAGGGGGAGTGCTGTACTGTGACTTCGGTGTGGGCTGCGGAAGAGGAGGAAACCAATTCAGATATAAGTGGGAGGTAAGCTCGTCCACCGTTTCGAACCTAACTAGAGGCCGCGCAGGCACTGCAAACGTCAGTCAAAAACAAGACCAAAGCTTCATGCGAAAAGCTGCTGGTCATGAACACCGCTCCACAAAAGCGTCCTGACTCGCAGGTCAAAATCAGCTCGAACTTAGCATACAGGTCGAGGCGGCCAACACCGTCCTTCTTTCCAAGAATCAAGAGCACTTCCACTGTCATTTCATGGCGCGATGATTGCCAACGAAAGCCAGCTCACCTGCATGCTGGGCCCAAGCGGTTGCTGCGGCGGCTTCCGCGCGCCCGCGTCCTGGAAGGCAGACCCGATCGACCTTCCCGGTGGCCCCTGCCCTGCCCCCCCCTCGCCCATCTCCCCAACAGGGCCTCTCTCGTGCTTGACTGCTGCAGAGGGAGCGGGACCAGGCCCTGTCTCAGATGGTGCCGGCACCGAGGGGCCACTGCCCCCACCGGGAGCGCTCGCGTTGGCGCCGAACGCCATTGGGAGGGGCGTGGGGGGCTGCTGCGGCATCCGGAGGAAGAGGCCGGCGTTGGAGAGCTGCATGAGGGTCTGCTGGTACTCGATGTAGTGCGCGATGTACACGTGCGAGGCGCAGCGCTTCCAGGGCCGCCGGGGGGGCAGCATGTAGGAGGGAATCTGTAAAGGGGGGGAAAGATGGGATGAGGGACTTTGACAAGACAGAGTCGCAAGACATTCGAGCCATGTGAGAAGGGAGGATCGAGGACGGTACGAAACCTTGAATCACGGGTAACACAAAAGCTCGACAACATGCAGATTCATGCAGAGCATTGAAGGCGACTTTGCAGCAAAAGACATGCAGCAACCGGATAGACCTTGACGGGGAGGGGTCACACCGTTGAGATATTTTCAGACCAGAAAGGTGTCCAAATTTCGGCCCGTCTGCTTCCAAAGGATTGTAGATTCCGGGTAAGAAGTTGTTAGACAAGCATCAACATGTCGAGTAGACCTTTCCGGCCTGCTAGACTCACATGCGCCTGTGCGGCGGCCGCCGCCGCTCCACCTTCCCTTCCGTCCATCCCTAGTTGGTTGGGCCAGGTGGCAGCTGCAGCCGCAGCAGCAGCAGCCATGGCCTGGTTGAAGTACCTGGAAACGAAGGGAATCGACAATAAGCACAGATTTGGAAACTCAAAGAAACGTTTACTGCCTATCTCAAACTGTCCTTCACAGTACCGAAGGGCTGGGAGGTATCTGGAAGAGCAAAAGCCACACACGTGACGAAGGAACGGCACCCTGACGTGAGTGATGAGATACGAAGGAATGACAATGCACGGGAAAAAGGTTGAGGGAATGATGCAGATAGTAGCCACTATGCAAGCAAGGTCTTTTGGAGACTCAGATACCAGACACAGGGGAGCACCTTGCTATCAGCAGATACTCACATTGGGGGCATGCTTCCTTGCGCCCAGGCTGGCAAGGGAGCCCCAGGGCCTGGCAAAACAGCAGCAGATGCCGGAACAGGGGACGAGCTCGGAGGAGCGTTCGTTGGAGTGGGAGCAACGGGAGCCGGGGCTGACTGAGGGGCTGAGGGGGGGCGGGACACAGACGGCGCCGTAGGGGGCTCTTTCTCAGAGGCTGCAGGGTTGTCAAGCGGTCAACGTTAGCATGAGGATAAGGCACTCGGAGTGCTCTTGAAAAGTCTTGTCTAGACGTTAAGTTTGTCCTGTCCAGTGTAAGGAGAATAACATGTCACATCAGAAGCTCACTGCTTGAATGTCATCTCAGTCAAAGCAGCAGGCCCATAAAGGGGAAACATTTGGTGACCAGTATTGTATCGGGGGGTTGCAAGCTTGTGAGGCAGTAATAGAAGTTGGTTTCCAAGACCTTATGATTTGATGGTCAAGCGCGAACTATCCAGAGAGAAACTTTTGCAGCTTCCTATCTTGGATTACAGATGAAGCTTAAGACTCCCATGCAAGACATGAACCAGGGCAGAAGGTGTCCATTTTCAACACGGGGAATGTTTTGATACACTCCGGATCATAAATCCTAGGTTATTTGATTGGCAATGAGAACCCAGGAGTGGGCAATCTTGCATTCTAAAGGTGCTCACCAGCTTTTTCAGCTTTGAGAGATGCTGCCATCGCCTCCCTCTTCGCCGCCTTAGCAGACTTCTGCGAGGCTGGCTTGATTGGCTCCCTGTCTGACTTGTCGGAGTAGGATCCCTCTCGATCAAACTGAGTGGCGGAAAAAGAATCTGATGTCAGCACCTGGTGTACTTGCGCCCGAGAATGGATGTAAGTGCAGGTAACATCAGAAACCAAGCTATCGGAGCAGATGCAGACTTGCCGGTTAACACCAACTCCTTAACGTCTCGTTCTTCATTATCCCGTTGCCCCACTGTCCATCTGGTACCTCAGATTGCTCCCACTTGAACAAGGTCTTACATAAAATTGGATCAGTGCACGACTACCATTCCATCTGAGAGTGTGAAGGGATTTTACCTCGGGTTCTGCTTCTGGTTTGGCTGGCTTCCCAATGTGGCCAGACCTGCAGTTCAGAAGGCCGTCAGATCAGCCAAAGTGAAAAAGGTCTATCTGATTCAATCAACCTTATTCCATCAAAGGATTGCATCTTAATGGCTTCAGAAACAACCAAATGATTCACATGTGCCATTGGACAGAACCACGAAACATGCATTCTTTGACAGATGCTGAATGCAGCGCTCATTTAATTTGGGCCCATTGGAGATGTCAGCAGTTGATGCACTAATTGCGCCCCAGACAGACACCTCAACCAACTTGAAGGCAGACCACCCCTCACACCAGGTCAGGCCGGACCACGTTGAGGAGCGCATAATGAGCTCACCTCTTTACCACGTCGTGATCCCCCTTGCTCCTCTTCTTTTCCTTCTTCTCTCCATCCTGCCCCTTGCTCTCCTTCTCTTTTCTCTTCCTCGGCTCCTTGAGCTTGGGGGCAATGATGGGAACATTGCCCTCCGAAACATCCAGCCCCGCCTTGGCTTCCGCGCCCTCAGCAGGCTCTACCTTCTTCTGAGCCAACTTCTCCGCCGCCTCTGCTTTCGCCTTCTTCTCAGCGGCCACCCTCTTCTTCTCCGCTTTGAACGCCGCGATTGGGGGACCCACTGGCTTCTCCACTTTCCCCAGCTCTTTGGTGGCGGCTACGGACGCCGCGAGTACGTCCAGACCCGGAGCCAGAATAGACTCTGTCTCTGCCTTAGCCTGGTTCAAGCTGTCTTCCGCCAAGTTCGCTGCCGCTGCCCCCAGGACTGCCAGTGCCCCTCCATCCTTGCTGATGGGGACAGGTTCTGCCTTTGCGCGGGCCCGTGGCCTCTTGCGCTTGGGAGGGACCATGGCTGTTGCTGCACAAAGAAACTCCTTGTTTTGAACAACCGATGATCAACTGGAGCGCTCTGCGTGCAGGGCTTGCCAGAGCTTAACTTATTAGACGTCTCAAATGTGACCAAAACTTCCCAACCAAAAGCTCGTCCCGGCAATCCCTTTCCACCAAGAATCTACACTGAGACAGTCCTAATACGAGTACTGAAACCCCGGCACATGGATTGTACGCCAATGAGTGGGCTCTAAGTCCAAGAGGTAAGATCAAGAAAATCAACGCATGCACAACACTTGCCGCTCCTTGACAATGCAAAGAAAAGCGCACCTTCGAGAGCCGGTAAACTGGTACTGGCAGATGGTGCACCGTCCTCAGGGGGCCCTTCCCGCTTTGCAGATTTCTGCCTCTTCTCTTCCGTTGCAGCTGACACTGAAGCACTAGCTGAAACTGGAACCGAGCTCTTCAATGAGATGATTGGCTGCGAATCATCGTCCCCATCGGCACTGAGCGCTGGAGAAGATGCTTGTATCAAGGCTGCCGCAGCAACAGTAATGGCTGCGCTTGTCTTTGCAATGGCATCCTCTGACTTGGCTACGGGGGAAGCTGACCGGGCAGGAGAGGCAGGGGGGCTTGGCGGTTGCAGAGCTGCCATGTTTGCCAGGCCAAATAGAGCCTCCGCCACTTCCCGCTCTTGCTCAGATACGCTCACAGCAGCGGCTGCGATCTCCTGTTGTGATCATAGGAAGCAGCATCAGATGCAGGTTTCCCTCTGTGTACCGCACATACACACTGTGGCTCCTCGCAGACCATGTAGACATACTTAACTCCAGTGAAGGCTATGACTAGGCCACCAGCTACAGTGCATGATTGAAGACAGCAGACATGCACATTATTGGGTTTCTGTAAGTCCCATTTCATGGAAGCAAGCAACTTACCCTCTTCATTTTGCTGCTATTGCGCATCTTCTGAGGCATCCTGCCTCGCTGCAAGCACAAGTCAGGATGCTTCAAATGAGCTGTACAAACATGAATTAAGTGAAAAATCCAGAGAGTGCACGATAATCAATAATGAGGACATCTCAATGACCCAGATAGGTTAGAAACCCAACCACCAACAAAAGCGAGTCTGTCCACTCACTCTGGGCCCTCTGCCTGACGGTACTGAAGCCGCAGACGGCGAGGAGGCATAGTGTACAGCAGGCAAATCATTGCCACGAGCAGGATGCTGAGGATCCAGCCGCTTCGCCAACACTATAAACACGACAAATCCAAGAAAGTTATAGATGTTGAGCACACTTGTTTTTGCATCCAAAAGGCTTTTCAAAGATCTGTCAAGGGATGGACTCTTAAAGTGTGGCTTACAAACATGGCTTGTATTGCGAACAATAGCCATCTGCGTCTCATCTTCAGTGACAGCTCATGAGCAAACGGTGTACAAGCTTTGACATGTACAAGCTTTGCAGTCTTTCTGCCAAACTCACCTGAACGAGCTCTTCTGGGTATCTTACTTGGACCACCTCCCTGCACAAGAATCAAGCGAGCTTTCGCTTTCCAGTTCAACAACACATTTGAGTTGCCAACCATCAGTTTGCAAAGCCAGGAATACCGCATTGAGCAGAACATCATGGAGTAAACCACTGGATCATTGCACAGCCATGACATTGGCAAAAATGAGAACATTCGCATCTCAGGCAAAAAGCCTGAAAGTCATACCTGTATGCTCGCCGCCTCTTTGCTTTTCACAGGTTCTGAGATTTTGTCTTCAATTTCCTTGTGGTCTCCACTTCCACTCTCATCCATGCTGTCATCCCCAGGATCACTTGCCGATCCAGGACGTTTCCTCTTTTGTCTTGCCAATGCCTGGGCAAGTGTGTTTCCAGGAGGTGCATCTGACCCAGGAGAGTCCTGCAGCTCCGAGTCTGTTTCCATTTTGCCACTGTTATCCTTGGGCAATGGCCCTGCAAGCAAGAATCCAGCAAACAGATATAAACTTCACGTGCAAGTTTCTTGGTTCAAGGATACCACAGAACTACAGCCTTAACGGGACTGAAATGCCTGACCCGCAACAGGCTGCCCAAGTATGCTTTTGCTTCCGACCCGCAACCAGCCTTGGCAGAGGAGGATACAGCGGATATCTTAAGGTGCACAGTAGCTTATATGCACATTGGAATCTAACTATGAACGGGAACTGACCAGAAAGTTCCCTGAACCCACTTGTCCTTGGCCGACGAGGGGCTGCCAGAGGACTACCGCCATTGCCTCGGCCATAGCGTCGTTGGTCCATGCTGCTTGTATCAGTTGACAACAAAGAAGCAAACAAGCCACGGGAATCTGGTCTACAGGTCACTGCTGCAACTCCATTCTCTTCGAGTTCGCGAGGCGAGAGCTGTTTGAATCAGGCACTCCCTGCATGCACTGCCGTAACCTTGGCCCCGGGCAACTCTTTCTCGACCTTCCACTCAAAAGCTGCGTCAACAGCCACCAGGGTTGAGGTAGGGACGAAGAAGACGCATTCAGGAGCGAAGAGAAGCTGACTCATGCAGGGCAGCTGGGCTGAACATGGACATGATGGGAGGAACCTGAACGTGCCATTTCGAGGTCGTCCCAAACGCTCCCTTTCCCGCTCCTTGTGTGCTCCATCATACCGCGCTGTGCCGCCACGAGTGCACACGCTGTGCACGATCTGAGTTCATACAAGGATTCGAGGCGATCGACCCCAAAGCGCCACGTACTAGCCAACCGCCCCATACGCCATCATGAGGCATAATACGAATCCGAGGATTGGTCTGCGAGGCCGCCAAACATGAACGAAACGCTTTTGCTAGTCTGTAAGTTTGTTCGTTACCGCGTAACTGCCACTCAGGTGCCCCTTCCTCTGCGGTGCTCGTAGAAACTTGTCCACGATTGAGATTCGCCAAGGTCGGTTTCAGTGGCGAGCTAATCTGACGTCACTGAGGTGCCGCTGATTGACGGCGAGGAACCACCGCTGTTCATATCGGACGGCTTTGGTCGCGTCAGACATGGCCGGAAACCTTTGAGCGGCTGGTATCGAAAGGTGATGCCACAAATTTACCTCGCACAATTGATATAGGTACACCGAGGTGCAAACCGGCGACCGCTACCGGGGTGCGGGGCCGGGTGCCGCGGGTAGGTACCTAGTTGGTACTTACGCTGTCCCTAGAGGGCCTAGACACTGGATAGAGTACCTAGGTACCTGGTCTAGGAACCGGCCGGTATGATTGAGTACGCGGTGAATTCGGAGTTCTTTGGTTTCATGCAAGTTGCAACAACATACGGTAGGTAGGTACCGTACATGCACGCAAATGGATGCGATCGACAGCTCGGGAAAGACTAGCAAAGACATCGACGGTTACACATTCTGTACCGACATCTACGGTAGGTACCAAGCTTTCTCGTGCAATTAGGTACGTACCATTGATACCAATACCTACCTAGCATGATACGGTGGAGTCTGGACGCTGGACAGTAGGGATCTGTTCGTGACAAGCGTCCCCGGCAGGTACGTACGGGATGTGAAAGGTACCTACAGTAGGTACCTAAGAACAAAGGTAGGTAGGTACCTAGCCTGGTAGGTGAGTCAGGTACCGTACCTCCCTACTAGGTACCTACCTACCTACCGGTCGTCACCGTCCCAGGTACGTTCAGGGTTTTCCATGGGTAGGTACGGTAGGTACCGTAGTCCAAGGTAATGATTCCGAATAAATAAATAATTATTTGCATTCGGAAAGTCAGAAATTCAGGTTTCCCGTTCGGAAAGTGGAAATTCGGAAAGATTAAATAATTCTGAAATAGGCTTCGAAAGGCCAAAAATTGCTCAAATCAGCCCTAAAATGCGTCTTCAAGTATGAACATAGGGCATTCGGATTCTGGTCGGAATCCGCATAAGTAATTCCGCATTCCTGGTCGGATTGTTGGAAAACATTACTTGGAAAATCCGTTCGGAATGATCACGTTGGACTACGGTATTGGGGAGTAGGTACCGTACCTACCCATCAGGTTACGGTACCTAGTGATTAGGGTACGGTACCGTGTACCATGTACGTCCTCTGCAGATATTCGTGGCGACTGGAGCTGGAGATTGCGACAAAGTCGGCGATGGACAACTTTCTGGAGCCTGGAGGACGGGGTAGGTATTCGCAGAGGAGATCAAAATCGACGGCGTGGATGCTCAGGGGTACTCAAAAAGGGATCGATCGAGCGACTCCAGAAGTCCCACAGGGACCACGTGGTATAATCCTCTACAGGGATCTGAAAATCTTGACTGAATTCAGCGCTCATGCCAGTGCACGGTGGCCCACAGTGCACATAGGTAGGTATGGTACCTATCCTCCGAGTCTGACTGCAATTGAGCTTCGGGCCCTGGGCCTCGGGAATCAGCCTGTTGACTTCAAGAATACCGTATACCTATGTCTGGCGTACCGGTCCGACACCGTCCATCATCCGCATGTCCCATCTTGGACGGCCACAATTGAACTAGGTACCTATTACTTTAAGACTTAGCAAGTTCTGCCAGCCATGCGAACCGGAATAGCGGTCGAGGGTTCCGAGAATCGAGCCTCTCCTCTCTAGATCAAGCACAGCTATAGTCAGATGGTAGTTGTGCAGGTTGCAATGCCATGCAGGGCCACCGGGCCGATGCAGCGCAACTTGAATGCGAAATATGGCCCTCATGGGTCATGATTTGGCATGCCACTCGTGAAGCATGGTCTAGCTACCGGTATATTTACCACCAGAAGTTTTTGTATCAAGACCTCCTGGTTCAAACAGGACGGCCAGTTCTTTTTGAATACGTCTGAAAAATTGTGCAGAACTTGATTGCAAGGCTCGCTCTTCTTGAAGATGAACTCTTTGTTGGCAGCTTATTCGAACTCTGATTCAGATTCTGAGGTGGATCCTGCGCAGAGGGATTCGGAGGCGCGATCAACAGGAGAGGCAGGAGGAGCAGAAGCAGTAACGTAAGGCTCAATTGCACTCACGTCATTCTCTGGGTCAAATGGTTGTATGACAGTAATAATTCGGACTGTCATAGCACTGCACGATGTTCCACAAGTTGATCGCAGTGAAGGGATTCATGAATTGTTGTAACGGCGTGAAAGTGCACTTCTGAAAGGTTCTGAAGAAGAAAAGGGTGGCGACGCTTGTCGAGCATTCGATCCTTCACGTGCAACAAGCGAGTGACGTTTCCAAATGCCTTAAATACAATACTGTCTACTCTATTCGTTTTACTTTTGAGTTCTTCAGCAGCTTTAAGAAAACCTTTCAACTCTTGGGCCCTCTTCCTTCTTGTTCTGACCTGATCAACTGACATCGAATGCCTGAAGGCCAGGGCATAACATTTTCTCCACAAGGAGAGTCATCTTTGTGCTTCTACTGCTTTTAATTTACCTTCCCTTACAATCCAGGTCAGATGGTCCCGCAGCAAGCCGCTCATCATCTCCCTTTGGAGTTGTGATTGCGGACCAACAGGTACAGAGTGATGTGCCGTCAACAGAAAGGCAGGCCCAAGTACAAAGTTTACCTGCCGCAGAAGCACTTTTTGTAATCTCAAGTAGGCAAGAGACGCAGAGCAGAACGCGCTTGCCTGCCCCTTTTGCCAGCAGTCTAGTAAGAGACTTAGGAAATGCTGGAACTATTGCTGCCTTTGAAAGCTCCAAACGATCAGGAAATGCGCTGGACAATGGAGGATTTCAAAGACAAGCAAAAACACCGAAGTTAGGAGGTCTCCCAGCTTCTCGGGCAAGCGTCTCATCAACTCTTCTTCCACCTCAACTCCGTGGAAGGTAAGAGAACTGATCAGCGGGGCTGTTCCTTCGATTTTCTTTCAGTTGGCTGCACTTGTTCTTGATTATGCCCCTGATGCAAGTTGTTCAACCAGATGCAGGCTCTGCATCTGGCACTACAGAGTGATGGCTCACTCCTTCCCATGTACAACAGGAAGATCCAAGTGTTCTTGGTATTACAGTTCAAGTTGCAAAGCGGATGCCCCTGTGCGATTGTGTAATGTACGAGTCTTCAAACAGTTGAGCTAGAAAAGGTCGTTAGTTGCTTATTGTCGGGGAGCCTCGAACCAACCAGGCCAGAGAAGTCAAGAGCTTCAATGACTTGACGCACAAAATTCTGCCCTTTGTGCAGGAGCAACGTGGCTACTGAAGATTTGGAAAAGATTTTCGTGAAGCGAGAGAAAAAGTAATCAAACTCACTTTGGTTCTCATGTTAAGACTGATTGGATGCACTGGCGATCTGTACGCGGACACCAAGAGCTCGTGCAGAACCCAAGCTAATGGAAAAGATCTTAAAGCCGAAGTGCATCATGGCTACGGCGTGTGGAAAGAGACCATCATGATTGCAGTGTACAACCAGTGTGTGCAATATGGTGTCAGCATCAGATAATGTCAAGAGTTCCTCAAACTTCGATTTATACAAGGGCAATCTTGATACTAGGATAGGCCCGTACAGATCACTTGAGTCAGCCATGTGTCAAGTAACATGCGCACGGTTGTATGATGAATTGTCAACAGTCTTCTTCATGGCCAGTACGACTAAGGCCGTTGGCCCGATTCACCAGTTCTTTTTGCGCGTTGGATATACTATACGTTGATCAAAGCAATATCGACGCTGCAGCATGCTGGTTAGGAAGTCAACCAGGCCCTGGCCTTGTTAACGTGGCCCATTGTCACAATTGTCACTGAAGAGGATACATTTTTATGATCAGTGCCTTAATTGCTGAGAATGCCTAAGTTTAAAAGATGATACTCAATGCCCATGATGGTTTTGAAGACACCATTAGATCGATCATGTTGGAGATTAGAGACGTTGGTTTATATAACCATGAACGTAAAATTAAAGTGTGGAGCTTGTTAATATATACAAAAAATTGCAGGCGCCACACATGCCTGGCGCTGCGAGGATCAACGTACTGACTGGGAGCTAGACACACTAAGTTGACTGACGATCGCTATGGCCATAGAATCAGCTAGCTAGTAAACGTCGTGCATGCTCCTATATGTAAGCTAGCGGAGACGTACCACTATAAGCATATGTGCACAGACGTTTTCAGGATATACGACCGTTACTACCATTGTACTTCTATACCGATTGGAACTTACATGGTCAAACGCTAGACTTACCAGGCAGCTAAGGACACGCGTCCTAGATTGCTGAAATTTTGAATGTTTTCATGCACAATAATATTGAAGGCAATTGGTGAAGAATTAGCAACGTCAAAACTTTCACGAACTAGCTTAGATCCGAAATCAATTGAAAGGATTTGCATGTTACACGCACACTCGAGATTGGCGACACATGATGTGGACGTTTTGGCTTGGCGACACATGTGGACGTTCTGGCGCTGCTCTTAATATATACAAGACCTACCCTCTTATACAGTCATGCGCTGAGTAGACCTGTGTCCTAGACGTGACATTCGATCGACGATGAACGGCCCTGTTCTTTAGCACTCTTGGAGAAACTTATCCTTTCGACAAACTATCCGCAGCGGACTCTGATATATCCCATTCTGAGGCGCCCTAGGAAACAATGGACTCTGCACAGACCTAAGTTTTCGGTAAGAGGACAAATGCTAATGATCTCGTAAGGTATGGTTAGGCGCAGATCCGCCCAATGTGCGTGCTTCATTCTCGGCCTGACTAAAACTAGTTCAACGGAAAGCCTTTCAGCCGATTGGTGCTTATGGGTGAAAACGAGAATGACAAAGTGATTGCCGTTTGCGCTTAGCCTTTGTAACTGAAAAAGCCTTTCCTAGGCTCGATGACTCACGGACGGATTATGTCTCTTTCCTCTTCGGGTATCCACAAAGTGGCGTCCACAGGGCCTACGGTGTCCGCATTCCGGTCCGCACTGCGTTTACCGTCCGGCGAAACAGAGGCGTAATCGGACGCGTTGACCGGAACGGGCGGGGGCAGGGAAGGCAGAGTCCACGCAAGGAAGAAGGCGATAATCTGCAACACATACGTAGTGGGCTTGCATCAATGATAGGATCTGATGAAAGTGCCTCAAGTGCCCCTTTCCGAGTAACAGAGTGTTCAATTCTGTTGACACTAGTACTGGCTCTTTTCTGGTTATGACCGAATCTAGGGCTTTGTAGAAGTGGCAGAGCACACTCAAACACCCATTGTATCCAAGAAGGGTGCCGTGGCAATGGAATGCGGTTTCCAAAAAGAGTGCGGTAAGAACCACTACTCATCTCTGACAAACGGTCTGTGAGATTGCGATGGCTTACCCCAAAGGATGCACCGAACGCGATACCGAATCCGGGGAACGCAAACGGAGGGTTGGGCGACAGGAACGCAGCTGCGATCCAAGGACGAGGGGTCAGACGTTCACCCTCGAACGGCAAGAGGAGCAACGGAACATGATCCAAGAAATAATGTAACCATGTTCATAAAATTGTAGGATGAGGCAGCGAGGCGAGAGTTCCGAAAAACTGATTGTAAAACGAGTGAACTTCGCAAGAAAAACATGGCGGCTCTTATGCGGCCTCCGCTGCTTCGTGTCCTAGCCCCGCGACCCTACTTTTCTGACTGCGGCAGTTCGTTTCCATTTTGTCTCCAGGTTCCCAGAATGAGAATCGGTATCGCAAACACAGTCACCTGCTTTGAAGCCGAGCCTAGAAATCCACGGTAGCAAACACAGTACCACTCCTAAATTCCAAAAGATGGACAACGATTTCTTTTGCGTTTACAGCAAATCCAAGCTCTAGAGGACGTGAACGGTTTTTATCGCGAACGTGTCAGAAACCGGGAAGACACCGACTACTTGGCACTCCATGTGCGCTCGTCCGTGCGAGCGTCGTCGACACTTGAGAACTTCTTCACTCCCGTAAGTGGAGCCCCCGGGTGCGAATGCGGCAAAGCTCGACGAAACACTGCACTACCCGCATTTCACGGCACATCGATTTCTCGTCAATTGTGCCACACCGAACACTCGGTTGAAGACAGCAGCTCCAACGGTTCAACGTGCCCAAACTCACCGGCGATGGGGTTTATGATGGCCGGGGCCAGGGCGGACGCCAGCGACCGCACGCCGGTGACGATACCCTGCAACTTGCCCTGCAGCAGCCGTTTTTGTGACCGGGGTGAGACAACCGGGGTGAATGTCAGGGCTGAGGAGTCCGGGGTAACTCGACCGGGTCAGACCTCCGGGACTGAACGCGCAAAGGGATTGTCCGGGAGAAACCTCCGGATGTTCAGATAGCATTCTTGGCCGCGAAGTACCGTCTACGGAATCTTGATGATCCAGGTTTATGTGTACTTATCCCGCTTTGCCAGTCTGTCGCTTCGTGCGAAAGGATGTCACTAGATTTTCTTCAAACAGCGGCTGGGCAGCTCGGAAAAGTGAAAGTGGATTCCGATACAACCGAGCTTTAAAGGAAAGTCGAGCGAGCCACGCTTTTCTGAGTAGGACAACGACAAAGCACGAGGGCAGGATTGACTCGTCTTCTGATTGCTTCAAACGACAGCATACGAGGACAGCCTTCAACCCTGCAACTCGTGAGACAAACTGCGGCCAAATCAAAGTCTTCCAGCAGGAGACATCACCCACATATTGGCGTATGAACGAGAGCGCTACACGTCCAGCCAGATGGCGGCTGGCAAGGCCGCCACGTGTCCGGCCCTCACCTGCTCATCGGGGCTCCCGAGCGACGACACCAGGCTGCCCACCGTCGGACTCACGAAGAATGACAGCGTGGCCGTGCCGGCGCTGACGTAAGCAACCTGCCGTGGGCACACTGCTGACGTCAGCAAAGATTGTACGGCAGTGCCATTCTAGTAGCGATGCAGGGAGCTAAAACTCGGGTCTTCCAGCACTCTTTTTAGAAAACCGGACTCTTCACCAGCAAGCTCCAAGGAACATGAAATTGCAACTGATACGAACACGGCCGGATCCGCACCCTTCCTTTGACTATCCGTCCTAGGGTGTTATACTACTGGGCTTTCCTTTTCTCCGCACCTTTCTACATATCCACTTCCTGAAGGGGAATGTACGAAGTAACGAAGATGCAGAGCAGACGGAGTGGTCTGGAAAAAAACTCGTGCAAAAGTAACCAACGAACGACAAGGGGTCATGGAGCAAAGGACTACAAACGTAAGGTACGAAAGAAAGGAGGAGCTCACCCAGGGGGCCCAAGCGAATGCGTACAAGTACCCCTGCAGCAACGCACGGACAAGAATCAGCTCGGGTTCACTACCGGCTATTCGCGATAGACTTGCCACACTCCAGTCCAAAGCTCGCAATTCTGACGGCAAGCCCTATACAAGGCAACCGACCGGGCCTTGCCTTTGAAACTGACATTCGGTGCTCAATTTTAGCCGTCCAAATCTCCCGCAGTTCTGAATCGTTGCACCCAGAGTGCTGCATCGCAAATCTCAAGCAGCCGCTACGATAAGCCTGCAACACCCTTCCGCTTTGCCCCCGCAAAGTGACGTCACCGGCTGCTGTCGAGTGACGTCATCGGAGAAGCAGGAACTTACGTGGACACAGCTGAAGGTGATGCCGATGAGCAGCAGCGTCTTCTGGCGGAGGTAGTGCAGGCCCAACGGAAGGAGCACCAGCTGCAGCCACGTGGCAGAAGCGCAAGGTGAGGGATTCTAAGGGCAATTGCAAGGAGCTGCGAAGACGTAATAGCCGTAACGAGAGATGTTTGCAAGGCTTTAAGAGAGCTCAGGAAAAGCTCACCAGTGGTCGGAACGTTTTACAAGCCCAAGAGTAAAAAGGAAACAGGTCACTACTCCCCAGATTTTGCGGTGGGCTGAACAGCACGAAGAAGACGAAGGAAAGGCCAGCTCCGCGGGAGAAGCGCTGGCTCAATTCTCAACCAGAATTGATCGTGTCCTAGAATGTAGGGAGCGCAAGGTAGAGCAGAAGGAGGAGTAAACCGCGAATGCCACAGAGGTTTTCTTTGTATGTTCGAAGAAGTGCAGCAGATCACAGGGCTTCGTTTCGACCATTTGAGGAAGCCACTCTCACAATTTACTGTTCTCGTTCCCCAAACGAGGGTGCTTCTTCTCTGGAAATACAGTCAGAAGGCGTCGGTCCAACGTGCTTGTCAACCGAGCTGCCGGCGGACCGTTTTTGCCAACACCTTCGCTAGAGTTTGAAACGAACATAGTGTGGCCATGTGTTTTTGCTAGAGTCCAAAGACGCTTTTAGCCTGGCCAGGGACAAGCTAAAAGCACGCTCCAAAACAATGTGGGAGTGAAACAAGGGAGGTGGCACACGTACCTGTGCGAGCATCGAGCCAATCCCCACGATCAGAATGATCTCCGAAAACTGGTCCTTCGAAAAGTGGAAGATGGCCTTAAGGAAGTACTGCAGGGCAACGAGTGTCACAATGTCAAACATGTACAGTCGGTTGCAAGACTGCCAGCAACAAATCCCCTCCTGCTTAGAATTTTGAGTACACAGGAAATTGGGAACACAGGGAAGGTGTTCATGGGTGGTCTTCGTGTTTCGCCAGCCGTTTCAAACTCGTTAGAGGATAGTCGGAAGCACCAAATTCACTCGTTAAGAGGATAGTCGGAAGCACCAATCCCACTCGTTAGAGGATAGTCGGAAGCACCAATCCCACTCGTTAGAGGATAGTCAGAAGCACCAAACCCACTCGTTAGAGGATAGTCGGAAGCACCAAAACCACTCTTGACAAGACATCAGCAGCGCACCGCAATTCACATTTATGCCGACAGTGACGCGTACCTTCAATCAACCTCGTACCAAACAATTGTCGCAACCCTATTAAAATACTTGAACCCGCTTTGAGTCCGGCTACAGTGTAGCATAGAGGACCTCTCTCGACTTCGTCAAAGCACGCACTGCTACGCTCCCGTCTGTCGGTATCCAATCTCTTCACTTGCCTTGCCAACCGAACGAAACGATCTTTCATAACTACCGCTGCGAAATTGCGAGGGCTCAGACGAACAAAGAAACATGACAGAGATATGGGAGTGAGATACTCACGAAGAGGGTGCCATCAATTCCATTGACGGAGAACGACATCAGGAACGCCAGCAGGGAGACCTTGAACAGGAGCGGGCTGCGGAACAAGACACGAAGCTTCATTTCAGCAAAAGTAAGCTTTAGCAAAAATAAACACATTAACCTGAGACGGGTGGGGTTAATTTGGGGGTTTAGGGTGGGTACGGGTGCGGGGCAAATGACTCTTGTATGTTGAGTTTCCGGGATAAGGTAAGAGCTTACTTTTGCCAAGTTAAAGAGACGCACACAAGACGGTTCGTGTTTATAACTCGAACTGATTGACGACGTTGCGAACTGGAGCCTTGCACAAGTCTTGATTCGGACAAGTGCCAACAATCAACTAGGAGAGCCCACGGTGTGTTTGATAAGTTCGGGCGTGCTGAAAGTGCCCCATCTAGTTCGCGGACACTCTGTCCTTGAAAAAAGTTTTTGGGTTTCAAAACCAAACAACCTTTGCTATTGAAATGCCGTGATTCGGGGCATAACCAACCAGGGAACACCGAGATGGTGTCGAATCACGCATGACTCCGCCACCGTTATAATGAGGGCAAAATGCACTGTCCTCTCGTGTTGCCCAGTCCTTTCGAAAGACAACAACGCAGAAGACGGGGCACTAATAAAGTACGAGGATCGATCGGCCTTGCGATGGCAGGGGATGATAGAGGAAGATCCAAAGTGAGAAAAACAACAGTCACGTGGCCAAAGAGCGTGCCAAGAGCGCAACTGCCTCACCTCCGTCGCACGAACCGGATCGACTCCCCGACCTGCGACTTGCTCCGCAGCAGGCGGGGCGCCAGCAGAGGGGGACCCCCCGATGACGTCGCCGGACCCTCCGCTGACGTCAGCGGCTCCTCCAGGTCCGCTGCCGCTTGCTCCCGTGCGGCCAGCAGCTTGTGCTTTGGCCGGCTCTCGGGCAGGCAGATCGCCATGTATATGACGGCGAGGATCAGTAAGCAGAGGGAGACCTGGAATGAGAAGAGCAGTGCTGTCCGGACTTTGCCAACTTTGGACAGGGGTCCCGTTGAGACACAGGAAAGGTCCCTTGATTGTTGCTGTTTGGAGACTAGAGGCACAACCAAGACAAGAACTGGACGTCCGCTCAAAAGTAGCTGACTAGCAAGTCCAGCGAACCGCCCACGAGCGGGAGCGTTTCCACTCCATGCGTTTTCTACGAAGGTTCAAAGTTGTCAAATGTTTAGACTGGAAGCAGGTTCACATTTTGTCTGCGGTAAAAAAATAATGCAAATCGGAGTCGTGAAGGATGAGTACAGTGCAGATCGGCAAACGCAGAATTAGACAACCAGCGGATGATGGAACAATGTCGACCTAGAGTGTCGGAAGCAGGGTGTGAATAAGCGGTTGAGAGTTGTGAATGGGCACCTTAAAGATGTAGACCGTGGGTATCAGTCTGCTTGCCACCGTCCCAGTCAGCAAGCCCCCCGACAGTGACCCCATCAACAAGCTGAACGCAGTCGCCCTCTTCTCCTGGGGTACGACGTCAGCCTGACAGAAGGCGGACGTGAGCATCAGCAAGCGAGCGTTGGCATCTATAGTACTTTGAAAGGAAGACCCTTTTGGTATCCTCAACATTGATAAGTTGGTCAAGGTGAGCCACTTTGTTGCTCACCTTGAGTCTCCGGTGGTTGCACTCTTTTTAAGAGGGGCATACATGACGTGAAACCTTCCCCCTTTGACATCGCGACACATCATCTGCGAGCTCCTAGCATAGCTCCAAGCAAACTCGTGTGGAAACCGACAGCTGTCAAACGATTTGCCAATCCAACTTGCGAGATCCGCCTCAAAAGCGGGGAACAAAGAGACCCTGACTTTCAACGGACGGTGAGTTGTTTATCAGTGTCATGACAAACTTACCACGTAGGCCAGAGTCAGGGCCCCGACCGGACCGTCCGTCATCATGTTGGACAATGTTCGGACGCCGTAGTATATGTACACCGAAGACAGGGACGTGCTGTAGGCAAGGGCGACTGCAGAAAGGGACGAGGGAAGAGGTCGCAAAGAAAATCAGGCACGTAAAATATCAATTCCGGGGCACCAAGCTGATACCCATCAATCGTGACCGGTGACGAACAATCCAGACGACTCCGAAGTTGAGTGTAGAGGTGCTCGAGACCTGAATAAAACAACGGGGCAACCCAGTTCAAAGGACAGATGGTTCTGGACGGACATAGATGTGGAAGCAAGGACTGGAACAGCCCCTTGTTAGATAAGACTACTCGTTTAGTAGTATGATTGACAAAACACAATCAGATGCAGTGACGAGAACCGCGGAGCAAGCTCTACAGAAGTGCCTAAAGTACCGTCAGAAAGCTCAACGACAATTCGACTTAAATTCGCTTAGGGTAAGTTCAACTTGAGTTCGATGGCTGAGAGTAATTGTTTCATAAACCGCCTTGATGAGCTAAGTGTATGTCGAGTTAACAGAAGCAGTTGAATCGTCGGAAGCAACAAGCAGTGCTCCAGCCAACTGAAAGCAAACAAAGTTTTCCTTGTTACAAAACGCACTATTTTGCCACCTTTCTACAGACTCTTTATCATTCTCAATACAGCCCTGTTGGCAGCTCAATTCAGCTTGAGCACTTGGTCTTCAAGATGCCGCACATCCCAAACGTCGACACTTACAGAACCGAGATCTGAATGACAAGTATCGGCGATAAAGGCAAAACTTCGGAACTCTCAGTCAAGCGAAAAGGCACAAATGACCCACCGAAAGGTAGGACGCTAGTCGACCAGCAAAGGAGCAGGAGCCACTTCCGCCCATAGTCGTCAGAGTAAGCCCCAATGATTGGCGTCAAGACCATCGTCCCTATCCCTGATATCTGGGGATATAAGGAGAAGGGGGAAAAGTTTGTCCAACCCTTGGTCTTAAAAAATTAGCAGATTGAGCACGGAGACACTTCGAAAAAAGTCAACGGATAAAAGTCCCCAGGATTTAGTTCTTCATTGACATATCCAGACTTGAACTGAACTGTCTTGACGTAGGGGAACTTTGCAGGCTAATAGACCACAAACGTTACAAGCCCACAACTGCAAGGGCACGTGTTTTAGATAGATGCAAGTGGAAAATATGCATATGGGAACAAGGGAAAGTGGAAGCAGCTATGGGACAACCTCAGCTGATCCTGGTACTGCATCTACAGCAAAGCTGCTGACAGTATCCTCATTTATCTCAGACCAAAGGCAAGTATAATGGCATCTACTTAATACCACCGGCGAGCTTCGAGTAACCAGACTCTGAAACGGGGGTTCAAGTGCAGTGACCATTCCACTCTTCCACTGTAACAACGGCTGAGGCTGTGTCCCATATGATTCTGGACTGCGCCAAAGAAGCCCGTCTCATAAAAAAAAGGTTTGAATCATTAACCCTTGCATGGTGTGAACTCATATGTGAGCTCTTTCAGTGCCCCAAAACCTTTACTCTGCATGACAATCATAACGGTGGCACCAGCTAAGTTGGGCCAACCGCCCAAATGGTACTAGCTCCCGAAATAAGCCCTACATACACATCGCTGAAACCAACTACCAATCAACCATCACCAGTGATTCAGCAACTCAGAATCTCTCACGCGAGCTCACTACAAACCTCAGACCTCCATAAGGCTATAAAAGCAACTAACATCAAACCCCACCAGTTACCAGTTGGTCAGTTACCAGTTAACTAGAGCATGCACTCACAATCTCTTTCAAAAGAAGCTCGTTGTAAACCACAGTACCAATGTCTCACCGTCCCAGTCAACCCCGACAAGTAGATTGCCTGGCTACAGCTGTCGGTTTTGCACAAGGCTGACACCACAACGTCCGTGATGGAGGGAAAGGCCATCACGAGCGCGCAGATGTGCAGCGTGTATGGCAGCGCCAGGTTAAAGACGGGCCAGTAGCTGATGAGGGCCTCGCGATAGCGCCCCATCATGGTGGCGGTTTGAACTGTTTCAGCAGTGAGTTAAACTGGGCAGTTGGGCAAAGGAAGCGAGATGCGCTCCCTGATTGAGGTGCCCACTTCTGAGTGCGGTTGGAAAAGCGGGGTTGTTTTTAGGATCTATTGAGCGGGCTAAAGTTCCTTGAGCGAACTCCAAGACTAGAAGCGGATAAAGTCAAACGCTTGGTGGGCTGGCGTGGGCTTGAGACGAAACTTGGGCTGTTCAGCCAAATGTTACTGCCACCCGCCAACAGCTGCATTCCCTTCCTCAAAAGTCTGTCTCACTACCCCCCTTTTCTATCACATCCACTTAGCTGCTAACAACACTCACCAAAGAGCCTTCTGCCAAATCAACAACCAACGCTAGTTCCCAACAACTGATCGGTGGGATGATGGGGGCGTTGGAACTTCGTGCTACCAACGTCCTATGTTCTACTCCTGTCTAAAAGTTCCTCGGTAGAACAGAAAGAAGATCTGCCTTTCAATTAACCATCCTTTATAAGCGATTGCACGCTTGGGCGCAATCCCACCCTTGGACGTTCCGTGTCCATCCTACTTTCCAGATCACCCAACTTCCTAGCCATGGCAGCCATGGAGGCTGCTGCGAGCTGTGATTCTGAAGTGGCGTCCGCAGTGTTCGTGGCGAAACCTGATTGATTTCGCCAATTAGGTTTGCGCATTAGTTTGCGCATATTCGCGCAAATAGAGGGATTTGCGCAGGCTGGCGAAATTAAGCGCGGCCGCGCGGCCGCGCGTGAGCGCGCGGGCGTAAAAGACCTGTGTCAAGGGCATTCCGGGCCCAGGTAGCAGTTACTGTTGACCTTGTATGAGGAGTCTGCCTTGGAAGCATATGGTAGTTGGGTTAGCGTCAGACCAATGCCTCTCTTGGCACCAAGTTATAGGCTGAGGCGCCTGAAATTGCATAAGCATACAGATTATTTCGCCAATTTCGCCAACTAAGGTGAATTCGCGCTTCCGCAATTAGTGTTTGCGCATTTCCAAAAACAATTTCGCCACGATCACTGGGCGTCCGCCTCCACTTCAGGATTTTGCGCGCATCAGCCATGCACGATATGGAAGCTGTCGCATGTGCCAGGTGGCAAGCTTCCTGCAACTTTGACGGGCACGATGGGATCGACGTCGATGACATCCAGGAAGTTCAGCCGTTAGATGCTGTAGCGGATTGGGGGCAACTTATCATTGCAGTTACTATAAGCCTTCAAGTTAGCGTTACCGTCCGTGGCCGCCGGCCCGCCCGGCCGGCCGCTTTGCATTACCGTCACCCTTCTAGCTTCTTTCTCGCCCTCCCTCGTTTTCCCAACCCTGTCAGGAATTTGCTAGCTCTGGTCGATTGCGAGCTGCATTTTAACATTTTGGCATTTTTGCATTGCAATTTGCAGGGGCAGGGTCAAGAGGAGCTTTGTTTCACGTTCAGACCCGTGTGAGACTCAAAGTGCATAGAATCTGTTTTTGAATGGGTGTCGGTCACCCAGCCGTACCATGGCCTTTGCGAGGGCTTCGGCAACCAGCAGCCCTCCTATCCAGCTCTTTGACAAACAACGGCGACACCAATTGAACATCGAAGCAGCACTCGGCATTGCCGATAGAAGCCCGCTTTCTTGTAACAAAAGGGTGGTTGAAACTTCATTTATTGCTCTCCGTAGTCAGGGGAGACCACAGTGCATTGTTAGACAAACCCTTAAGATCTGTCCGACGCCCTGCATTGCCGTCCAGCGTCAGCCTCTGTCTGGAGAAACCCTTCAGAAGGGAACTAGGCGTGGCTTTGGAAACCCTCTGCCCCAGAAGCAGCTCAGCTCAGGCAGACCGGGGTCCTCGCTGAGGGCCCTGTCTCTGTCCGAAGCGTCCGTCGAGCTTTTGGACCCATCCGAATTCCTCGCTGCAGAGTCGCCCAATTCCTTCCTGGACGAGTCCGAAGCCACAATGCAGTCCGAGGAGCAGAGCAATTTGGGCCGGAGCCAAGAGCTGGGCGCCCAGTCCGCCGCCTCAAGGACGTTCTCAAAGGAAAACGTTGGACAGAAAGCAGAGGATAAGAAGACGGAGAGCTGGGTCCCGCGCCGGTTGGACGAGGCGGCCGTACATTTCCTGAAGCAGCCCAGCGTGCTACTCTCGCTTGCGGCCATTGCAGCGGTGGCCGCTGCGAGGTCCCGGTTCCCCTGGAGATTGGCGGACGGCCCCGGTGAGATTCGATTTTGTTTTTATTTCGAAAGTGGATGTTCTGAGATCCAATTCTGCATCCTGTTGAGCAATTGAGGGTTTCCTTTGGGGATTGTGGCGACTTTAAGCACCTTGCTTGGCTGTCACTCGCAAGGGTTTTGGGCTCTTTCAGAGAATTGCTTGCGAGCATATTCAAGGTTATTCGCCTGCGGAAGCGAGCAAATCAGTGTTTTCTTTCCATTTTAAAGGCCATGTGGATTCTTATTGGAACTTTGACAATGCTGCACACCGACAAGGTTTCTCGAAGCTCCACCCCAAGGGCAGTCAGAGATTGTGAACTCAAAGCTTACACATAAGGCGAGGTTGCACGCGGCGGACGTGAAGGTATAGCGCGCACCGACTGGCAGTGGCTATGAAGGCGCACAGGCTGATGAAAGTCACATTACTCATGTCTCTTCTGTATCTTTGCAGTGATTGTAATCATGGCGGCTTGGTGGGCCTTCTTTGAGTGGTTTCTGCACGCAAAGCTTTTGCACAGCAACTACAATTGGTGAGTGGAGCAGGCTATGCAGACCACTTTGCTTGAGGTCCTTTGAACGGGCTTCGAACTGGACTTTGAGTCGCTTGGTGCCGAAAAAGTTGAGGCTACTTCTACTTCAACCTGAAGTGTCCCCAAGTTCTTTGCACTCCTCTCAAGTTCAAATTACACCAATGCGCCCGCACTCATCTTTAAACGACGCCTAAAATCCCTGCTTGTTCCTCGCACTGTACATACCTAACTTAACAATTTTGCCACTGCTTCCTCGCTCTGAAAGGGAGGCAATTGGTGTGCTTTTGTGCAAAGCAAACCTTCTCAGTCTGCTGGTCACCTGGACAGTACAGCATTTGACCTTTGTTTGGGCGTGCCTTGGATGTGCCACGTCAGCCCCTTCGGTCCAGAGGTCTTAGGTTATGCCATTTGGGAAAACCCCCAACTCATGATCCCTTGCCAGTTGACGAGCTCTCTGTCACGTGCGTGCAGGTTTGGGCGGGGCATACATAAGCGGCACCACGAGGCTCCTTTTCATCATGTCTCGATCGACGGCCTCGACCTGGTCGCGATATCACTTGTCGGCTTCGCCGGATTCTGCTTCGCGCTCTTTGTGAGTCGCTGACCTTTTTTTGCTTTCAACTTGCCTCTTTTCAAAAGGTCTTTGTAGTTGTGATTGTAGTCTCCTCCTTTCCCGGATCCCGTGTGCGGCGTTGATGAGTTGTGTGCGGTTTTGAGTGTCAATTCATTGAAATTGTTTCATCAAAACTTTTAAGTTCACTTCTTCGGAGCTGACTCTCAAAAGAGCGAGTTTTTCCTGGTGATGTATTACAACTCAAGACTCCTTCGCACAAGGGAAATCTTACTGTCTGCCCACACACGTCAGCACTAGTGTGAGCACCAAAATAAAAATAAGAAAGGGCTTTTACTTCACCAACGTGTCATGAGCTGAGGCAGCCACCGATTCAGACTGACCCAGTTGAGGTTCTGCCTCTATTGTTGGACTTCGATCACCTTGGTCACCCAAGAATCTGGGTTGGGCGCTTCTTCTCATTCGTCCCTGAGGAGAAGCTTGAAGACAGTGTAGAATATCTTCTTTGAACGCTACGCTACATAGGCACCTAGGCGCATCATGAGCAGCTTGGGTCACTAGTGTGTCAATGACCCGACGCGAAACCCTAATGGAAGCTCCATTGCATTCTCCCTGCAGAGGCCCCTACTAATCTGGCTCGCAAGTACTACCTGTCTGCGCTAAGCAAAGGTCCAGATTCGTCAAGCGAAAACCCAGCTGATTTCTTGTAGCAGTGTGAGGTCAAGCTCCTCATGGTGTGACGTCATCAATCTGCAGGGAAAGAGCCCATTGGCTCTGACTGGCACCCTGACGGTTTACACGATGGGCCTGGTCTACGAGTGGACCCACTACCTGTGAGTGTTCTAAGATTTTTCAAACCAGCAGTGCATCTCTGGGCGTTTATTATCTCATAGAGCAGGTTCCTTGAAACACGAGTGGTATTCTGATGTATTGAAGTTGTGGGTCGTTCTCTTCCTTCTGCACGGCTTCTGGTTGCTGCAGTTCCTGAGCTCTTCAGGGGTTCTAGACAAATGAGCAACGCTGACAGTAGTGGCTGACAAGATCGTCGTCGAGGCGTCACTGTCTCTATTTGAACCCTTCTGAACGAAAGAAACAGACATAGAAGTGGAGGAAAGGGCTCCAGGGGTCAACAAAAAACGCTGTGTCGGGGCCATAGTTTCGGAATCATTGGATTTTTGTCGCAAGTCGGATGTGAAGCGCCTATCTGGAATAGGAGTAGACAGAGTATGTCAAGCCGATCTTACTCTTGAGTGAATCAGAAGTTTAACACGAGATTGTGCTCGGTCAACCACCATGGTTGACCCACTAACCGTCCTCGGTTCTTTGGCAGGGTGCACACCAAGGTGCCGATGCGGTCGTATATCGGAAGCATGATCAAGCGCGCACACGTGTCGCACCATCTCAAGGACCAGCGGTACTGGCTCAGCTTCACGTGTCCCCCCATCGACGTCCTCATGGGAACCACGCCGGAGGGGGGGCAGGGGGTCACGCCAGTCACATGATTTACCCCCTGCTTTGAGGGTGTTTGAATTGTAGGGTTGGCGACTCGCCGCTTGATCAAGCGCTGAGCCTTGAAGCTGCGTAAATGAAAGTAGTGGCAGATTGCACCGGTGCTGGCGATCTTGAGCGCAGCGTGCTGTGCTCGATTGGCACTTTCGGAAGGGTGTAATCCGCATTGTTTGCAGGATACTGGGGAGACGCGCTTGCGCATTTCGAGAATAATGATCAAACCAGCGTTTGTCTCGCTTGGGGAGCAGAATGGTTGCTAGAAGCTAGGACGAGTTGAGACGGTTGTTTTGAGAGCATAGGATTGTAGGAGGAATTCGCGCATAGAGTCATAAACTGAAGCCGGGTGGGGAGATCAACAGCTCCGACGTATTGCAGCCCAAAGCGGGTTGCCTGATCGGAGTTGGGCCATAAACTTAGAGTTGACGGTGTGGTTGATTGTGGATACATAATAGCTGGGGTATCAATCTGTACGATATGTGTATATTGGAACAATGTAGTGAGGGAGCACGAACGATTGGATTCGTGGTCAGGTATGCGTCGAGGAACATGGTTGCATTGGTGCACTGGGCTCGACTATTTACGACTGTTCAGTGCCCTGAGAAACTGCATGAATGAAGCAACATGCGTGCACTGCACCGGATTCGTGGAAGGTGACTAGAACATGATTGCTTCGATTCGGTGCCAGCCTTCAAATCCACACACGGTGACCGGTTAGAGCTGCGACTCACGGCCGGTTCGGCCGACAGTAGATCGACTTGGTTGCGGATCGAGGGTAATTTGTCACATGGAAATTTCAAGTCGAAAACGCTTAGACGCAATTCGCTATGGCATTGCAAAAGCAGTGCAACATGCATGAAATATAGCACATGCCTAGAGGCCCGCAAGCGCATGGCGTTCAATGCAACACATTCAAGGCCTGGCTATTTTACGTGCATGCATAGAATCTCTAGGCTGCGCGACCATGCAAAACCAATTCTTTGGTTAGGTCCAATTGCGCCGGGTGCGGCCCACAGATACTGCTGGACAACAGTGTTCCTTAAGTTTGACGCAAGCCGCCTGCTTATACTTGGATGATGGCAACAGATCTAAAGCTTAAGGAGACCGTGAGAGCACTTTCGCCCTGGGTCCGTCAAGCGTTTGATGTGCAGGAATACCACTGGCTGCTCAGTAATCCTCGACCCTCTTCTATCGATCATTGTACAGTGTATAGACCTATCAAGGGCTGCCAATGATTCCACTTCCGCATGAAGGACAACCGGCGGCCCTGAGCATCTAAGGCATCGCAGCAACTAACCATGCTCCAATAAGAGCAAAACCGCCAAAAGGTGCTCCCCGCCCGTATTTCCGGTCTTCAGTGAACGCCACAGTATAGCAGCTTCATGTTGCGGGTTGACAGGGAGACGTGTCAGTTACAGGTAGGGGGTGAGGCAGGGGGACAAAAGATTGTCAAGAATAGCTGAACCACGTGTCCATATTACAGACTGAGAAAGTGAAAAGAAATTGAAATTTGACCCGAAACATGCACAGAAGGAATAGTCGGAACATAGGTACCACGGTACTCCCAGAAACGGAATAAGAAGGGGAACTCACCTGCCACTGAACAACACGATCCCTGCTGTCATCAATGCGCCAAACTGGAGACCAACGAAAGGTGTGAGCGACATGATACGGTGGACGTTCTGCACACTTCTTCATCCCAATCTCGGCCAGGATAAGCGACCTCGGAACAAATTCTTCTTGGAAAAGTTCTTGTGCCATATGTTTTGCTTCATCAGATAAAGCGTGCCAGAAAGTTGCCAAATAAAGTCTGAAAGACACCGAGCACTTCAAACGTTCTCAACTTCGATATAATAGTTCGAGTTCGTTTGCATCCACAGCAGTCTCCGGCAGGAATCAAGAAGAAGCAGCCGTTCTGCCTCGGATGCGGTTTGAGCGTCTTTCTTAACCTTTAAAGCAGGACAGGCAACGGAACGGAAGGCATGTCCTTGGAAAAATCCAGTGCCTAAACGGCAAGCTTTAGACCCCTGTGGAAGTACATCAAATTCCGGGAGAAGAAGACGTGCAATTCCAGTGAACCACAACAGAAAAGCATGAGCGAAGGTAAACTCACCAATTGCGGCCTCTTCACGAGCGGTGTTGCAAGGAGAGCCGCGGAATGGATCAGGTGGTATGAGCTGGCTGTTTGGAAGACCTGAATAGCACAACGAGAAGACAGCTGCCGTCTGCCATACACGAGGAGCGAGCGCCAAAATGCCATACACGAGTAGCTGGAGCCAAAACGGAGGGGCTGCATCTTTTCCAACTTCTGATAAGGGCCATCATCGACCAAGCGGTAGGGGGTTACCAAGCCAAGTCGTAATGAACCACCTGGCTTTCCAGATTGGGTTGTTCTCAAGTTCATGCATATTTGAACGCGGACTCAAAGTGGTCTGCCTTCTTGATGGCGCAGTCCTTTACGGCAGTTTTTCCTGTCGCTACCAACGTAACACAGGATGTGCGCCTGCCTTCTGTCGGTGCAATGAAAATAAGATAACCTCTTGTGAATCGTGGTCTCGCTCATCCTTCAGGTTACCTTCACCGAAGCACAGTCAAAGCAAGTCACAGAAGGATTGGGGACCAGGGACAATGGAAAAGGAAACTGGCGTTGGGCTGATGGAGACAAAATCTGGCTAGGCAACTCACCCCGCGGTAAACCTGGTTTTCTGGCTTGAAGGCATGGGCGCCATAGGCTCCCAGGGCTACAGCCGCAGCACCTGTGGGGAACAGTGATCAGTTCAACAGCAATACTGGGCTTGAAACAAAGGGAAGCGATTTACAGTCGGAAAGGCAATCATTGATGATGTTGGTCTCAACTTTCAAGTGGGTTCCCATCATTCACCTGCTCCAAAGGGCTCTGCATCACAAGAAAGCAGGTTGCGCAACCAGGTGTTGCCTTGAGCTGCCTCATCAGGTATGGGAGTAGTCCGAAGAAGTGGCCATGACTGCCAACACTTATAAGAGGATCTGTGATCTCTTAATCTCAGCGAACCCCTATACCCTCAGACTCAGCTGTAAAGGACACAAGAATGACATACCAGATTGCAAGATGCTAATAAATCCAAATACAAAGACGGAATGTTCTCAAAGACGTAGTATGGACCCACTGCTCAAGCATGAGGACCAGCTGATGGTGATTGCGCAGATTGTGCTGAAACCCTGAGAACATATTCTCTCTCTTACTTGCTTAAGGCTTCAAACTAACAAAACTTTTCAATGAGCTCTCTAGCACCCCAAAGTTTGTAGCAGATCCTGGGCCACGCAAGACGATCTCATCAACAAAGTAACCAGCGTTTACAAATCAATCGAATGGTGCAGCATGCAAACATCGCATAACACATCCAAAGTTGACAGCATTGTGCACCACCACTCATCAAGATTCTGCAGGTAGACTTATACTGACCCCCATGTTCACTCACCGGATATCCCAGCAATCTGTAGCCACATGGAGGATCCTGTGGCTGCCATCCCTTGTGCAAGACACTTGGGGACCTTGCTATATGATGATTTGCAGACTGCGACCAATTCGACGAAGCGGACGCAGCGCTGATCTGCAAGGCGACTCTGCGCTTCTTCCGATCAGAGTGGTGCAAACAAGTTTATTGCCAAGTATGTGAGAGGTTGATCGCTGTTGGGTGGGTGTGATTGGTGGGATACTATTTAATGTGTCTCTGAAGTCTGACATCAGTGTCAGTGAAGAGCTGAACTCCAGGCCCTGGAAAAGGGAGTGCTTGCACTGGCAGCTCAGGTCGAAAGCTGAGCTCAAATTCAACGATGGAAGCAGCGACCACCAGAGTCGTGTCTGCGGTTGGAAGGTCGCCGGAAAAACTTGATGGGAAAAGCTGTACACCATTTACCTAAGCTAGCGCATGCTGAGCACGAGCGTGCAGTGGCAAAACAAAAGCTCACGATTGGAAGGGTCAGGACGTGCCTGGAGGGCGCCTTCATTGAGCAGAGGGCAGATATCATGGGTACTGAAGAGCTGACTAACGAGCAGAAAGTCGCCTACTTTCAGGAGGTGACGGGCTTGGCCGATCAGTCTCAGTGCATACAAGCCCTCGATGCGCACAGCTGGGATCTCGACGCGGCTATCGGCACCATATTAGCCATCAGAGACAGGGACGATGCCGGCCCCTCTCATTTTGGGGGGAGTGACTTCCAGAGCGATGGCGCGGGGCCGTCCTCTCGAGGAGGCCTCTACGAAGATGAAGGGTATGATGCCATGCAACGAAGCATCCAGCCGGCGCAGGCGCCGGGCCTGCTCTGGCGGACACTTTCCATTCCAGGGGCGGTGGCGAGGGGCGGTCTGGGGCTTGCGTTCGGCGCAATTGGCCTGGGACTTTGGGCGGCGTCGGGGGTGCTGTCCACAGTAGGGAGTGCTGCGAGCTGGGCCCTGGGGGGGGATGCGTCGAGGCAGGGTGCGGCGGAGACGGAGGCGCAGCGGTTTGTTCGGAACTTTGAGAATGAATATGGGATGGAGCACCCGGACTTCCAGGACCTTAGCTTCATGCAGGCAGTGAAGCTGGCACAGGAGCAGTTCAAGTTTCTGCTGGTGTATCTGCACTCTCCAGAGCATGTCAACACCCCGGTAAGTGCATGAATGCATCTCATGCTGAGATCTTTTCACATGAACGACATGCGTCCTTCATCACGATGCTGTCACGTCGTGTTCAATGCAACAGACGTTTGCCTTTTTGTTCAATTGCTACCTCGTTTTTGATGTGGTGGGGGCAAAGGAGCGATTCTTAACGTAATTGCTTCTGTTATTTGCAGAATCGTTTCTGGGCATCAATCGGCAGGAGGCATGCTATGTTGCACCAACTCCCTGGATCCCATCAGTTCCATGTTGCAGATTGATTGTCTATTGTGCAGAGAGACTGGTTTTGTTGCAAGCGGCAGCCATGACGTCTGTGCAGCTCCTAGATTGTGCAACCTGCTGAAAAAGCCTCACAACAGATTCACAACTGGAACACCAGCTCCGAGCTCTCTTCAACTTGATTGAATGCCAAATTGCTGCAGAACCCAGGCAGAAACGCACAAAAACCCTAAGCCCAGGGAAAGCGACATGCGCGCCTGCCTACTTTCATATTCCTATGTATCCATATAGACAAAAGGATTGTGCTCTTATCCTTCATCCCTGTGCGTGCAGATCTTCTGCCGGCAGGTTTTGACTTCGGAGCCCGTGATCCAGTACCTGAACGAAACGTTTGTCGTCTGGGGGGGAAGCGTGCGGTCACCAGAAGGCTTCGGCCTCAGCCTCAGTCTGAAAGCGTCCACCTTTCCGTACCTGGCAGTCGTTACGGGTGAGTCAGTCTGTTCTTATCCAATTCTTGAGCTTTTTGAAACTGTTGACCGGCTGCTGTACGCAACTGATTCTAGTAACTGCGACCAGCAGATTGCATCAGAGATCTTAAGGGCATTGGAATTTCAGCACCGTTTCGCCAGCGCTGCGTTAGATTCACAAAGTTGAATAGTGGAACTGGTTCTACCGGTGTGGATGCTCTTCATTATCTGGATGGCTTCAAAGTTGTTCACCCTGACAAGAAGCTAAACGTGAGCTTGAGCACAAACCTCGAGCTTTTTCGAGCCTACCTGCTTCGTATTTAGTCGAACTTACCCATCGTTAAGTCAGAAATACTGCCTTCTTCGTTTCTGCCACTTGAGGCGTTCCTGAACATTCCAAGCTTCCAATGTCACCAGCATCTGCTCCCCTGTTCTGATTGGGCAACTTCGACAATTTTACCCATGCGTCAAGGGCCGCACCCGCCCGGATGCGCCGATTGCCCTTTCCGCTCTAAATCGGCGCCTCACCCACTCCTTAACCCGTTCTAAACCAGGGTCGAGCAGCCAGCGCGTGGCTCTCTTGCACTGCATCGAGGGCCCCACCCGCCCCGAGGCGCTGCTCGAGGCGCTCGCCAAAGTGGTGGACGAGCAGGGGGCCATGCTCGTAGCGGCCCGCGCGGACGAGGAGGAGCGCACGCTCAACCGTCGGCTTCGAGAGGAGCAGGACGCGGCATACCAGGCATCCGTGCAAGCGGATCGGGTGAGGGCTTCATGAATGTCAAAGTGCGGACTTGCAAAGGGTTTTAGTGCTTGGGGCTCAGAAGACTGTCAGGGGGATGGTTGAGGCGTTGCTTATGGCCTCGAAAGGCCGTAAAAGGGCTCCAAAGTGACCGTGAAAAGTATTTGTGCGAGGACTAGTACCACTGGCCGAATACAAAGCTTGCTACAGAGACTTGCGGTCGTCAATGCAAACTTTGTCATGGTTGCAATTTCATATTGGGGAGAAACGGAGCCCCTCGTGAGAGAGGACCCCCGCAATTGATTTTCATCCGAAGCACTGACTTTATGTGGGAAGGAACACGAAAAGTCTTGTTGAGCGCGGCCCTGTAGGTTGGCTGCGTTCTCGAATCCTTGCTGTTTTTGCGCATATCGTGCATGGGTGCTGTCAGGACGCAGGGTGTGGATTGAGGGAAGTTTGTTGAGCCCTCTTTCACAGTTAACGACAAACACCCAGGTAAGTCGTTTGGGCCCACTCTTAAGAAGGGGTCAACGACGAACAAACTCGCTTCCTTTCTTCCATGATGCTAAGGGCAACCTCGTCAGGTCCCCCCACTTCGCCTCCGCGTTCCTTTTGGCCGGACATTCCTCATCGGTATCGGGTTTTCGGGGAGCTGAACGGCACCGAGCCTTCATCGCTTGGTCCAACTGTATTTTCAGAGAAAAAAGATTTGAGTGCTGCTGCTGCAGACGATTTCTCTTGCGTCATTCGACACCTTTACAAAGGTTTGTCACAGAGTACTCTGCTTTTCTGATGGTCCTCGCCTTTGACTTTTTTTCCCCCGTCACGTGCCCCCCACCCTTTCCAAAGGACTGTCATGGAACAGTTTGCTCTTCTGATGGTCCTCGCATTTCGCTCGTTTTCTTTCCAACACTTACCTTACGATTCAGACCCCCGTGGGCTTTGAGGTGCAAAATGGAGTCGGCTTCAAAGCCGCCAAGTCTCTGATCTCCAACAAGCGTCACCGTGCCAGGAGCGAGAGGAGGCCCGCCAGGCGGAAGAGGAGCGGAAACGGAAGGAAGCAGAGGAAGCGGAACGGGCGGCTCGAGAGGAGCGGGAGCGCATCGAAGCGGAGGAAAACGCAGCACGGCAACGGGAGGCGGCGCTGGAGAGGCGGCGAGCCGAGAAGGCGGCGATCCTGGCGGAGGAACCGGAGAACGGGCCGGATGTGACGCAGGTGAACTGGACCGACCGCTGTTCAGAATAGATTCTTGAATCGACTTTCTTCTTCGAGGCGTTCGTTCTCTTACCGCTTGTTGATCGGTCCGCTCCAGGAAGTAGCATGTCATAAACGGATTTCGTAGACGCTCCTTTGGCATACCCTCCGTGTCACTTCCTTCGTTGTTGTTTTGCTCGTTAGGGGAAAAGTAGAAATTGGACCCAGGACAACCCCTCCCCTTGACGTACTGCCGCCTAGCTTGAAAACCATTTCTGCTCGTATGCTTCTGCAACAAGAATCACCAGATTGAGCAGATCTCAGAAGACTTTCTTGGCAGATCATCGTTGAATCTTGCGCCCGCCACACTTTGTCCGCCCATTGTTGTGCATGAAAAGAACGTGCTCTCATCCCTTACTGACTCGTAATTGTTGCGATTCTGTCTGGTTTTACCGCTTTCTCGAGCGGCGTCGTTACCTTTTCGATCCAGGTACTGGTGCGGCTGCCCAACGGCGACCGCATTGCGCGCCGTTTTGCGTGCGAGAGCCCCGTGCAAGCAGTGTACGATTGGGTGGATACCCTCAAGAGCATGGAGCATGCGCACTACAGTCTGCTGATGAGCTACCCGAGGGAAGTATACGGTCCAGAGAAGCGGCAAATGAGCCTCAAAAGCTTGAAATTGCATCCGAGGGCCACACTGTTCGTGCAAGTCGATGAAGAGTGACAGCGGGTTTTTTTGCTGGTAGCGAGCAAACGTGGAAATAGACTTTGGGTGGTTTATTCCGGCTAATCTGGGACAGGGACACTGTCAGTAAGAGCATGTGGTTGGATAGAGGCTGCTCGTTCCGCTACCTTGCTTTTGAGGACCGGCCGAGACACAAGACCTCTGTTCTGGTGATTCATGTGAAGCTGATACTGTGCCAAGTCTTTACAACAACTCGAGGAGGGGCGTGCGACACTTTTTGCAACTTACGGTGCATGCATAGCCATGAGACCCATCACACATAGTCATGTTTGAGTAATTCACGCTAATATATGACTGCTCATACATTTGACGAAATTGTATATATATAGGGCCGCGGGCAATGATATCCGCGGTACTGCAACATGCATCATGCATGAGACGTTGTACGCGTCGATCCTGGATATGCGGTTGCCTGATCGTTCCAAATTATAGAATTATACCGTATACAATATAAGACGATCGATATGTGCATAGACGCGGTTGATTGCACTATACGTGAACGGCTTCATAGATACCTAAAATGATATTACTAAATAATGATCGTTTTGCGACCATGGGCAAATTATAAGCATGACAAGCATCCGCGGCCGGCCGGCTGAGATATAAAATAGATTCGACTTGAGACGGTATAGAAAATCGCAGGTTACCAAGTGGATGGGGCAGCAATACGCATGTGCATGAGCACGTGAACTTACATGCATAATTGAGCTAGTATGTGCATGAGCTCGGTCAATTGTTTCACCTTGGGTCGCACGTGTCCCAGCTTGGGACCTTGACACGTACAAGGGCGCAGTGATACATGTTTCCAGCACAAATACATTGGGCTCTGAACCAGCTCAACAGATTGTCAGCTTATTACCAATACAACATACTCGTCGTTCTTCAATAGCACATTCTCTACCTACGTTGTTGCTGAGCATGCAACAGGAACGAGCACTACGCAATCGACAGATCTGCACATTCGGCTCCTCACTTGCCTACACATTCGATTCAGTATCTCAAACGCTGCGACAAAACAAGGCCACAAGCCCACTTTGCCTCTTCGCACAAAAACACCTCAAAACTTGTCGCTGGCCTCGCCTGCTAGTCTCAGCCCCAGAGGTCTAGAGTCGCTCCCTTTTAGTTGCTCCCCTTTAATCCCATCCGTCCAGCCTCATTCCCTTCAAACTCGCCTTGGCAAGTACCCCATCCCTCCTAGTTAGTCTCGTTATTTGGCTTCCGACCTCCTCTGCCGCCCTTCGTTTGCGCTTCTGTGGGCACCTTCCCCGGCGTTCTGCCTGTGCTCCCGGCCCCGCCCACGTCCCTCCCCCCCCTTACGCGTGCGTGCCTCCTGCCAACCCCCGTCGTCCTTCCCCTGCTCCTCCCGACCCTTCCCGGAGCCGCTCCGTGCTTGGCCCACCTGATTGCTGCGCTCGGGAGGCGACACCCGGGCAGTCCTCGCCTGGTCGCCAGTGTTCGTTTCCCGACTAGGTTCGCTCGGCAAGCCCCAGCCGGTCGTTCCTGCAGTGTCGGAAACTGGTGCTCCGGCCAGGTCCTCTATGGAGACCTCTTCCGACGCTGCTGACGATTCTGGAGGGCCGAGTCTAATCGCCTCCGGGTCATTCACAGCTGCATGCCATCCTGGACAAAGGGAGGCACGTTGAGCATAGGCAACGGACTGAACTTGACTCCCTTGTGTCGGAAATCGAAGAAATCAGAACTTTCAGAATCAAAGTACCAGTTTGCACATTGGCAACAATCAGAACAGCCCAAGCAACACCGGGAACAACAACAAAGGGGGAGCAACAAGATACTTGTTAGGTCCACCACAACTCGACCTTTTTTCGCGCTACTGTAAAGCCCCGTTAAGGGCCCCCAGTCGAAAAAGAAAAGCACTTACTCGCTGCAAAGAACGCCATAATCTCCTCTGGCCCCATGCCTTTCCGCCCTTCGCGCTCGTCCTTCTCAATCCCCTGCTTTTTAGCCCCCGCCCACGTCCCCCCCGCTGCATCCGACGTGGCCCCTTTCGCCGTCCCACTTTCCCCAGCGCCATGACTGCCAACCGCTATCACCTCCTCTTCTAACTGCAGACCCCCCCAAGCATCTTCGAGTCCCGGTTCCACAATGATCGGCGCCGCCGCCTGCGCCGCCTCTTTCGCACTCTGCACAAGTTCTGCCGTCATTGCCTCGCCTCCGTTCTCCACGGCCCCTCGAGGCCCTGCTGCCGCCTCTGTCTCGCCCCTCCGGCCCTGCTTCTTCTTCCTGGCCGGCGCCGCCCGCTTCGCAACAGGGCCCAGCTCGGGCCACGCCTCCGCCGGCTGCTCCTGTTCCGCCCGGTGTTCCTTTTCCGCCTGCTGCTTCCGTTTCCGCTCCCCCTCGAGCGCCGCTCTCTCCTCTGCCTCCTTCTGCGCCGCTGCCGCCACGATCCGTGCCCACCCGCCACTCATCTGCACACCGCCTGAAGCTTCCGGCGACTCCGTCTCAGTCGGTCCCGGGCTTGTGTCGCCCTCTTTCCCCGCTGTTTCAGTTTCCGGCTTCGCAACTGGAATGCTAGCCTGGGAAGCAACTGGACTGCTAACCTGGAAAGCAACTGGACCGCTGACCTGAGAAGCAACCGGAGCACTAATTGGAGCAACTTGAGCAATAAGCGAAACACCAGCTGGAGCAACGGCCTCCTCCACAATGGGCACACGTGCGGTCTCCCCTCTGTCGTCACTCGGCGCCCCAGCTTCCGAGTCCATCAGTAACGACTTCAACTCCTGCGTCGCTTTCTTCGACCACTCCCGTTCGTCCACAGCTTTCGCCTCGCCCGCGTCACCTTCGACTAACTCCGCTGGCTGCGCAGCGCCCCGCTTCTTTCCTTTCGACTTGCGCCCCCGCCGCCCTTCTTTCCCGCCGGCCTTCCCGTCACTGCCCCCGGAATGCTTCCGCTGCAAGTCGTCGTTTTCGCCCGCCTCCCGTGCGCCGGTCCCAGCATCAGAAGTGGACGCCTGTGTAATTTCATTTTCGGGCTTAGCATCCTCGCCGTTCGTGCGAACCTCCGTCGTCGCGGGCTCTGCCAGCGCTGTCGCCTCGGCACTCAACCCGCGAGCTTCACGCGCCCCCAGCGCTTCCGCCCTCGGAGTCTCGCTCCGCAGCTCTGCTGCCACGACCGGCAACTCGCCATCACCTACGGCTGCGCTGGTCTCGACACGCACCTCCTCACTCGACTCCGCCCCAAAGGAGCCACTAACATGAGCCCCGTGAGCATTTACTCCTTCTCCGTGCGACCTCGGCCGATTGACCATAACTCCCGGCACAACCCCCTTGTCCTGACGCCCTCGCTCAGAAAGTACCGCTCTCGTTTGGACACCCTCCGAAGCGCCGGGTTGCTCCCCAGAGCCCCCCTTTGACAACCCTCCCGATGCTGCGCTCGACACACTCGCAATCTCTCCGGTAGTGTTCAAACCACCCTGCTTCGCCGTCTCCGATTTCCCCTTGCCACCCCCTTCCCGCGCCCGTGGCCCCATCTTCGTAACCAGAACCAGAGTTTCCCCAGGGATGACACGCGCCGCCGATGCCTTCGGCGCCTCCGCCGATTTCACCTTCCCCCCCATCCTGCTCACCGGCACTGCAATCACACCTGTCAACGGGCTGGCCTTCTTTTCCTCTGCCCCGCTTCCCCCCGACCCCTGAGGCCGCAGCTTCGCTCCTGTGCTGACGGGAGGGGGCGAGACGCTGAAATCAGGCGCAACGCGCTCAAGCTCGACAGTTGGAGGGGTGGGAGCGCTTCCGACAGAGTCGACCGCTGCTGAGGTGTCAGAACCTGCAGCTGCAGGCGCTTGGCTTTCGGAACTCTCCGCTTTCAGTGGCGGCACCGCCTCAGATGAGCTGGAGGGGCTTGGCGCCTCTGAGCTCGCGGAAGCTGTCTCCAGACCCCCATCAACCGGCCCATCCCCGGAAGCGCCGTCCGACACACTTTCAAGGCCCCCGGACGCACCGCTCGCCAACAGCACTTTAGCGTCACCGTCTTGAACTAAAGACGGCTCGCTTTCCCCCTCCTCTTCCGCAACCCCTACTTCCTCGCCAACATCCTGCGGATCGACGGACGGTCCCACTGCTGCTGCAAAAACGGGCTCGTCACTGACTTCGGAAATTTCCGAGTCGTTTCGCTGAGGGTACCCGCGGGCTTCGTCTTCCCTGGGGGCTTCGGACACACCGTCGGACGCTGGTCCAGCGGAGGTGTCCGCAGCGGGCTCGGTCTTGAGTTGCTCCGCGGCCTTCTTCTGCTTCTTGCGGTTCTTTTTCTGCAGCGCCTTCTGCCTCCTGCAAGCAAAGCGCGAGACGACACAGGTGTCAGAGGTGCAGTAGACAAGGAGGCTCAGAGCATGGGAGCTCTGAAGGTGGCCGGAGAGTTTTCCAACATGGGGGGCTGATGCTAAGGAAAACTACAGGGAGGGTTATCCTGCAAAGGTACGGCAATGCTCCAATGGGAGGGGCAAAACTTCCACATGAGTGAAGCTTTGCATCGAGCCTCCGAGCATTGACTTCAAATAAGGCTAGGAAGCACCAAATGTCCTGTTGCCGATTGTGAGCCTGAGCTTGACTCCAGCTCTCCGTTCTACGGAGTGTATTGAGTTTGGTTCAGGAAACCGAAGGGAGAAACAAACCTGGTACTCAACGGAAAGACAAAAAGTTTGTTTGCAACCCAGACTAGGGCTGCAATGCATCCAGACACACGCAGATAATTCTCTCAGGTTGTGCGACAGCTGGGGCAGCGTGAGCAAAGGTATGGCACCCTATGGAAATACACATGCCTGCAACTCTGTACAGGTGGCTTTTCAGTTGCTTTTCTTTTTCCGAAGGACTGAGAAAAAAGTCCTTGCAGAACATCAACAGAGTCACCCCGCTTCTTGCTCTATCCTACCAAACACCCCATTAACCAGAAACAATAGAGTGCCAGAAATGAATTGTGCAGAACTCAATGGAATGCCCAGACCTGAGGGCATTGCAAGCTCACAGCACAGCAGGAAAACTGGGTGGAAGCAGACCCACCTACTCTTCTAGGCCAACTCCTACACCCACCGAGAATCACGTAATGCAGGGGCCCAACAAAGCAAACTCTTAAGAACGCGACCGCCGAAAGCAGAACCGCGCCAAGCACTCCTTTCAAAGCTCAAGTGCACTGACTCCTGCAAACCTTTCACTTCTCACTTGCACTCGCTTCTTCAGCACTGTCCCTGAGAATGCTGGTCTGCAAGCCCCATCCAAAAAGAATAGCCGCGCTCACTTCTCGAACGCTGCATCCTCCTCCTCCATGAGTGCCTGCTGGGTCCTGCGCGCGCCCTCCTCCTTGCTTTTCATCCAGGCGCTCACAATGCGGTCCTCCAGCATGAACGCGAGCAGCCCCACCAGGTACCCCTCATCGCCCATCCCCCGTGCGGGGTCCGCCGTGACGAAGCGCTGCACCGGGGGGTCTGTGCGGCCCCGCAGGAACGTGTGCTCGCTTGCCTCGTCCAGCGCGTTGAACAGGTCGATGGAGGAGGTGGGGGGGAGCTCCAGGGGGCTGAAGACCATGTTCTGTCAAAAGGGCAAAAGGCAGCTGTGAATAAATCTAGTCTGATATTTTCAACCCGCGCAGCATCTCAAGCAGACGCCAAACTTGGGGTGGAGGACGGAAATCCACTTACACCGTTCGGAATCTTGAAGAATGTACGACTATCCTGTCATAGGCCAATCTAAGCAACATGTTCATTCAGAAGCATTTCCTCGCTCGTCTTTCGAATGTACGCACACTTGAAGAGCATGTTCAGATTGGACAGATCTTGTACTTTGAATGGAGGAGGCAGGACAACCTCTTAGACATGGCAATATAACAGACTATTCAATAAGCCCGGCAAGTTGGCTGTTAAAGATGTACAGCTGTTACGTAAAGGCTTTTGTTCAAGCTCAGCTTCCCAAAACAAGGTTTGGTTTTCGTGGTGCCTAAGCATCAAGCATTCTCTTGTCCGCTAAAGTTGCTGAGGTGGACACCCCCAAGGCAGAGCAACAAAAGATCAACACAATATGACAAGCGCCCAACTTTGCTGATTAACGGTTTGCCGACATCATGACCAGAGTGCCGCAACTCACCAGCAGCGTCTCTCCGAGGATCATGTACTTGGCGCCCTTGATTCCATGGAGCTTCCTGAAGCGTGCCTTCTGAACGAGTTCTGCAGACACCCTCTCCCCATTGATGCTCTGCGCCACAACAGAAAATGAGAAGTCAGAGGACAAGCCAGCACTTGCACAGACTATAGCAGACTATAAAATCCTACACAATCCCTGGGCCCGGAAGCAAGAGTGCGAATAGTGAAAGGCTTTAAAGGTTGGGCCAGCCAGGTGCAAGCTGGGAGAACAATTTACAACTCTACAGTCGGAACGAAGAAATTCCTCTAAAAATTTTGGCCAATGCTATGAAGCGGAGCAGGTGAGACACAGAAGCATGTCAAGGTCTCCGAGAGAAGCGAAAAATCTCCGGCTTACAATGCCTCTCAATGTGACGGCGTAAGGCCTGTACGAACCATCTTATGAAGAATTTCCCAGGTGTCCAAACGTCTGAAAACCAGCACATTCCTCAGCCTGGATACTACAACCGACCCCTCACCTGCATGGACACGTCCTTGATGTTGAGCAGCTCCTTCTGCTCCTCCTTGGTGAGGTCCGCCCAAAACGCCATCATGGCCGGCCGCTCCGCCAGCAGGTCCCCCCCCTGCTTCTTGTGCCGCTGCAGATAGTGCCGCAGCATGCTCACGCTCGACACAAACTTGCGCGGGCAGCTCTTTGACCGGCACGAAAGCTCCGGAACCAGCGCTGCCATGTGAGGGGGTGCACCCAGGGGCCAGCCCTGCCCATTGAACCCCCCCATGTGCGGAGGGAGCCGCGGCCCCCCCGCCAGGTTCTTGATCTCGCGCAGGCGCGGCTCGTCCATGTACCCGAGCCCCGACTCGAGGTCGATGAACTCGCCGATGCGGTGGTAGGGGTTCGAGTCGTCGTCGACGGGCGGCGCGCGCTCCGCAAACTTGGAGTTGCTCAGGCCACCCTTCATGAGCGAGCTGGGGCTCATCATCGGGGAGATCGGGGAGACCTCCATTTTCCCGTCCGCCGAACGGCCGATCGCCATGAGCTTAGCAGGGCGGCCGCCCTTGGCCATCCCCGCGCCCGACACGTCATAGTGCGTGATGCCGGTCGTGCTCGGGATGCTGGAGAGGACACGGTTGATTCCGACCATAGGGTCGTCGAGGAGTGCGCCGGGGTCATCATCCTCTGGCGCTTCTTCAGCTGCAGCACCGTCCGCTGACGGAGCCAGCTTCGGCCCTTCCTTCTTCCCGCTCTTCTTTTTCTTCTTCTTTCCTGCCTTTCCCCCCTTCTTTGCCTCCGCACCCCCTAGCTCCTCGCTGTCCACAGACGGTCCTGCACCAACTTCGGTGGGTTCCCGCGAATACTCAGTTGCTGACTGCTCGGCCCTCGCATTGCGGCTCTCCTCTTCCTCCCTGGAAATCCTCTCCACCCACTCGTCAATCTCCCCAGGATTGATGATTTGCCGCATCTGCAAGCCCGCATCGGCCCCCTCGCTCTCTTCTTCCGCTCCCACCTGTCCGTTTCCTTCCTTCGCCCGCCGCCTCAAACCGCACTCGGGCGCCTCCCCATCCCCACCTTCGTCCGCACTGCTGTCCCCCCAGGACGCATTCCACGCATTTCCGTCCAGATGCTTTTTCTTTGCGTGATCCCCCCTGTTCCTACCATTTGACTTTCGTGAGAGGAGCGGCACTCGTAACAGATCGTCCACCTCATTTCCAGAGCCTGCCGCCTCTTCCTTCCCTGGTGGTGCTCCCTTCCCTGAGGTCTCCGCTGTGAAGGAGGTCCTGGCAACAACCCCAAAGCTGCCCGGGGCCCCATCCACTTCCACCTCCTGAGTCACGATCTCAAGCTCCTCCCCAACAGCTGCGACACCATTCGCTTTGGGCCCTTTCCTCTTACTTGCAATCTGCGCCGTCGTTGCCTCCCTTTTGTCCCCCTCGGTTGCAGAGACTCTGCCGAATGCGCTGTGCAACTCAACCTCTGCTCTCAGCTTGTTTGATGGAGGCTTAGCGGGACAGGGTTCGGCTACGCTGAGAGGGCCGTCAGGAGTGGAAGGTTGGCTTTCTGAGGCCTCAGAAGGGGTGCTTGTGCTATGCTCTGAACTTGGCGCCGCGGGAAGGACAGTCACGATGCTCTTGATCCAAGGGTAGACCACACTGGTCAAGTGGTACTTGCCAGGGCTCGGGGGCCGCCTGCAGAGATAGTCAGGTTATACTTGACAAAGCGCAGGAGCTAACGCAAGCAGTGTGTGCACTATGGCCATGCCTTGAGGGAATCATAATGTACAGAACTTGAAACCCCAGGGAGTTCGCTCGTCTTTTGTTGACTTGCAACTTTTAGCCCTTTCAGCAGACCTAACCACGAAAACCTCTTTCCGGAAAAAACACAGCGTCGATGTGACGGACAGATTAGTCTAGTCCTTACAAGTTGATATTTTTTTCCTTCCACGTTGCAACATAAGAAAGAAAAAGATACCGTACTGCAGCAGCCTCTGCTTTGACCACCATTGATTGGTTTTCCAGTGTTATCCTCTGACCTTGTCACATTGATTTCAGAGGATTGGGTCCGGCAATTCCTTTGCACGTACTAGTCCTACATTTACTAGCTCTGAAAAGTCAAAGTGTTGACGGGCATGCTGCATTGAAGCAGGAGCATAAAGTTGCAAACATCTTGAAAGACCTTCAACAACAATTTAACTATGACAAGCATCAGATGTAGTGCACCTGCACTCAAGGCTCCATCACATCAATGCCTGTGGACAACCAAAAACCCGTCTGCAAGCAGCCAGTATCCAGAATCCTGGCTTCTCGGCATAAGCAGACTGAAATGCTCACCAGACATATACAGTGCCAGGCACAATGATTGGCGTTTCAAAGACCTTTCCGCCAGAACAGCTCTCAATCTCAAAGTGGTGCTGCAGGTCACAATCTTTGGAGACACAGATTTTGAGAAGGCCCCCTCCTGTGACCTTCACAAGGGACTGGTCGAGCTTGGAGTCCCCAGTAAGCGTGATCCGAGCAACAGGGCTCCCTACACTGGCCTGGTTTTCATCTGGAACCTTCACCTCAACCCTTTGCTCAGAGTTAGATCGGCTTGGCTGCACTCCTGAGTCCTGGGCCTGCCTTGCACTTCCCCCATTTCTCATATGTGCAGGACGGGTCCACAACGGCGACCTCTCCTCATCACTTGCGCTGTCGTCTGCTCCAATCTGCTCATTATGCGCAGTACTTCTCTCAACTTCTTCCCGGGAATCTTGAGTGCTGGTGCCTCGACTTTTCAGCAAGGATTTGGACTTTACACGACGGCCTTCAACTGCATCAACTTCAGCCTGTGAGTGCCTGATCTGTTTGCTGTCAATGAGATCCCCGCCTTTCACAACGCCGTTTGCAGTGCTTCGCGCGAAACCATTCTCTTCCCTTTGCTGAGTTTGCAAGGAAAGCTTCAGACTCGGACCACCGTTACCATGCATCGCTCCTCAAAGTGGCACACCCTGTAGATGCAGCTGGCAGCTTCAACAGCTTCCTTCAGTGCGGCTCCTTCAACCCCTCATTGCTCTCCGAACGCTAGCTAGGCCGAAGAAAGACTCGAAAGAGCTGCCACAGGAAGGCCTGTCACGGTTTGTGCCAGGGCCCAGAAGCCGGACTGAAAGTATCGACACATCGTCAGCCGTCGATTGTTCACAAACCTCCCCCATTGATACATCGAACGGTCAATATCAAAGTCTACCGGTGGCGGTTGAGTCAAAAATGCATTCGCCAGCCGTCGATTCGCTTCTCTGCTCTTCTCATCGTGATGCTGATCGAAAGAGGTCGGTTCGATCTAGTTCCTAGCACGAAGCAGCAAGAAGCGGTGCTCGGTGTTAATTGAAACTTGTCGGAGTTGCTGTAAATAGCCGACGTTCGTCGTGTAAGTCCATTGTCGTCGAAAGCAAAGGGGCGATGTTCCGTCAACTTGGTTCGACGCCAAAATCCCAGTCTCCATGCTGTCCCATAGGCTTCGCATGGCGACTGCGACGCTTCTAGCAGCCTGAGCTGCATCCAGTGCATGGCGGTCTGGGCGGTCTGATTTGGATAAATCATAAAGTCTGCTGTCCACTTGTGCAATGCAGCCATGCTGCCAATGCTGTGCGTCAACTGCATGATGCCGGCGTCTTTCTGAAATATTGAACTCATAATTCAGTCGTCCATGTCCTCAGCAGCCACCTCCCTACTGGCCCGGCCCCTGACACCGCTAGCTCGCAGATCTTTCGAACAAAAGACGCTCCAGTGCAAAGTAAACCACAGCACCGCCTGCCCGTTCCTTTCAGCAGGGCACGCACATATCGCTGATAATTCTTTGTATCCGCGCACGTTTGTGCAACGCCTTTCTGCAGGACTTCACAGACGTTTCTGTGCAACCATGGCGCCGGTTGAGGGGAATGCTGACAAGGGCAAAACAAAGGGCCGGAGGTAGGGCTGCGCTTATGTCCTGCAACCGCTGCCTTATTGAGACCGAGAGAAGTCCTAGTTTGCCCCAATCCTCACCTCTGCTTGTCATACAATGGCCGCTTTTGAACGTGTGAAATCGGACTGAGAGTTACAAATGCCATGTCAATTGGCCTCAGACTGCCTTTGCTTCAAGTCCTTGTAGCTGGTCAGTGCCACATTCATGTCAGGTATCGTGCTCAATCCCTAGCTGCCTCATCTTCTCCATTGACCTGGTGAGAATCATAATCTTCTGGACGTGCAGCAAACTCCTATCAGACTGAGACTTTGTACTGTGTCTGCAGTGCCCTGGATGAGATGGACACCAGTGGTGCCTTCAAGAGGACGGACTCCTCTTTCAGAAACTGGATCACAGCGGATGGCTCCAGCGGCTTCCCCGCAGTGGCGGGGCGCTATCACCTGTACATAAGCTATGCCTGCCCCTGGGCCAGCCGCTGCCTGGCCTTCCTCAAGCTCAAAGGACTGGAGCACGCTATTAGCGTCACTGTAAGCAGTCTTCAAATACTCTCAATCTTGTGACTTTTGAGACTGTGCATCTTTATGTGGCTTGCTTCTGGATTGTTGACCCCATGTCGAGGGCCACATGCAACCCTGCCATATCATCGTGTCACATGTGCTTCGCCGGTCTTTGAAAGAGTTGTGCCATACGCTTGGAAATGTAGGTTTGGGACTGCAAGCGTGGACTGAAGTCCAGAACTCAGACATTTCTCTCTAGAGTTCAGTGTCTTCAGAGCCCCATGTTGGACTAAAGCTTTTTCTAGGCAAATGCGGGTTCGTGGATCTATCTTTTGAAAGCTTCCTGATTAGTTGAGGGGCCGAGGAGTGAAACAATCTACTGAGAGGGCAGAAAAAGAGCTTGGAGAAAGGGCGTCCAAGCCTAAAGTTTTTTGTCTGGTCAGTGCCACAAGTTTGCAAACATTGTTGATTCGAAATTTGTTTGGTTCAAGTCCTTTGATTGGTCTGACCTGTGCCGTTTGATTAAAGAATTGTATTTTTGGAGCCACCCCATCTCTGACATGTGTCCTTGGCCCAAAACCTTGCTCAAAAAGTCCTCTTTTTAACCTTAAGAAACATCTTCTAGATTTTGGAATAGATAACTGTCCAAAGTTCTGGGGCCTTCAAACCCTTGTGACTAAGCATGAGGGCAAAGTTTGACAATCTGGGGGGTCTCTTTCGCAGACGACTAAGCCACGGTGGGAGCGGTCGCGCCCAGACAATCCGGACGACTCTCACATGGGCTGGGCCTTTGCCAAGTTCGACAATGAGGAGCCGGACGCGACGCCTGACCCCCTGGAAGGGGCCAAGTTCATCAGGGACCTGTATGAGATTGCGGACCCGTCCACCGGCAAATTCACCGTGCCAGTTCTCTGGGACAAGGTACATGCAACCGACCCCAGTTGTGTTCGCGGGTTCCTTACCTCACTTTTTGAACAAATCATTCTCAAAAGTTTCAGTTCGGATATGGCTGCAAATGTCTGCTTTACAAAGTATTATGCAGATTCACGTAAGCCCTGGTTTTGGACCTGAAAATGTTGGCGAAAATCCAAGGAGTGTCAAGGGGGTCAAATTCGGGTAGCTTCTTGAATGAGACTTCGGGGCTTTCTTTGCAATGTTTCTTCTTGCGGGCTTGTCACAGGCAGCATCGCTATATTGACCTTCTTTCCATATCCATAATAGACTGGCTGTGACCCTTCTAATAGCAACTTCGGCTTAGACGTCTCTTCTTCTCGTAGCCCCCGGTTTAGAGACGTCAGAGGGAGGCAGTATCAAGGACGCTTGGTGATATGTCAGATTTGAAGAGCTGGAAACCTTTTCTTTGCTCTGACAATTTCAAGATGCGTCGGATTCATGAGCTGCTGGCTGTGTCAAGGCTACGCAAAGAAGAAGACTATTTCGATTGTGTGCATCCCTCCAGTGATTTCAAACAATGTTCCCGAGTTGGCGTCATCTGAGGGCGTCATTTGAGACTGGCTATTCGTCATTGTGTCACAGGAAAACACAGTCCTATGAATTCCACTACGTACGGCAAACTCGCCTCTAACCATTTCCCTCTGTTTTCTCTTCCAGGAGAAGCACACAATTGTCAACAACGAGAGCGCCGAGATCACGCGCATGTTCAACAAGGAGTTCAACGCGATCGCGGAGCACCCCGAGTTGGACCTCTACCCCGCCGAGCTGCAGAAGGAGATTGACAGCGTCAACGAGTGGGTCTATGACACCATCAATAACGGCGTGTACAAGTCGGGCTTCGCAACCAAGCAGAAACCGTACGAAGAGGTGGGACTGCAGATTTGTTTGGCGACGTCCTTTTCGTGTTGATGGTTGTTCTTTTCGTTGGTCTGTGGCTTCATTTGTTGGAGTCCCATTTGCGGTGCTATCCGAATACGTTCTTTCTCGTTGCATGTCTGTCGATGGAGTCGTGTGGGGCTGCGCAGAAGCCCTTCGTTAAAGTGGGATCGTCCACTGGCCATTCTTATCAGCAGACCAGTCCTTTTAAAGAGTCTAGCAATGGACTCAACGACTTTGTTGCTGGCATAGCAGACCAATGCTAAGTGCCCAGCAGTCGATAGGGCCCAGTTGTTCACTCAATGGTTGTTCCCTAGCTCTTCTCTGGCTCCCCAGAGGTGGACATAAACCGGAGAGCAGGCTTCTGTAAGAAGAAGTGCGGGACGCCTGAGAAAACGGATCGGCGCCGTCCGCAGACCAAGGACTGCTCTTCTGGCAAACTTTCAAGCTCGCAACTTTGCTACGTGTGCAGGCTGTGACCGCCCTATTCAACTCGCTGGACCGGGTGGAGGAGATTCTGTCCAAGCAGCGCTACCTTGCTGGCAACGTGCTGACCGAGGCTGACGTCAGGCTCTTCATGACGCTGATTCGCTTCGACGAGGTGAGGGTCGTCTTGCCCCTGCTTTGGTCTGTGATCTTCTGCATGCCGTTGCTCGGTTTCCTTCCTTTTTCCGTGTCGTTCTCGGCTCCCTGATGTTTGTATTCCTGGTCTCTTGAGTCTGTTCTGCTTTCCATGGATGCTCGCCTAAGGTACATCTTCGTGTAACAGTACGTCTGCCAGCCTCGATGCACGTTTTCAAGGGCTTTATTTCCTTCTAACGCACATCCTGTCGCACATCATGTCATTCCCATTGCGACTTGAGTCTGTGCCCCGAGGAGGCCGTAGCTACGTTTCGTCATTCGTTCTCAGGGATCGTACACTCAATTTACAGCCGTGCCTTACAAAGCAAGCCCGGTTTGCTTACTAGATCCCATCACAAACCGCTGACGTCACAGCCTATCTCACAACGTCCCCTCTCTCCAGGTGTACGTGGTACACTTCAAGTGCAACAAGAAGCTCATCCGCGAGTACCCCAACATTTTCAACTACACCAAGGAGCTGTTCCAGATGAAGCCCATCGGGGACACGGTCAACATGCACCACATCAAGGAGCACTACTACGGGAGCCACCCGTCGATTAACAAGTTTGGGATCGTGCCCATTGGTTCCAACACCGACTTTTCGGCCCCCCATGACCGGGAAAAGAAGTTTCCTTCCAAGAAGTAGGAGTCTCGCAGCTTGTTTGCGGGCCGCTTGGTGCTGTACGTGTAGCAATGAGCACAGTCGAGCTTGCGTTGTGGGTTTTGCTTTTTGATTGCTATTGGAAGTTTTGCTCCCGTAAGCTAGCCAATGCTGGGGCTTCCATCGCACATCTCTTAACGAAGAGGTTTGTGTCTCGTCATTGGTGCGGACTTTTGTACACTAGAAAGGAATAATCGGCCTTTGAGTAAGTGCTTCCCTTAACGGTCGGACATGTCATACAGCGCCTTGATCTGTGCATTACGTACACTGATCTATGTTGCCGATTATGTTCTCCGTGATGCCAGACATTGAGTTCAGACTACAGTGCTCCGCATGATCTATCAACTGCAATCCCTATCCACAGTCATGACATACGCACGAGTCAGACTTACGATGGATTTGACACCAATTTGAGCAGCCAAGGCTTGTTCAGGCCGGCGCTATCATTAAATTGAAAAGAATCCAGACAGCGATACTACACCGCACCATAATTCTTCATAGGGTTGTCAAAAATTGCACAATTGCCATGTACGCCATATTCGAATCGGACTACTCACTATGAATGCAGATTGCGATATCATACTACTAGGGCAAAGTGTTTGCGCAAAAATCATGCAGCCTTATATAGAACGTTGATTGTCAACGATTGTCACGAGTTTGCCAAATTGTTGGCTTCTATAAAACGTCCACAACCGGATCCTCATCACTTTAACCGTTTGTCGGTTGATCGATGAAAATCTTACTGAGCTACTCGTTGGTGGGTAAGAAAGCAAACAATTGTAAGGCGAGGATCTTATATTATCAGTTCAAACAGTGTGCCATGCGCAGTGACATGCGCGTGCTACATCTGCATCAACATTGAACAATCGGAGGACGTCAACGGAACTTCGTGTCATGCTTCTTTTGCCCTGAGCAACATTGGCATGCGTGGCAATGACTGAAACATAAGACGCAACCCCGTAAGAGCCAGCCTGACTGCAGAAAGGGACCTCCGGATGCATGACCTCGAAAGCTAGGGAATTGAGATATTACGCAAACAGTCTGCATGCTCAATTGGCTCTAATACTCCGTCTCCAGAATTTCATCTATGAGACCGAAGTCGCAAGCTTCGGCCGCCGAAAAGAACCGATCTCGCTCTGTAGCTGTTTGCACTGTTTTCAGGTCCTGCCCGGTGAACTCGGAGAACATCAGGTCTAGTTTCGAACGCGATTGTTGCAGCTCGTTAGCCTGTGAGCAGATGAAGAAGGACATTCAGAAGACTTCAAGGTAGACGAGCAAGCATACACACAAAGCATTCACACCTGACCTGCCAGAGCCCGCTCCCAAACGAATGGGCTGCACAAATAGATTCGCGTAGCTATAGTTGACAACTCCAGGACAGAGACAAAAAATGGCGGTCAGCAATGAACCGCGAACGAGTGGCCTCCAGTGCATATCCATCTTTTTTCCAAAACAACCGGCTTTCAATGGGCCCCTTACTGTCAAAGATTGCTCAGCACACACTTTATCTACATGACATCATTGTCGCTCACCTGCCGGCGCACGTCCTCCATAGTCCCCCCGCAGCCCCCCGAAGGCTGGTGGATCATTATCCGGGCGTTCGGCATTGCAAACCGCTTCCCTTTCGTCCCTGCCGACAAGAGCAGTGCCCCCTGGCTGGCAGCCAGGCCGAACGCCACCGTGCTGATGTCAGGCTTCACCCATGTCATCGCATCGTAGATGGCCAGAACAGAGTACGTGCTCCCCCCCGGGGTGTTGAGATAAAGCTTGATGTCTTTTTCTTCGTCCACGGTGGCCAGAGTGACGAGGCTGCTGATGACGCTCTGAGCAACCCGCCCGTCGATCGGGGACCCGATGTAGATGATCCTGCAAGCCAGAAGCGATGCTAGAGTGAGGACCTCGACACAAAATGCATTCAAATGGTAGCCCCTACAAAGGCAGAGGATACACATTCGGAGGACAAAGCTGAAGGGATGCACAATTTTCTGGTGCGCATGGCCATTGGGTCTGAGCTCTTGTGTTGCACTCATCCCGCAGATGCTTCCGCAGTTCATGAATCTTTTCAGTAAGACGTAAACCCGTTGAAGCTTACCTGTTGCGCAACATCAGTGTGTTCATGTCGATGGGACCACCTGGCGTCCAAATGGTGGGCGCAATCGGTGGGGGGCCCTTCCTTCGAGCGGCCCGCGGAGTGACCACTTCCTGAGCCTTCGGCAGGACTGGTCGGGAGGGAGTGTAGGGGATTCTGCAAAGAGAGAGGAATGGAAGCCGTCTGAAGCCCGACCAGCTTGGCTGCAAACCACTCTTTAAAAGAAGTGCGCCGCAGAGAGCGGACAGCGTCGTCCTCTTCTGGATGATCTTCATATGAACAAGACGGCTAGTCCATTGGCACCCCCACTGCTTAAAACCCTAAGCATCATGAACCAACAGCTCTCGCAATCCGCGATCGCCATCTTCAATCAATGCTTTAGTGCTGCCAGGCTGACCTTCACATGGGATGAACCACCGACCCGACCACATCCACCACTTTTCGATGGCACAAAACCAGACATAGTAATACTCTGGGCACATCTTTTAGTTATCACCACTCATCAAACGTAGCCTTTTCAATTTACCACCACAGAGACTTGTTTTCAGAACAGGCTGCAGAGCAATTTTGCATCCCACATGCCTGCAACCACAAGTGTACCACTTACTGCAAAAGAATGTCATCTGCCGGCTTTTCCAAGTGCAGCCCTTCGGCTCGAGCGGCGCCTTTCGAAGCTGGCGCTCTGTGTCTCCTGTGCGCAGTGCTGGGCAATGCTGAGCGCTGACTGATGCTCCCAAGTGATGAAAGGGCCGCTGAGCCATGTTTTAAGGGCACAACATTCTGGACAGGATGCAAGGTAGTTTGCCTGTTGTGTGCTGCTGTACAGAGGCCTACTTGCTGCAACTTCAACGCCACACACTGAGTTGCCGCCATAATTGTATGTGGTAAGAGATGGGTTTTCCAACAGCGCTCTACCGTTGTGACCTGTTCGCCCAAGTAATCCTACAATCAACAGCTCAAGGCCCTTTGAAAGCGAACTCCGGCAAGCTATGATACTGGCAACGCACTTTCACCAAGTTCTGAGATTCACAAGAAGAAGCCCTGCTGCTAGCCACAACCTACAGAAACCTGAGGGCTACAGGATGCGCGAGGCTGGTGGCGCTCGTGTCCCTTGCCAGCAACCACATACAATTAGGGAACTAGGGAACGTGAAAAATCATTAAACCCGGGTGACGGGTCATGCGATGCGCGTGCGAGAATTCCGGTAGAGGTCTCATCAACAACCTCGGTTTTACTCAGGGATGTACAAGGTACAGCCTGTACATGTAGCATGTAAGTACAAGTTGTGCCAATCATTGGCACCGCAGAAGTCGGTGAATTTCCGATCCATGTTTTGGCCCGTCGATCGGGCTACCTTGCGCCAGCGTCCTGGCATCTAATTTGCAGAGGTTGTGGGTACATTTAATATATTGCTCATATTCACGCGCCGACATCCAAGACTTGCGGTTTAGAATTCTTCTTGTACACCCACAAATCCACCTATGATCTATGTACCCAATTCGACCTAAATCAAGGATCAACAAAAACATCAAGAACAGACGAATCGATGGCCCGCAACTCGAGTTTGCTGCCATCAGCACCATCCAACGATCCAGATCCAAAAAAAACTATTAACTATTAATCTCAGATTTTACAGCCCGAAGGGTGTCTCCATAGGATTTTTCTAATGAAGTCCAGCATATGTTTGCATGTCCCCTGTTAGTAGTATTAGTATTATCCCTGTGTAGTGGGCTTTCAAAGGGAACCCACGTGGCTATCGCGGCGTCCTTGATTACCAAAAAGTCACCTTCGTTGTCGCCCTCATGTTTGGCAGGTGCAAATCGGGGCGACGTGAAACACGCAATTGCTGCTCACCGCCGACCGGTCGTCTCTGCGGATGCATCCGCTTACACGCCCATAAATTAAATACTTGTCAAACTGCAACTTGTCACAAATCAATCTCAACCGTCCAGAGTTTTTGTATGGAGCATCGGAAAGTTCTGAGATCCTGTACAGGACCCAGGGGTCGCAAGTATCTTTGCGACTAGGACCAAGGTTCAACTTCAACATCTCTAGCAAGTCCCCAGATGCCAGATGGGGCCATGGTGAGTATGGTGGGGCAGTCTCCTTCCATTCAAGCTGGCCGCAGCAAAACAGAGCTTCAGCTTTCACAAGTTTCATAGCATGGTCACATCTACGCGTTTTGGAGTCCCGACGGTGAAATTTGGAGCTTTCTCGGTACCAAGCTCTCGAATTTATCGATGTTCGGTACCGAGAAACACACCCGACCCTAAACGCTGGGACTCCGCAAAAGTTCGGTACCGAGGTTTCGGTAGCTAGAGCTTCCGAAAAGACCCGTCCGTAGACTGGTACTATGATTACTATCCCGGATATCACGGGAGCTTTCAATGTTCCCTCCTCGCTACCGAACTTCCAAAACTTGGTAGATGTGACCGGGAAGGCATTCTCGGTACCGTGAATTTGTTTGGCGCAATTCCCAAACTTTTTCCAAAGCTCAGATGTGACCATGCTATCAGTTCCTCCCTTCACAACTTTAGATTGTCAGAGACAGAAGGCTGAGACGGATTATCTGCGTCTCCTGACAACTGCAAGGTCTTGTCTGTTTAGGAGTACTGACCCTGTTGGACGTCAAGCCAGGATCGCTTGAGCTGTTGTGGAGCTGCGAACATGAAGCGACGAACTGTGCTGTCCGCCGTTCTGCTCACTGTGGTGCTACTTTATGTTTCCAAGGGCGAGGCGCTGTCCCTTTCCTGCACGCAGACGCTGCTAGCTGTCCGGCCTTGCCTGGACACTCCCTCAGGGCCCGCCTGTTGTAATCCTGCCAGAGCTGCAAATGACGACAAGTGCTTGTGCGACCCGGGCATCTTCGACCTGGCCAGGCAGTATGGCGTCAAATTGGACGCTTCCAACATCACTCAAATAGCTCTGAACTGCGGGTTCCCAATCACAACAGTGGCGCTTGCAGGCACTTCCAATTGCCCCTATGGTAAGTCATCACTGCACTTCTGCAAGCAACATGGTTGCAGCATTCACATTAGGATTTGGTACACGGTGCTGTTCAGAAAGGACTGGTCTTAAGATCCATTGGAGTGGAAAGCATCCTTCAAATTTGGGTAAGAGGTCACTGGAGCGCTCGCAAAGTGAGTTGGTGTTAAGCCCAATAGGGCAGTGCACCAGGTGACAGCCCCAAAGACCTTCCCCGAACACCAGTCTGCTCTTGGTTCTGAAGGTCTGTCTAAATTTTGTCGGTTAAGCCCAGGAAGGCTGAGGTTTGTGAACATCTGTGGAGAGGTGGGGCAAGCCAGGAAGGGGTCCTTGTCGAGGGGGCCGCCCCTTGTTTGTTACAGCTGAAGCATCCCAGATGCGGTATAAGACTGGGATAAGGCACCCTCCTGCTTTTAAATCACCCGGCGTTGACAGCCTAGTCCTCTGCCTCGGGATTGTGCAATCTTGGATGGAGATTCTGGCAGTTGTCGTCTTTTCTCTGTCTGTGTCTCCTGTTCCTCTTTCATGAGGTGCCAATCCCAGTTTCTTCTCATGTGCAGTCCCAGGAGCGACTGTGGCGCCAGCCCTTGCAAAGGCACTCAACTCCACGGCTACCTTACAGGGCAACTACACGGTCGACAATACCACCTTTTTTGTGGTCACCGTCGGCAACACCAGCTTTGCCACCAACTGCACCGCTGCCAACGTCACGGCTTCCTTGAACAACCCTTTGAATGCAACGCTTTTGACAAGCTTGAATTGCACTGCTCTGAATGCCACAAATAGTACGAACCTTACGCAAGCCTTTCCGCTGTTGACCACACTTCCCGCTTCCGCCCAAGTGCCACCACCATCATCAGGCAGGCCAACCTGTTGTAAAATTCCACTGGTCAGCTATTTTTGTGGCTGGTTTGGGAGTGGTTGTTCGTAGGCAGTCCTTGATGTTGATAAAAGAGGTTGTTTACAACTTGGCTCCTTGAATATGCTAAGCACGCTAGCGTTGTAATAGGTGCCGCCAGGGTGTCAATGGCATCCAGTGGTTTTGTATGACTCTGTTCATCATTTGTCATAGGAGAGGGTCGGACAAGGTGTTAGTTCAATTCAAAGGTGCAGGTCTCTCAGTGGTTTGTAATGCTAATGGATTGTAGACTTGTTGGTGCCAACATTTTGACCATACATAAAACAGGTTGTTCCTTCTATTGACTGGACTTCACTTGGATCAACTGATTTTAGATGTCGAGGCAGTAAGACCTTGCATTAGACGAACTATAAGCTTATTGGGGTATTTAGCCCGGTTGCAGCTCGATATAAGATTTCAAAACAGCGCCACTTTTGATCCATATGACCGCTTACTAAGAGATCCTCGGCATATTACCAGATTGTTGGCAAATCAAGGACACATATTGAGGAAATGTTTCACCTGAGATGCTACCTAGTGTACCATCAACTTACGTGCTACAATGGCTGGGTTTGATTTCATTTGGTCGGATGGGAATTCTAATTCCATTATATCGCCGACCATGGCTGTGGAGCATCCAAGGCCATTGCTCGGCCTAGTTGCTTTAATTAGAGCTGCAGCTCGCGAATGAAAAGACATGCTTTGCACGAGGAAGACATGTTATATGAGAATTGGTGTGCAGAAGTATACAGCTCTCTGCGTCAAACCTGTCATGCATCACTTTACAAGATTCAAATTCGTAGAATCCTACGTACGGACGGGCTGGCAACACCGCAGAAGCTATGCTGGTACAGACTCGCCGCTCGACCGTCCATAAAAGCGAGCGGAATTCTGACAACTGACTTCGGCCGTCGATGCTGTGTCCATGCGTAACTTTTAGTATAGGAGCGGTTTCAGGATTTCAGGTCGCTTTTGAGTCTTTTGCATATGCATCAGCGGAACGAAGACGCAACGGCACAGCGAGATATGTATGTACTTACCTACATAAGTTGAATTTGGGCACTTTGATCACTTTTTACTCTACTACGGGTGATTGCAGTGGTACGGTTTGCCACTCTGGAAACTCTAGTGTGCACACACTAGCGTTACCATTATTGGTTTGCCATGGCATTTGCAACGAGTAGAGTCTCCCGCGGGCCACCTTGCCTTTCAATCCACAGCTAGCTGCCCAATGTGGTTCGTGTGACAAACCGTGGTTGTGTCTCTACAAAACCCTTCATTGGGACTTGCCGCAGAAGCGACACTGATCTGGAAACCTCGCACTCTGCTTTCACAGCCAGAGCAGGATCGAGAAAACTCTAATCAGAACGCAGAGATACTAAGGTGCAAAGGTGATTGTCTGATGATCAGGAGAACCGTGCAGGCTGAGAGCTTCTTTACGCTTGACTGCAGGTTTCGTAGAACCTTGGACTTTCTGATCTTATGATTGGTACGTACCAAAAGCACGGTGAACTCAGAAGTCCTCAACGTAAGGAACAGCAGGTATCAGAGCCCGAAGAAAGGTGAAGATAGAACAAAGGTGCACACCCAATCTGCACAAACCAGTTCCAGTACTGGCCACGTCCACAAAATTCATTTGCAGGTAGGTTATGTGCGCTCTGTCTTTGTTCTGTTGCGGATACCAGCACGACAAAGAGAGGAAGAGCAGTTTCATGATCCCAATAATACGTAAGGAGAGGTTAATGGACGTACTCAGCTGTTGAATCCTGCGCTCGGTTGGATACATTCTTGAAGTAACTCATCCAGCTAGTTGCTCAAAAGCGATGCTTCCCGATTGAAAAAAATCCGCTTTCATTTTGACTGCAGCTGCTGAGACGAAGCATGCCTTCTCAAGGGGATCTTCAGACGACCTGGAACCTGATCGAGGCCACCAATGATGCACGCCAGGACGTCAAGGCATTCCGCACGCATTGCGATCAGATCTCAAAGAAGGTCGACGAATTGAACCGCACCATATTGCCCTTCAGAAATGCAACGCCAGAATTTGCAGCTGAAGAGGCTGCAAGGTAAGTACTTCGCTGTTCCTGACAATTTCCTGGAGGGAGTTTCCTGGAAGGGGACTCAGATAGCTGACAGTGCTTTCTTTTTTGGTCCGCAATCAATCTGGCTGATAGGACGGCATTCCGCAGAAGCTCCATCTTGGCTGGCTGGTAACCTGGCCTTGCTCTTGGCAGAATGATGAAGCGACTTGAGCGGCTTTGTCGAAGTCGTTTGAATTCTTCTTACATCTGCATGTCCCTGTTTGCTCGTTACAGATCGCTTTTGCATGTGAGCTCGATTTACTTGCTTCTTTAGAAACTCGACATTGGGGTGGGTTTGATAAGCAATCAAATCACTGAGCCTCAATTCCCTTGTTGAAATGCAGGGACGCCATCGAGCCTTTGAATGCAGCCCTTGAAGAATGTCTCGGCCTTCTACGGAAGTGTGCAACCATTGGCGTCATGGAAAAGATGTTCGACAAGGGCGAGACCAAGGGTGCCCTTGAGGGAGCTTCTCACCGACTGAACATAGCCTTCCAGCAATTCTCCTCGTGGCTGACCATTGCCAGGTCCGCGTCAGGTTCGAAGGCTGGTACCAGTGTGACAAAAGAACGGGTTGAAAAGGTTACCGAATCTCCAGCTCATGCGGAGACTGCGGGTCCAATGCGGTCTGCTGCGCCGGTTGCAAGCGCCAGCCAGCCTGGTGAAAAGCGTCCGTCGTCAAGTCAGATTTATCCTGATCTACTGTGATAAGGAAACATGGAAAAGGGTAGTGGTGCTATACATCCTTCAACGAGCTCGGTCTTCATGCAGTCAGTGTTACAGAGATTTGGAGGAGCTTTCAAGTATCCAAAAAGCGCACTCGGCAAGACACAACTTCCGTAACTAGCAAGCTTTGCGAATATTCGATAAGCACCAATGCTCAGACCATGATATGAGAGTTCCAAAGTCTGCGCCAGCCGTACTGCTGCATCAGTTCGAACAGCCGGGCCCTCTCCATAGCAAGCCTGTTGCCAGCATGGATCAATGCGCTTTACTGGGTGTAAGTAGTCTTAGAATCAATCATCAGAGGCATCAGTACGCCTCTTGCAGCCTTCGACAGATCAGGTGCTTGAAGTCGTCACTGGGCTTATGCATATCCTGACAGGCTTCGATTTGCAAGCAATTACTATCTCGTTGCACACTAGCTTGCGTACTTTACACCAGGCCGACTTAATCATAAAGGACATGGGTGTGTCGACCATGTGCGTCCGACTTGCACGTCCGAAGTTTTGCTGCTGGACGGCGCGTGCATATTCATCGGTCTGCCGCCCGTATACAACATGCACACATGGTCTTCGGAATTGATTGTGATGCATGGGCGCTGTCGCGCGTTGACCAATTCATCTCAACGTCTGATGCACCCTTCCTGGAATTTCAGAAGGCTTTGAATTGCGTGGCAACAATTCAACACTTGCTAGAGTAGTATTGCAGAATGATGATTGCGCACATGTGCATGCCGGGCCGGTCACATTTTGCCGAGCTGCATTTACACCGGACTTAGCCAGTGACGCTTTTACCGACCCATCCAAGGGATGAGTCAGATATTGATCTGCCTGCTGGCATACATTTGTATAATGTGCATGCTTTCAAGTTTGCCCCGAAGCGTGCAACAATGTCACCGTTCGTCCGCATGATATGGTACGCATTCATTGTGTGTGGTTGGTGCATGTACTCGGCTACTCAAGCTTCGTGCTGCCGCTGTAAAATAATTTGATACGTAGGTACAGAGATGCCATTCACCCGGATCTGAGTGTGCGTTATCATCTGTTTTCCACAAGATCCACCTACTCCGCGGCTCCTTTGCAACAAATCCCCAAATGCATACAGCACCATGGTCGACCATGCAGCTTTGCACACGGGGTTAGTTGGCTTGTTGCATGTCAGTGAATGGGTGAATGTTAAGTTTTCTCGATGTGTCTATGTACGCCTTGACCGGTTTCACCAATTTCTAGTGGCGATCTCTACAAAGCTAATGTGCGCATGATGAGAATACTAAGCTGACCGTTTAAACACAACCTGACGTGCGTGCTCGCTCTGACCGCTATGCCGTTCGATTTGTTATGTACATACTTTACAGAAGCTCCGCACCAAGGTGGGCGGCGAAGTATTCATCTACGGTCAGGGGCCGAGCACCGCCAAACGTGTCCAGCAGGTAGATGTCCTCGATAAGCAGCTTGTAGAAGTGGAAATTGTGGTCCTTTGGAAACACTGCACAAGGATGACGGGCAGGAATTCAGGAGAGAATGGAGTCAAAGCGAGCGTGGCTGGTCTTCCAGGCACAAAGAAGCAAACCGGCTTCTGCCAAATCCAATACCCGCTCTCGCCTCCGCCTCAAAGGCAACTCAAGAAGCAAAAAGTGTGCACGTTCCAAGGAATAATCTCCGACGCTTGAAAATTAAAGGTAACAGTCAGAGACGCCAACAAAATCCAAGTGGCAATGGGATCGCAGGGCTGGTCATACACAGGGTGGACTTGAGTGCCTGAAACGAGTTGCGTGTCTTGATGTAATCAATCATAACAGTAGATTGGGCAGATTCGACCCGATCCGCCAGATGTCACGGCAGAATGCGGATCCAACTGTCAGGACGTGCTAGCCAGTGCTGCTGATCGGCAGTAAAGACTCAGCTTCAGGAGACTACTAGGTTTGCAGCAATCTTCCATCTGTTCGAGGATGAACATAGTACTGTCGTTGAAGGAAAGCTTTGCGAGAACCAAGCGCGAGCGACTCACAGGCCATCTCTGGGTGCCGCCAGAAGACGACCGACTTGGCATGCGGAACCTCCGCCGGGTCCACGCGGACGATCTGCAGGCATGAACACGAGTCAGCGCCCTATAAACGACTTTCGCCAAGGTACAAAGATGCAAACGAGATTCAAAGGTGCCTTCTTATTGCCGAAGGGTGGCCACTTGAGAGGCAAGCGGGCACCCGCATCAGTTTGGCCGCAGAACGTTCACGTGGAATTAGGTTGACATAAGGGCAGGTCGACGTTAGGATGGTGCTGTCAAGATGGACTGCAGGTACAGATATACGGCTACGGTTACGTGCATGTAGCACTGGCTCCGTTTCTGGATGCAGGTAAAACGTGCCGCACACCACAAGATTCTGAAACCCTGTTACGATTGGACATAGACGTACTGAAAGTGTCCTAGCCCCATGCACGTGATTCCCTGAACTTGATCAAGCTATTCCGATGATCAGCCAGTCGGTTTTGGATGTCGTAAGCACCAAGTTACTGGTATGCAGAAGGGGGGACACGGATGAAACAAGTACAATCTGCTGGGGCCCAAAAGCGCTCCCACATGGTGAGCAAGGAATGAATACGTCACCAGACTGGGTGCACCTCATCCATCTTGTCTCCTCCTAGCCTTTTTTCAAAACGGCCCACCATCAGATGCAGACAAGTGACAAAGGCAATTGTCAGGTTGAATGCTCACTTTGCCGGAAAAGGATGCCTTGACACAGGTGGGATTCTCGGGTTCTGTACACCTGTTGAATTGGGCCTCTGTCAAGTGGAGAGACGCGCGGTTGTCCTGAGCCAGGTCCTGGGGGACGTTGTCGAACTCGGCCAGGTAGAAGTAGGGTAACCCGGTGTGGTTACTGCTTAACCCGTCCGAAAGTGAGGCCAGCATCCTGCAAGGGGAGGGGCGGTTTTCAAACCTTGCCTTAACTCAATCGCAACTGAAACTTCCTCAAGTGGTTAAAATAGAGACGCCAACGTGATTGGATGAAGGGCGCAAACTTGGCGCATCAAGCAAGCGCAAGTGGTGAACATTTGGGGGAAGACTGGTGAAGCTTCAATTTAAGCAGGACTTACAAGAGACGCGCCACAGCAATTCTGGTTTCCCGTAAATCCTCTGCCAATGGACTGACTTGGGAAAAGGCTACATCCAGCACGCGACAAGGTGCCAATTGAGAACAGGAGTCGTTTTGGCGCTCTTCCAAGTGGGGATGTTCAACAACAAGCAGCAGTTCTTCAAAAATCGCAGCGCCAACTAACATGACGCTGCACTCATTGCAGAGCCATTCATGATTAACAGTCGTGATTCGAGAAAAATAGCACTACGGCGGTTCATTTATTCAAGTTTCGGTGTGAGCATTGACTTCTGGCATCTTCCAATCGCTGCTTTCGGAGCGGGGCACACGTGACGGAACCAGTAATCGACCTCGAACACTCACCCAAAAGGCGCACCTTCCAGGCGCTTTGAGATTGTGCTGCACAAGAGGGAGAACTTGATTAACGTGCAGGTTTTGAAAAAATATACCAAAAGCGGCCACGTTAGAGTAAGTTAAGTGCAACGTCAAGACAATCAGAACCATGTGTCTACTTCGTTCCTCAAAAGCCTCCAGATGCTGGCCCCATGTGCGGCAACGCATTACGGGAGCGATTCAGCTGTAAAAGGAGTTCCTTGAAGGAACGGAAGCACTGGCGCCGCCTATGCAGTACTCAAGTTGGTAAGACGTTGGACGAGAGGACTACTGAGCATCTCAACCAATTCTTCGGATATTCCAACTGATTCCTACGACAATCTTAGGAGGACATAGCCTTATGGTATGATTTCGAGCCTACCACCACTATTAAACGTTTTGAAGACAAGGCAAAGTCCCACACCTCACGACCCCCCAAGAGTTCTTGGCCATGAGCCAGCGCGCCATCTGCGCATACTGCGAGCGCGCCGGCCGGCGCGGCCCCGCCTGCAGCTGCCACAGCTTGTTCTGCGGGAACACCGCCAGCAGGCTCGCAATCACCAGCAGCGTGCCTAGAAAGATGGCCGCCAGGCACAGGACGTCCGAGCGGCGGTTGCCCTTCTCGGATGGGGTCTCGTACGCCTCCTTCACGGTCCATTCCCGTGGCAGCGCCGGCTTCTCGTACTCCAGGATGGGGGGGTACTTTGGAAAGGCCATGCGCGAGGAATGCTGCCGGTAGGGGGAGTGGCGGGATTGCATCTGCCGCATTGATTGAGGGGATAGTCTACATACTAGGGAGCAATGAGGTTAGCGCGCCAGGTAGCGCAGTTGCTTGCGAGAGACCGCCAATATGTAGGAATAAGGAACTTTGTCGTTCCAGTGCGCTGCAATTGCCTTTTCCACGTTGCGAGAGGTCACAATGGCGCCACTTTTCTCTGGTTAAAGTCCTCTCCTCAAAGTCAAAGACAGCGCTTTTCCGACTGTCAATGTCAACAAACGTTGCCCGTCATTCTCTCTTTCTCAACCATGCATGTGGTTTAACTTTGATAAACCGGTGCCGGCCCCCGGGTCTTCACGTTCAGATCGCCGCTAGTAAATATTTGGCCAGATTGCTCCTTTCAAGGGCACATGAAGCTGACGTGAACTGCTGAACCGGCAACGGGAACGGTTCAAAAGCGAAGGGTTCTCCTGACCCTGAACTCGGGGCCAACCATCTGAAGAATGGCATAAAATGGACGGCCCGGATATCCGTCGGGGAGGATCGACGGCGATCGGAGTATTGGGCTGATTTAGCGTCACTTTTAACGGCAATCTAGAAGCAGTCACCGTAGAGGATTTTCCATTACCGACCCCCTCGACGGGGGACCAAACCTGACCGTACTTTCTAGACGCCTGGCAGCCCCCGTCTGGGGCCGGTGCGCCCAATAAGGCTGACTCATTACGCAATTTCGGATATATTACATAGGTTGGGGGGGACCGACTGCCGATACGGGCGCTCTCTGAGCGGATACGTGGTGCCCTTTGACCTCGGAGCGAATTCACGCTGCGCTCTGAGTGAATACGTGGTGCACTCTCAGCGAATACGTGGTGCAATCCCGCGCAATACGTCCAGTCCGCGACTGCAGAGATTAAATCTGAAAGTTCCCTATTTACCTGATTCAGGCTTCGGGGATGACTTGCGTGTATTAAAGGTCAATGCGACTTCCAAAAATTTCATTCCGACTCGGTCATAAGCTAAAATTAAGTCCGACCGACCCCGCGGCGCTTGCGCAGCCTGGGCCCGGCCATTCAAGGCGACCGTAGTACAAGGACCGGCTAAACTCCGAGACCGGATAAGGACCGCCAACCTCGACAAGCCCGGCCCTTCCAGCTGAGCGACTGGCATGACAGGGCCCGGGGTAAAGTCATGCAGCCAAGGCTAGGTCACCGGGTGAAGGGTGCTGTCCAACTTCCTGGAATCATGTCTCCACGGGGAGGCTGCTCATAGTCGACTCCACTGCCTTCAAGTGTGCAATATGCAAGCAGTCTCTCTTGAGCTCTAAGAACGGAGTCTGCCAGATCTCTTTTAGAAAATCGCAGCAAGCAAACCTCAGCGGCTTCGCTGTTTCCACTAAGGTAAAAGGCAGTGGCAAGAATCAGCCAATGTGCCTTGCTTACGTAGAGCACTGGGTGGGAAGGGTCTCGGTCACAAAGACCACCGTTGACGGTTCGGCCAGCTGGATGGGTGGGTCCACCAGAGGTTTGGTTCGACCGCACTCAGCCCACCGACTCATGGCGCCAGCGGAAGGTGTTGCTCGGAGAAGAGGTGATTCGGCTACAGATGATGGATGTCAAGAGCAGAGAGGCAGCTGGCGGGAAGCGCAGCAAGTCCGCAGCCGAAGCTGCTCTGAATAGGGGGCGTCAGGTAGGAGAGATCCCGCGGAAGCTTCCACAGACGGTGAGTTGTATCTGCAAAGGCCGTTCTAGGTGCTTAAACTGCTAGGTTTTGAGTGACCTTTATGAAGATCGCAGCTGTAAGTTGTTGGTGCCATGGGAGGATCTATGTCGGGGCAAATGCAGAATGCGCGTGCTAAAAGACGCCGATGGGACATCTCATCAGCAATTGAGCTGGTCGTCAACCGAGTCGCCACAGCTGTTCCACGTGGTTACTTCGTGCGTTGTCAGCGCACCATCATAGCCTACAACGTTTGAGCCCAGCAACCTCTGAGGCTGCGCAGACGCAGCTTCTTGCATTGCGGGGTCAGTTGAATTTGGCAGGAGGGAATCAAAACAAATTGACAGATTGCAGATCGACTATGAGTAATGCTCAGCCTTGTTCATATTTGAAGAGCACACAGTAGATTGTGAAAAACGTCGTGCAAACAACATCATTCGGACCGAAGATTTGGGCACCACTTTGGCAGTTTACTAATCATGATATCTTAGACTCCTCGTAGGCTTGCTACAAGACAGAAAAACTTCGAGATGCGGACGGACAGCTTACGCTCGCCGCTCAAGCCGCGCGGTTTCTAACCAACCTCGCCACTGGCGACTGCTCCATCTACGGCATCGGCGAGGAGGGTTCTAGCAGCTCCGTGTTTTTGATGACTGCGTGGAACCACAATGCTGCCAGGCCAAAGCCTCTGGGGCGGCCCACCAAGAGCAATGCCTTGCTCGAGACGGTCTACTGGGACACGATGGGAAATCCGAGTTGCACCTGCGATCGTGGCCGTTTGAGCTTTGGTGCACCTTGCGTTCACAAATTGGCCTTGCAAGCGCTCCAGGAACGTCGGCAATCGAGCCATGTCTCATTGCAGAAGGGGCAGAGGGTGGTGGAGGCGCCGTGCAGTGGCGTGGGGCAAAGAGTGTTCGGAGTGTGCTGGAATGTCGCTTTCCCCTCGCCTGAAAGGACGATGGTGCACTTCAGCGCGGGGGCAGAGTTTCAGTGGTACTGCAAGGGGAGGCGTGGGGGCTGCAGCAAGACGGACGACTGCAGTCATCTTCAGGAGGTCAAAAGAGCGCTACAGGAGAGAGAGGGGGTGAGCAGACTGGAGGGTTGCCTCTTTTCGGAATCGCAGCTGGAGCGGGCAAAATTGTGGCTGCACCGGAGGGACGGTGAGGTGGCGGCTGGCAAGGAGCACGTCGCTTCCACGCCCTCGCAAGCTGGTAAAGAAAGTTGCAGTGCGGTCAGCGACGTGGACGGGGAAAAGCTTGAGGTCCTCACGGATGAGGAGCGTTATCTGCTCAGCCTTGTTGCCGGGGAGCCGCACGATGCAGTCTGCAAGGGCGACGCCTGCTTCTGCCAGATCCCTCGCTATTTGGTGGAGTGAGTCTTGACGGACAGCCCTGCAAATATCGGTGTTGTAATCCTGCAAACAGGAGCCCGGCTGGGAAGCGTTCGCGAGCAGAAACGGAAGATGGGGGTCTCGTCACAGGGTCTTCACAACGGGGAGTGAAACGAAGGTCAAAAGCCTTTTGGGCAGCTCAGGCAGTGGAAGCAGCGGGCGATGGGCACGAAGATGTGGCGGACCTTGGGGGGGGTGGGCCGTCAGCATGCACCGCGAGGGAGCAAGGGAAAGGCGTCGTTCGTGTATGCGACAGTTGCACTTGCCCTTCGTCGGCATGCCTTCACGTTGAGTTGGCACGTGTTGCTGTTGTCATGCCCATGGGCGCAGAGGGCATCCAGGTGGAGACTCCGAAGCTAGTGCGCCCGACAGACGGCTTGGCCGTTCATGACCCCCCCGTCACTCTGCTGAAGCAGCCGGTGAGTGAGCCAGCTGGTGGCGCGAGATTTCGAGGAGCTAAGCAGGATGGAGGGCTTGTGTGCTCCTTGCCCAAAAGAGCCGCCACCCTGTGGGACAGGCTGGTCAAGCCTGATGCAGACGTCTCACATATACTCCCTGGACTGGTCGCAGGAGGTGAGTGGCGTGCTCTAACGCTATATCGCATTCACGAGTTTGTCCTCGTTCTGTAGACCTTATGCATGAAAGTTCAAGGTTACGAAAGTAAGACGGACCTATGGAGAATCGAGAAAGCTGAGCCTGCGGCCCCCGAATTGACATTCTCTTCAATGTTTGAACTCGTACAGTACCTCAAAGTCTACTAGAAGATTGCAGATTCCATGTGCGGAACTCAACTGATGAAAAAGCTAGACTTTTTTGGCTTGTGCGACTTGACTTGATTATGTAATTTCCGTGCATAGTTCGAAGTTACAAACATTGGAAGTTTCAACATTCACACAACTAGTCGTAAGTACCAGGTTCACCAAAAGGACGAAGGTCTCTCTGTATACTTCTCTTTGATAGTACTTGGTCCATGGATCTTTGCCTGCAGGTGAAAGTCCGCATCTATTGCTGCAATTGTCCGGAGAAGCACACGGTTCACTTCAACGGGGAAGCCTTGGGCTTGTACGCCTGGACCAGGAGCGTCATCGTGACACAAGCATCTTGTCAACTGCTTCTGCGATGCGTGCAAGGCACCGGCTCTACCTGCAGCGCTCTTTTAGACGCCAAGAACGCCGTCCGCCAGTTCTACTTGCTGGGTGCCAAACCTCTGTCGAGCGAGACCTGGCGGAGGGCAAGTCTGGGCTTCTTCAAGCTCTGCGGCCGCTCCATCTTGGAGTGCTGCAGCATCTGCGGGTCTCATCCCGCGGTCTTCCTCTGCGACGGGATTGCAGGCCTCGCCTGTGCGGATGGTGGGCGCCAGAAAGGGGGGCTGGCTGGCACGAGCGCGGCGCAGCTGCGGCCGTTCACGGCCCCAAGCCAAGATTCCGCTGGGGTGAACGTCGAGAAGGTGATGCAGCCGGGGGTGAATTTCTGTGCAACGGCTTTGGACGGCGGGGGGCCGAAACGGCGTCTCCTGCAACAGCCGGAGTTGCGCACGTTGCTGGCTCGATTCAGTCGGCATCACCCGAAGGACCCTGATCTTGGAGCCCATTTGAGCAGTAGAGAGTTTGACGAGCTGATGGTGAGTTAAGCAAGGTTCTTTTCTCGTTCTTGTACAGTCCCGTCTGTCTGCAAAGCATGTGCTAAACAAAAGAAGAAAGGTCCTAGGCAACGAGCTGATCTACAGGCAGGGATTACAAACTCTCGTATACACACTTTCAGAAGCCGGACGGTGGAAAAAGGCTAAATTCGACTTGGCAGCCTGCCCTGTTTCAAAAACTGGTTGAGAAGCGCGAGATGATTTGCACAAACCTCCAAATGTTAGTCTAGGTTCCGCACTCGATCGACATGGTAGAGCACTTGCAAAAGCTGGACAAGGTAGGCCTATTTATGAATAATGGTCCACAGCTCGGACGATGCTCGGACTCGAAACTGCTCTAGCAAACAACTCAACGTCGGTTGCAAATCTTTTAACCCGCAGATTGCCTACGTTCTGTTTGTTTTTTTGACATGTGCAAAAGCTACGTGTATGAAAAGCATCAAACGTAGAAGCTTTTTCAGTCTTGAGCAGTTTCAAGACTCCGCTTTTCCGTTCCTGTCTTCCCTCCACCACAGGTCGCACTTGATCGAGATGACGTACAAGTCGTCACCGAGTTCTTTCCAGACCCTGACAAACCGGCTGCTGACCCGGTCCTTCTTCACTGGCGCCGCCGCCTTCTTCTGGACCAGACCGGCTTGATCCGGTCGAAAAACCGGGCGCTGCTGGTGCTCATGGAAGGGATCAAGGCAGAGGCTCTGCAAAGCGATCCCGGGCAGAGCCCGCCCCGCTGCCCTGGAAAGTGGTCGGAGCTTCTGTACAGCCTCGGCACTCCCAAGTCCGTCTCGGACGATAGCAATATCATCCAGCATGGCCGCAGTTTAGCGGTGGTCAGGAAGCTTCTCCTGGGAAGAGTGGCAAACCTAGACGACCGGGCGACTTTGGCTGAGCATTCCCCCGTCTTGCGCCGATTGCTAGACCACTACGGCTTTACGTTCCCCTCCTTCTTTCTTCCAACACTGCACCATCTATACCGGCTCGCTCTGTTCGGCCGCGGAGCGGTTGGTCTAGGGGTGGGACGCGCTGGGGTCACGCTCTCTGCCATTGAGGGGCTGGACTACTGTGTTTGGTCAGCGCGGGACCTAGTGGAGCAGCCGCACACATGGACCGCACACCGCCAGCAGGCTCTCGCATTTTGGGAGGCGCGAGCTAATGCTTTGCTACCCGCGGTAGAGCAGCTTTCGCAGCCACAAGCTGCGGTTTATCCCCTCTCGATACCGGAGACAGTGCTTTGGAACGGGCGGCTCGGCTTGGAAGCAGATGGTAACATCCTCCCCAATCTCCATCCCGACCATCCGTTCTGCAAGGAATAGCGCGTGCTCGGCTGCTATCCTCTGCCTGGCTGGGAACAGAAGCGTCCGCTCCCTCAATATAAGCCCTTCGAAGACCAGCTAGGCAATCCATCGAGCGCGTTTAAGAGCATCGATGTAAGGGAGGACTCACAGTGGGGGAGTTTGACGCTGAGGTTGCCGCCCAGAGCAAGTCAAAGTCCGCTCAGCGTCTGCAAAAGCATACCAAGGGGGGCTTCATCTTCTGTTGTCCCCACCGAGTAATTTATGGCTTCCATGCCATGCTTCGTGGGGAATCGCCTCGCAATCCGTTTACCGTGCTTTACACCCGCCTGCATCGACACCAACTGCCTCGATTCGTCTTCTATGACAACGCTTGCAAGCTGCGGGCCTACTGCATGCGGCGCGAGCCAGTTTTCTTTGCCGACGTCCGATTCTTGGTAGACAGGTGAGGATAGTACTTGCTTACAGAGTCAACGACTTGCTATGTTATGTACGTGTGTTCACGATTTCTTGTGGACTCCTTCCCTGTTGCTTGTGATCAAATATCTTCCTAACGAGAACCAAAAATCCTGTGAAGATTGATGGGGAAAAAAAGCAAATCTGAACATTGTGGATTTTGTCGACTTCTGCCGATTGAATCGTTTAGAAAGATGATGTCTGCAGGCTTAATCTGCTGAGACCATATTAAAGAGTTCACTCAATCGAAGTGTTCATATTCCTGTACAGGTTCCATTTTCAACGAACAAGAGCTGAGGGGCACAAGTGCGGTCCTGCATTTAATCCGGATTACTACGATGTTGTGCGTTGGGTCAACACTTCGGCTGTTGAGAGTTGCAACTCCTTTCTTGTCAAGTTCAAGACGCTTGGCTGGTACTCTGGGCTCGATGCCTTTATGATCATACTGGCTAGTCTAATCAGTGGCCGAAACTCGGAGCTCGTGCGGGTAGATGATGCGAAAATCCGAGTAGCAGGCAATGCTCACTGGTGGACACCCTTTGTCCAATATTCTCTGCTACACGTTTGAGAACCAACGTGTAATTACCGGTTACAAAAAATGCATTAAGCTCATGTCAGAGTGTACTTGTAACTATAATTAGTATCCATCTACTTTGTACTATCTTGTTACTGCATCTATAACCATGATCAAATAGCAAGTGCTCAGAGTCCGAAAGAAGTGTTTCCGACCTGTGTGCAATTTATGCTAGCAACAAAGAACGGAAGGAGAACGACTCTAGCTGTAAGTTGCTGGTCAATCGTTGTTATCGTTATCCAACATCGTGTATAGCAGCATGCACCGAGTCTTTTTACAACTTGAATAACACTTATTGTATCTCGCTAACGAATTACATTGAGTGATCGTTGAAGCACTATGTATGCCGCAGACCAAAAGTCCAAAAGACCCAAAATCGAGATCTTTTTAATTTCACAGAGAATTGCTCATAACCGATTAATCTAACGTTCTGAAATGAAAAAGATCTGGATTTTGGGTCTTTTGGACTTCTGGTCTGTGATGATATTCACAATGATGAGAGATGTGCATAACAGTAGAACAAGCAAGGATAGCAACATAAGAGCCATCTAATATTCGTCAAACACCGTCGTCTGTACCATGCCCTCCTTCCTTCATCCAAGTGCCTTACCCTGTATGCATTCAGGTTTCAGCCGCACTCCACTGAGACCTTTGAATTGACCTCTATCTTGCACATATCTGTCTGTGAAGCGACCATCTTCGACTCGATAATTTGCACCATCAGCATAGAGTAGAATACGTTTCTTTAGGGCTTGAGCAGAAAGGGAGCTAGAAATCTCCTCCTCCTTCATCCAAGCTCGAAACGCATCCCCTAGCCTTTCGCCTAGTGCCAAGTGCCACTTTGCACGTGCTCCTTCTTGCAACTCTTCGAACTCGCAGCATTCTTCAATGAATCGTTTGCCAATATCGTTGTCGTTGACATACGCCTTTAGGGCGTCTTCCATAGCCTTCGGGCGTTTCTCTAGAACCAGGACGCTAGGATTTGCTCGTTTCAACTCGAAGTAGCGCTTTGCCCCCGCTGCGATCCAGGAAAGTCCATCCTCTCGACCTTCATCGGACTTCAAGTAAGCTTTTAACGTAGGATCTTTTGGCTTCTCTCTGGATTTCCGCGGATTCATTTTTTCGGCCGACTTGAAAGTCACTATCATTGGAAGGAGGGCCATACGACGTACGAGACTAAACGAGGCGTTCTCCATAACGGTCTTGTAATTGGTATTCAGAATGGCCTTATGGGTCACCAAAAAGGTCTCCTGCTTGCCTTGAAGTTCTCTTGCTGTGATGGAGCCGCCTCCAGACAACTCTTTGATTGTTGCTTCGTTGAGGACGGACTTTTCGCTTGACTCGTCCGATTCTGCCAGCCTCGCCCCTTTTGATGCGATGAGGTGGGACGAGGCTGAACCAGCAGATTGCTTGCCACCTGCTTCGATGATGACATCCTTGTCCATGACGACAGCATAAGATCCAAAGATCTCAAAGGATGCTATCTTTGTGAGTGTTTTTCCGTTGCTCCCCTCTCCTTGTTTTACTAGAAAGATTTGTTCGCTCGTGTCGGCTGTCATGCAGTATCCAAGATAGAGCTGGTACCAATCAAGCACCTCTCTATCGTTATTGAAGCAAACTAGCAAAAAAGAAGCAAATCGGGATTCGCTTTTTGGCATTCCGCGGAAAGCTACCTTCGAAGCTCGCGAGCACAAGTGTGCAGGATGGGGCGCAAGCAGCTGTCCAGTCGTCGTCTCCAGCGCTCCATTGGCACATGCAAATAGGTACGGATTGGCAAAATCCATAAGAGCATCCAGGTTTCCCTGAATTTGCAGAGAGTCAAGAACATGTTCAAGACAGACACGCACTTCAGAGCCCCGTGTCAAATCTATAAGCTGACATGTAGAGTCACCCTTCGAAGGGAATGGTAAGGTGGCCGAGACTATCTCCCACGCTTCGCGGCATGCTTTCTTTTCTTCCTCGCTCCGTGGCTTGGTTGCCCATCCTGGAAGGGCGTATCCCGAAGCTTCTGGTATGCATCCCCATTCTTTCGATTCCTTCGCAAGCTTCCAGATTTCGTGCTTGAATGCCGTCACTCGAAGATTCTCGTACCATTTTAAGATCCGCGAGATGTGGCTTGAGAAGACTGACTGCACATGGAAAGAACCGTCTGATAGCCATCGTCGGCCGTTCCAATATCTGAAATTCTTTCCTTCGGCAAGAATCCGTCCATCAACGGCATAGATGGCACTAAAAATAGCAGCCATCCCTCGATAGCGTTGCATTATATTGCGCTTGATAACATCCACATAACATTGATATTCAATCTCGGATAACATCTTGCAATTATATGAAAACACTGAATGGTTAAACGTTGGATGCAACTTTGTAGGATTCGCATCCAGCAATGAGTCTGTGAGGCTGAGACTTCCAAGTTCTACAAGTTGTTTCTCTGAACACTCGGATCCAAAGCATCGATAAAGTACCACCCATCCTCTTTTGATCAATGTGAAGTTGTTGGATCCATTGTGGCGATGGCCGTGAATGCACATTCGAGGGCCTTTGCAGACGAAGGAATATAGTGAACCAATTGGGCCACGAGGGGAAACCTTACCGGAGAAGCGTACATTTTCGTCCAAGCCACTATTTTTCAGCAACTTCATCATTGCATCCGCAATCCTATCCTCATATGCCTTTGCGTCTCGCGCGTTTAGTGAATCTTCGTTCAAGTCTCCTTCGTCTGCAAAGGAAGAATGCAGAAGCGACTCGTCATGTTTATTGAGTTTTGAGCTCTGCTCTGTTTGAAATGCATCTTGAGTGTTTATAATTTTTCCGTTACGACCAACTCGTCTGGCAGTATTGTTTATCAGATCAATCACCCATGCTGGAGCGGTTGTAATATTGGTTCTTTCTGGCATGACATTCCAATTGTATTTCTTACCAGCACCAAGCGAGCTTGGTGGAGCGAATGCAATTCCTCCTTCACCGCGACCATCGATCCCATAGACCTGACCATCGACGTCCAAACCCACAAAGTTCTTTCCCGACCTAAGTCCATCTTTGAGTATGCCCGAAAATGAGAAATAATAATGAAAACCGCCACTGGGCGTCGTTGCTTTCAAAGTGTCAGGCTCGCCATGTTTGACAATCATACTCTTCCAGAAAGGCATTCCAGCCAATATATCTTCTTCCTCTTTGTCTTTGACATCAACATCCAAGACATATACATCTGAAATAGAGCCAGTTTTGATTGCAATGAAATTGAATTGTTTTTCATGTATGTGTTCTATGATTCTTCCCTTTGAAGCCTTCCAATCGGAGCCTGGCCGTATAGCTGCCTCTCCGTTTGCATGCGGCATAGTCCCATGTACCTTTTTATTTCCATCGGGCCCCGGCGAAGCCTTCGCTGGTATAGCGTAGAGACCTTCCTGTGCGTACTTTTCAAAAACGTCTATCAGCTCCATCATTGCCAAGTGGTACTCCAAGATAATTCCTATCCGAGAAAATTTTGGCTGGTGTTGAAACGCGCCCCGTATGCGTTTTCCAATTGAACATTGCAGTCATCATGATGAGTCTGCTCAAGGTTTCCAATGTTTTTGTACCATGTATCTTAGAGGCTTCTCAAGCATCATAAATTTGTAACACGGCACTGAAAGGGTCGTCGAGCCAGCCCCATCAGGATATGCTCCACGATTCACTAGCTGCGCTCCGTATCACCAAAAAAACTTAGTCACCTTGAAGGGCCACATCTCTAATGTGTTTTTCAAGAGGTAGGCACAGCTTCTTGAGACCTGCTCATGGAGCATCTGAGTATCTGCTAGAGAGGCCTCCCATACAATTCGATGAATTGTATCTGTTTTTAAGATGCCCGGACTAGCGAACAAACTTTTGCTTCGTGCAAACGTTCTATGGTGCGTCTGCTGACTCGAACACCCCTCTCCATCCTTTCAAGAGCTTTTTTTAGGAGAATCCGATCTTTGTTAAAATTATAGTATGCATGTGAGTAGCTTCT